ATCACGCGGTTGCCGGCGACGGCATACGCTGCGTTGCGGGGCGCGTTTCAGGAGGCAATGAAGAACTACACGCTGACTAAGGGCGATCCGTTGCTGGACACGTGTTACAATTTCAGCGGCTTGAACACGGTGTCGTATCCGAAGATAGCGTTTGTGTTTGGGGATGGACTTACGGTGGACTTGGACGCCACCGGGATATTGTTTCCGATAAGTCCTTCGCAGGTTTGCTTGGCGTTTGCCGGAAACAAGGATGATAGTGACGTCGGGGTTATTGGGAATGTTCAACAGCAGAGGTTGGAGGTTGTGTATGACGTGGCCGGAGGAAAAGTCGGATTTGCCCCTGGAGGTTGCGATTGAGTAATGACGTTCGTCCATGGGGTATAAGTGTAATACAAACAGCTTGCTAGCTATAGAATAAAGCATTATTTGTGTATAATGTAATTGGACTGGATTGAGAAAGTAGCCCAAGTCTTAAATTTTGTCTGTTGTAATTCTTATTTTCTAGATATAAATGGCATCTATATTATTTTTACAATGGTGCTCATTTCTAAATAAAAATAACCAATTAGTGAACATTCCAAAGTTTGGTGAACGGATATATTTAAACTGATAGTTTGATCAGTTTAACCATGGACTCTGTTGACTCATCGACTTTGGGTTTGGGACCCATGAGTAGTCGTGAGTCGTGACTCGGAACAGAAACGCATGCATGCAGTACCTTCCTTCCAAACTCCAAGTCCACTTGGCATTAATTACAATATTGTATGTATAATGTATGTATATAGACAGAGAACCTTCTTCCTTTCATTATATTTTTTGTATTTGCCTTGTAGTTCCTTCGGTTTTAGGCAACACAGAATTCACGTGTGAAAGATAACTAACATAAGAGAACGGGTGGACAAAGTCGATCGACCAAAAAAATACAGCAAAAAAAATTAATACCCAATTTGTATAAGTAAAAACTCATGACTAGGATCTAACTCAACAAGTTACCTAATTAAGCATAAAATCTGATTTATTGTACTTTTCAGATTCCAAAAATACCTCCAACTAAGCCATTATTGCATTTTGTATATTAATGTAGGAATCAATATTGAAACAGTTTTTAATTGGATTGTATATAATGACAGATGTTGAATTTGGAAAGATCTCCAAATGGTTGTAATGGATGTAGGAATTAATTTTAGAACATTTTTAAAAAAATTTAACAATAAATTCAAATTTAGGTAATCGGTTTGTTTAATAAAATGTTTATGTTATTTTCTTTTTATGAATTATACATGACTAATAATCCACTTTATAATTGTTTATGAATAAAACTGTACATACTAATTATGTTGAAAAAATAATGTACCTATTACTTGTTTGTTTTATGAAAAACATAATTTACCTAGTATGAAAAGTGTACATAATTATCTATTCCAAATAATGTACCTATACACATTTACAGGTATATTGTAAAATAATTTACCTGTGGGTAAATAATGTACCTATATTTTATATAAATTATTGTGTACCTATTTTTAATTATGAAAAATATATGCAATTACAAAGTAACTGACTTTGTTTTTTTTTTTTTGGGTAAATAATATACCTATATTTTATATGTATATATTTATATTATATTTTTCATAGGTACATTATTGGATATGTAATTTACAGATTTTTTTTTGTTGTTGTAATTTTAGGGGGCGAGATGTGAGAGGGAATGACAACTAAAAGAAATGGGGTGATTGATATGCTATTAATAGGGAGTATATTAATTACAATTATGACAGTTAATGAAATGTTTGAAATAAATTATAAATAAAATATGAAGTTTGGTGGCAATGATGTAAAAACATAGAAATACTACGACCTCTTATATCCTACTAGTCGTTTAAATTTGAAATTGGGTTTTACACATAGATTTATAAAGTGATGGGTATATGTTTAGGAAATAGAAAATGTAGGGATCTATATTGGACAAGCCCAAAATTAAACCCTCCAAATAGTTTATATAAGGCCAATAGTATGCTCAAACTTAATCTGCAGCTACAGGCAATAGCTAGCTAGGCTCGTTAACTATATTCATTTCTAGCTCCTCCTCTTTCCTCAAGTTTTTTTAATGGGTTTCTTCTCTGTGTTTCTGTTCCTAATTCTCTGCTCTTTCGAAAAGGACATTGCTCTGGCAGCAACAAGTCCAGAACCCCACCTTCTGCCACACACTACTCACACAGTTGATGTAAACTCTCTTCTACCAGCAACCACCTGCACCCCCTCCACCAAAGGTTAATTCTTCATTTCAACATCTCTCTCTCTCTCTCCTCTCTCTCTCTCTCTCTCTCCTCTCTCTCTCTCTCTCTCTCTCTCTCTCTCTCTCTATATATATATATTCATATATTGTCTGGCATCCAGTATTTCGTTAGGCCTTGCTATATACGCTGTTAATTCCAATGGCGCATGGGAGTAGAGTTTGCTATTATATAGATCTACTGTGAAATTCCCTCTAATATTCATATGCGTAGGTGTTCCATATGACAGTAAAAGTACATCAGGCTATGTGTTTAGGATGGGGACATGAGCAGTGTCATGGTCTTCAAAGAAGCAACAAATTGTTAGTTTAGCAATTAAAGTTGGGAAGAATCTTGTTCTACATGGAAGAACTAAGCATATCCATGTGAGATTTCATTTTTTGTATGATCTTTGCAAAGATTGAATCATTGACTTGAATTATTGCAAGAGTGAAGATCAGATTGCAGACATTATGACCAAGCCTCTCAAGTTACCCGTGTTTGAGAAGTTGAGGAAATTGTTAGGAGTGTGTTCTAGGAAGGATCATCCTTAATGGTGAAGCAGCAGCAACAAAGTTACTTGGAGACTTTTTCTAAACTGAAGTTTGAAGAACATTCAATTTAAGGGAGAGTGTTAGAAATTATTTATGTTATTTGTTATTCAATAATTGTTGGTTCCTATGTTTTAGGAAATCAGTTAGGTTTTACCTATTCAATAGGGTTTTTCTAGTTATGGGAGAAGGTTGTTAGTATTGGTAGTAGTGGGATGTTTAGTTGTTCCTTTATTACATGAGTCAGTTGCTTTGTATGTGTTATTTAAGCTGTGTTTCAGTAAATGAAAATTCACTTCAGTTCAACATAGCTTTCTATCTCTTGTTATTCGAGTTCTCTAAATTTTCCAACAAGAGAGAACATAAAAAAAAAAAAAGAGAGAAGGAAAATGAAAGAAAAGAGGATAGAGAATTCAGAGAGAGTAAGAAAGAAAGTTTAATCAATTTTTAATAACTGGGACCAAGTTTTTGAGTGTTTTTATTTTTTAAGATTCAACCCATTGGATGAATCCAACGGCTACAATAAATTTGTCTCTCACGAGTCCTCAAAACGAGGACCACATATGAGCTGCCCAAAAAGGGATGGTGGGTTTCATTTTCCCCATCTTTTCCTTTGTGCCAGTAAATATTATGTTGAATTATTTGGAGGTTATTTTTATTTATTGGAATTGTTTAAAAAAAAAATATTTAGAAAGGTCATTTGGAGAAGATGATGTGATAGAAAAATAGTAGAGGTAAAACAAGTTTGTAGAATTTTTCAGGGAATTTTGGGAACTCGAATGTATTTTTAGCAAAGTTTTGAATTTTATAAAAATAGAAAATATAGTTTTAAAACATGACGAGCTCGTAGCTACCCAACTAGTGTTGATGAAGCAAATTAGATAACTGAGAGGCGCTTACATCATGTTGACAAAGCACCAAAATGGCATTATATTGACTCCTAAAGCTCACACTACAAGACTCGCTCTTGGACCCCGGATGCGCCCGTCAACCCATGAAGTTGTCTAACCCTACATATTACCCTTATGCCCTCATCTGTCGATCTGACGTTATCAACAAATTTGGACCAACAACCCTACATGACATTTCGTTTCTCACCAAGGAGCAGGGTATTCTTCAAAAAATTTCTCTGACTTTTGATGCAATTTATTTTATTTTATTTTATAGAGAAAGGCACTAGATTGCATTAATAATTCAGACCTAAAGACTGTCAGCCACAAAGTCCAATACAAATACAAAAAACTAAAGTAATTAACTTCTAATTACTCTATCAAGTTAGGCGAGTTGAATATTACATGATGCGTGAGAGGTAAGTAAACAATTTCATTAGTCCACATTTAAACATGAATCTAGATAAGCTAATAGTAATTTTTGGTTAGAAAGAAAATCTATTAAACCATAAAAAATACACTACATCAATTACACAAAAAACTCAAAACATGGACTTAGTTAAGTTAGCTAGAGCGCATGTGCTCCTTATTCTGCACCCGAGTTCAGATCTCCCTTTTTATAATTTTAGATTAAATTAAAATAGAATATCGCTTAAAAAAAAAAATTAAAAAAAAAAAAAAAAAAAAAAAAAAAAAAAAAAAAAAAAAAAGCTCACAAACAAACAAGGCCCACACAACATAGGCCAAAAGGCCAAACCCTATAAGCAAACATGAAGTCCAATCCAAACCTAAAGCATGGATTTTCCCAGACTCTAGCATAAGCATGAGTCATTCTATAATGAGGGCACTTAGGTGAGATCTTGTTTCTTAATTGAAATTGTTGAATTAAGTTAATCAATTTGATCCAGAGCAATTTGATCCAACAGCTAACTGATACGCCTAATTAATTTGTCTATATTAGTTACAATGACCCACATAAACGAGAAATTATACAGGCTGACGCGGTTGGTATCATCATTCATCAAGATATAGAGCAGAGGACATTGGAGAGGAGAAAATGGAGGAGAGACTGAATTCTATTTACGGATGATAATATATTACATCCATATACTTGATATAACATAAAGACAGGCTCAACTCATCATACACTACTCAAGGCTGTTTTTTGCAGTCAATAAAAGAAAAAGAAAAAGAAAAAGATCACAAGATAACAACACATGGTCTGCAGAAGCAAACTAGAAGCTAGCTAGCTAGCGGAGGAGGAGGAAAGTGAGAGTGATTCAGATTCAGAGGGAGGTCCTGGAAGCCTCGAGATCGGCAGCCTTCTTGAGAAAGTTTTGGTCGTCGTCCTCAAGAACCATCTGAATAGGGGATGAGCCGAGCCCGTCGGCGATGGCCAGCATAATCTTCTTCATCTCCTCCCTGAACTCCTCGAGATCCACCGTCCCGCTCTGGTCGGTGTCGAACTTGTCGAATATGGAGTCGTAGAGCTGAGTCAGCTGCTCCGGTGGGGTGGCCACGTCGATGCCGAAGTGGGCCTCAATCAGCCTCAGCGACTCGAACGCTTTGCGTAGCTCCGCCCGCGACAGAACGCCATCGCTGTTGAGGTCCAGAGCCACAAACTGCTCGTCTACGCTCTTCTTGAACTGCGCCTCCTCTTTCACGAACTCCCTCACTGTAGTTCCGTCGATTATCACCACGCCCATCGTCCTTTTACTTAATTAATTCCACTATCTAGAGCTTCAACAACAATACTAATTTCACAGACTGAATGAACCACCTCTCCCTACCTGTCTCAAGATTGACTGTTGGTTGGTGGTGGTGTTTGTTTATTTATGTTGTTGAGGCTGATGAAGGAGAACATCAAGAGGTGACTTGCAGCTTGGCACGTGCAATGAGTGCACATAAAAGCATGGATTGGATTGGATTTTGTCGGTATCCTATTCTGATATTCTTATCCAATGTTATATGCCATAAAATTTATTATTAAAAGAATTAAAAAAAGAAAAAAGAAAATGTAAATAAAATATATTCTAATTCGATCGGTTTAATTAAATTAATAATAAGATGTATGCTTCGCTAGTTCTTGATGAAGCGGTGTCTGGGAGAGGCAACTGCCACAATTTGATGATGACGCAATATATATATATATATAGGATTTCTAACTTCAATTCAACTATTATTTCAAACAAATATTATAAAAGAATAAGAGAGAGCGATGAATGTCTTTACAGGAATATTATACATTTATGCACAACGAAGATAATATTATTTATTATTTTTTATCAGCTTCGCTATGATATGCATAATAATTTTTTTATTTGGCATAATTTGATTGATCAAGATAACAGACGCATATTATCCCCGTTTCATACAAATTTTTCTAATTTTACTAATAGCAAAATAACTGCAAAAATGGTATGGTTGGTAAAGTTTAACTAATTGCAACGCAGTACTCACTTGTAAAACAAAACGGCTGATTTCTGAGCTTCGGAAACCAATTAAATTGAAAATTATTAAAAGTTGCTAGTTAGAAAGAGTACCTCAACTACAACATACACCCGAACACACAAGATTAGATCCTCCTACCTACCTATGAATTAGTAACATCACTAATGAACCAAACTAATTATATTATTTCCAAAATAAATAAAAATAATTCATTAAGACACCCAAAATTTCTCCATTAATTTACCAAGGAGTTAGGAATTAGGACAGGTCAGACAGACCCCCCTTCTTCCGGAGTCAGACTTGGTCAAAGACCTCAACCTCACTAAGAACTTCATCTTCATCCTCTGGCATTGATCCCCTTCGGCGGCCTTCTTCTTCCTCCCACTCCCCGGCGGCGATGAAGAAACCCAATTCTCTGGCGACCCACCACCCACACCCACCAGCACGCTCTCCGGAGAAGACGTTGCCCTCATCATCACCGTCTGATCATCGCATGATGAGTATAACTCCGCTAACTGATCTTGGCCGCCCCCACCACCGCCATCCAAATTAATTCTCGCCTGCATCGCCGACACCACATCCTTCATTGCCACGTCTGCATCCCCACGGTTCCTGAGCAGAATCTCTCCCACCTGGGCCGGGGTGAGGGCCCCACCCGATCTCATGCACCGGTCCACTGCCTCGAACAGCGGGTGCGAGTCCAATCCCAGATAGTTCTTCGCCATTGCCCGGAAGGCGTGGGGTCCGCAGTTGCCGAGGTTGACGTGGACGTCCATGCGGCCACAGCGGAGCAGCGCTGGATCCACATTGTCCCTGTGGTTGGTGGTGAAGATTATGATCCGCTCCTCTCCGCAACACGACCACAGCCCGTCCGTGAAGTTGAGCAGCCCCGACAGCGTCACTCGCCCCGCGTTTTGCTCATCGCAATCCTCGTCCTCCTGCTTCTGCTGCCGCGATCTTACTCTAGCCTTTGATCTAGTACTCTTGGTATTCATGGACAGCCTGAGCTGCTGCCTGTCCACCGTCAGATCGAGGGAGCAGTCTATGTCTTCTATGACTACGATGGAGCGGTTGGTGGTCTGTATGAGCAGAGCTCTTAGCTCGGAGTTGTCGGAAACCTTGGTGAGCTCGAGGTCGTAAACGTCGTAGCAGAGGTAGTTAGCCATGGCAGCGATAAGGCTGGACTTGCCAGACCCCGGAGGGCCGTACAGAAAGTAACCCCGCTTCCAGGCACGTCCCACCCTATGGTAGAAGTCTTTGCCGTTGGCAAACGCCTTGAGGTCTCCGGTTAGCTGACTCTTGAGTTGGGGCTCAAGAGCGAGGGTGTCGAAGGTGGAGGGGTGGCGGAAGGGGACAGAGACCCAGCCGGAGTCGTAGGAGGCGTGGCCGTTGTTGGTGAAGAGCCTCCTCTCGCGCGAGACACGCTCGAATTCCTCGGCACGGGCAGTGAGGTGGTGGAGGTAGGGGTGGAGAAGGGCGTGGCGGTGGCGCTTGGGGAGCTTGAGGACAAAGGAGCGCTTCTCGTCGAGGGAGTCTTGGACGGTGTCGACGTGGTGGGTCCAGGAGAGGATGTGGCCGCCGAAGGAGTCGCTGACGGAGTGGTTGGGTGCGACAGTGAAAGAGATGCGGTTGGAGGAGTTGGAGCGGGAGAGGGTGAGGCGTGCAGTGAATGAGGATGAGGAGGGGTTGGTGGCGGTGACATTAACGTTAACGTTGACGAGGGAGTTGAGGTAGAGATTGACGTGGCGGTAGAGATCGTTGAGGTGGACGCCACAATAGCCGTTGAATTCTGGGACGTCGAAATAGGAGTAGGGGCAGAGCATGTCTTGGACAGACTGGTACAAGGAATGGAGGAGGGACAGGAGCTGGGAAGGCAGCACATTCTGGAGGACTGTCAGCAGTCCTAGCAAAGACCACAACTGTGACAACATCTCCATAATCGTTATCTCTCTCACACACTCTTTCGCTCTCTATATACTGTTCCCTTGTCTTGCTTGTTTTGCAGCTGACATATATAATCACTCTCAGTATCAGATTCTAATCAATTATGATATTGTCTCTGTCCACCAGTCTAGTACTAGCTAGTACGTGCGAGATCCAGTTTGAAGACTTGCCATTCATGCATCAAAAAGCATTGTATATATATATATATATGGTGAGGGAGGTAAAGACAAATTAAGCAAGGAAGGAACATTAGGGCGAGGTAAGTATAAAGAGAGAGTGTTAATTTAGAAGTGGCTGAAAAAGCGGCAGCAGCAGCAAAGCAAAAGATGAGTAATAAAGATGATGCATGAAGCCGACTGATCTTCTTTTGCTTTTCTCTATCCCCATTCCCAAGAGTCTTTCATATTCTACCCCACTCTCTCAGCTGTTAAAGCCTTTGCTTTATTTATTTGTTTATACTCTTTTACATCCTCAATATTCCTCCATAAGCCAGCAGGATTAGTTAAAGGAAATGCTCTTCTTCCAAATTAATCAGCTGGTCCAGTTAGAGACATACCGACATGGCTGGCGGACGTCTTTTGCTTTTGCATGTTTCCTTCTTTTACGAAATTTGAGTTCTTCACAGGTCAGAGAATGTTCTAAGAATAATGTTTATGCTTCCTCTCAAACAAAAATTAAGAAATTAAGAAATATTATTCTGCTGATTAATTAAGCTCACCTCTACTCATCATTAGTAAATTAAGTCTATAAATGATACGAGTGATTATAGAATACTACGATAGTACGGTCATGTTGTATATCTTGTACATGCGTATTATAATATAAGTTGATATTTATATTTCATAAAAAGAGGGAACATAAATATTGTCGTTCACCCATATTATCACACGTATACAAGATGTACCACGTGATTTGATAATAATCGTAACATTAGCATATTAATACTGGGTCCTCTCTCCTCTGCATTAGAAACTGGTAGGTGGTGGATAATTAAATGAAGTTTAGAATGATGAACTAGGATGAATTGAGCACCACCGCAAAGGCCAAAGAGCATATATCTTTCCATACCACCAACAAAAGAGAGCATATATGATCTTTTGCTGCTGCACGATAAACCATTAAAAGTTGAATGAAAATTAGATGGACCTTTCATGCATGCATTATACATATATAGCCGATGATGCCTCAAAGTTGAAGCAGTTCATCCAATTTGTTATATATGTCTTTCTTTTGCTCCGGGGAGGAGGGTAGGTATAGGAAAGTGATGGTAATATTCTTTTTTTTCTTGGGCACTAGCAATTCTCCTCTTTACAGGTTACTTTCATATAAAGTCCATTTGCTCTTCTTTTTTCAAAAAATTAATTTGTAAATTCTTTTTAAGAAAAAGTGAGTCCTTGAGCACCATCAGATTTTGATCTAGCGGTGCTTGGCGGTCTCGTATGCATTTTGGCGTGCCTTTTGAAATTAGATAAAGGAAAGAAAAAAGGGAAAGTGAAAAGAGAAAAAGAAATTAAAGAGGTGTTGGGTTGACATAAATACCCACACACCAGAAGGTGGGTAAGGTTAGAGTGTTGATCAGCCTTGCTAGAATCAAGAATAAAGCCGAAATATCCTTATCCAGAAGACAAAAGATAAAATAAAAAAACAAAATAAAGCCAAAATCAAATACGCTCCAAAGCTCCACCAGAATGTCAAAGCGAAAGAGTGCCTTTAGTTTTTAAAAAAAAAAAAAAAAAAAAAAAAAAAAAAAAAGGGAGGCTTTGGTTCAACCATGCAGTTATGTTGAGCACCCACGTGAATTAAAAGCCTAGTGTCGTATTAGGATGATAAACATGCAAATTCGATTTGTTTAATAAATGTGGGTTTCAAGTATCGGGTTGACACGCTAAATGGTAGCAATTAAAAGATATAAAAAAAAATTATAAAAATAAAGAATAAATAAAGAAACGGGTTAGTGGTTTGGCGGGTTACACGAGTATTTTAGCAAGTTGGTGAGTTACATAGGTATTTTAGCGAGCCGGTGGAATCACTTGAAATCCTCGTGTTTATTAAACGGGTCATGATGGGTTGATCCGAAAATGACATGAAAATTTAATTGCAACGGTTGATGTACTTTTGTTGTTGTTGCGGATTTCGAGTCATGTATCGAGTTGTGTTAGAAATAGCCACTCCTAGGCAGAACTAAGAATTTTTCAAAAAGTCGGCTATATAAAGTTATTAATGAATTATTTATTTATTTATATTTACAGTGTATATAGTTTTTCTAGAAATAAAAGTATAAATTAAATTATATAAACCATGCTAGTTTCATTGACTAATTTTTAATAAGCTTTAATATAAAACAAATACATATTAAATGCAACCAAAAAACACATATTATCAAAATGAAAATATGTTCAACAACATAATTGAAACTTTATCTATTCAAGTTGTGCCCTATGATCCTTGAGAGAATTACAATATTTTATTATTGCATATGAATCAATAATATTAGCTAGGGGTGGGCATTGGAACCGAAGAACCAAACCAAACCGGACACAAAAAAACCGAAAAAATACTATGTTGACTAAAAAAGTCAAACCCAATTCAAAATACCACACAAAACCGGTTCAAACTGGTTCCCGTTCCAATTCTATACCCCAACAAACTGAATCGGGCCGAACCGGATTGGCCAAATTAAAATATATATAATTTTAATATTTATTTATATCCAATGCTATATTTTTAATCTCATAACTAATATTTACCCAAGCTCAATTTCAAAACATCTCTCTTTTCTAGCCCAAATATTTCTTTTTGTATGAATAGGATAATTTGTTATTTTCAAGCAAAATAAAAATAAAAATTTCAGTTGAAATTTGTATAAAAAAAAAATTTCAAAAAATAATATAATCCGGTTCAAAACTGAATTGGACTAGAACCGGACCGAAACCAATTCAACCTAAATCAGACAATTTTATAAAAAAAAATTATTAAAACCGGACCGAACAGAATCAAGTAAAAAGTACTCGTTTCAATTCCAATTTGAGGCAAAACCCGGCCCAAATCAAACTATGCACACCCCTATTATCAACTAGTTCTTCTTCAATATAGACAATCGTAATTACTTAGCCTATTGGAGGAAAATGGGAGGCTAGCTGTTGTTTGAGTGGACTTGGTTGGTGGAGGAGAAGTGACTCGGACTGAATTTGGAGTCGAAGCCTCCATTGTGTAATAACAGTCAATTGTTTCTAAAATTAGCAGTATTTGTTATGCAATAACAGTTATATGTTACAATTAACAATAATGCTATGGACACCAAATTTGTGTACCAAATTTGGATCCCAAATAATGTGGCATATGTCATGTTATACATATTTAATTAATAATTTTCAACTTGGATTATTATTTTATTTATTTACTTTATGCAGAAAATGAAAACACTTAAACATAATTAATCAAAACCCTGAAGTTTTTGTTCCTAAAATAAAAATCTATTGCTAGCCCTAAACCATCAATTTGCCGTTATATCCTTCCCACCACATTTGCTGCTCTTTCTTCTTCTTCTTTTCCCCTCGTGTTTTTAATTTTTTCTTCATATAAAGTTTTCTTCTTCTGGTTTTCTACTTATGAGTTTTCTATGATTGTGCTACTTTCTAAGAAAAAATTAAAAATAAAAAGCATGAGGGAAGAAGGAGAAGAAAGAGCTGCAACATGGTGGGAAGGGAAGGATATGACGACAAATTCAAGGAGTCGCAACCAAACTGGATTTATTGCACGTGCCACATCATTTGAGACTCAAATTTGGTGTACATATTTACTGTCCCTAGCATTACCATGCGATTAATTATATGTGATTAAATATTAGTAATTCATAATTGTTGACGTCACAATGAGGAGAGAAAAGCACCCTAAACTTTAAAAATATATTTTTTTGCAACAACCAAAATTACCCTATCGTTCTCTTCTTTCCCGCGAAGCCGAAAGCGATAGCAACTCTTTTACAACCAAACAACATACAATCCCAAAACAAAACGACTCAACATTTTCTCACCGAATCAGCAACACACACAAATGACATATCAACAACCCAAACAATCTCAGAAGTGTCACTAACTTACTTTTAGGGATGTCTATCATGTGAAGCGTAAGGTGGCGTTTGGTATCCTATTCATGTAGGGAATTCACAAATTTTATTTTGTCTTAAAACAATGAGTTCTTGAAAACAATTCTAGAAAAAAAATTCTGAAAAAAAAAAGATTTTTCTGTTTTCAAGTATTTGGTGTTTTTAAGTCTTAAGTTTTCAAAATGAGGTCTATGAAACATATATATTTTTTTAGTTTTGAACTCAAATTCTGATTTTGAGTTTAAAAAGTTGAATTCAAATAGAATAGCATGCATTTATTTTTGTAGCAGATTCTGTAGCAGCCAGCACATATGCCGCCTGCAATGATTGACGACCCAAACAACGCAACGAGACCCCGGCTAATCCACTATTGAACCGCAACGGAATTCTGTTCAACTTCAGTTCTAAAGATTCACAATAGTTCTCATGGTAAAGGTAAAAATAGAGATACCCTAGAAATACTAATCTAACAGTGTTTAGAACCTCTCAAGATTTTGTACTTGAAAGAGCAGTTTCTTCAACATACCTGCCACATACCTCAAACCCCAGAAAAAGAAGGATAACCAGCATCAGAACATATTTTTTTTGGTCGAAACCAGCATCAGAACATAATTGAAGGATTTATATACACAATTTCAGTACTCATTTTATATGTTCCATGAATATTCCAACTCTTCAGCTTATAAAAGAAATTCCATTGTGCCCCAAAAAAGATAGTCAATACAACTTAACTGATGTTGGAAAGTTGCCGAACATAAGGAAAAAGGCAAGGTAAAAATTAATAAAACAAAAAGGAGTACAAAAGAGAAACAAGTGAATCAGTAAGAGAATACATCCATCAGTCATTTTTCTTTTCTTTCCAACCTCAGCGGTAGTAAGAGCCATTGTGGTGGCAGGTTAATGCTGAATGGAATTTTTGAATTCCAGGATATCAAATTTGTATCGAAGAAGCATCGTTAGTGAATCCTGAAACACACCATATGCAGAATAACTTCCTGAAGAAAAAGACCACCAAGCAATATCTTTTGGAGGCTGTATAGGCAAAGGCTTGACCACCAAGCAATTTTTTGGCCTCCTTATTTAAAGCTAGAAACATAATCTGTGTCCATCTGTGTGAAACAAGAACCATATTAGTGGTCATAGACAAGAGTAGTTAAAAGAAGATCCCGCTTAAAACTTACAGATTTGGAAAGCTCTTTAGCTTTCTCGTCATCAAAACCTAGGGATGCCAAGATCTTGTGACCTGCTGACTCTTTTTCAGACCAAATCCCAAGAAGCAGATGAGCTACTGTTATTTCCCCATTTTCTCCTGCATTATAGAAGACAATCTCAATAACAAGTAACGATTAACACAAAACCCCACATCCAACCACAAAATTATGCAGGTACAGCATATATGTCTAGATGGAAAGGTGGACGCTTATCCTATGGGATATACTAATGGCGATCTTACCAAGAAATAACTGTATGCAAGAATATAGTTTAAAGTAGTAATAGAAGATTATGACATTCCTAGATTTCAAAGAACCACAAAATCACCATCTCTAGAGTTTCTGAACATAAATTTACACAACCTGATTTTAGCTTCTGATCAACAGCCCAGTCAAGGGCCCTCTGAGCTGGTTCAGTCAATGGAGGATGCTCAGGGCTGAAAAAGTACAGGTCTGATTTTCCAAGTAAATTTACAGTTTCATCTCGAACCTTGAAAAGTGTAATTCCATTAGCTCTAAGAAACTTTGCAGCTAGGCTTGTTCCTGAAGTAAAAAACAATGCATTCAAATAATATGAACACAAAACAGAGAACACTAAACAAACACTGACAGAGCAGCAAAGTACATAGAAGCCATTGAATGAGCTGCCAGGTGAGTTTCTAGCATGAAATAACTCTTGAAGTAACCAATTTACGACCCTGTGAACCAAAGCTCATCCAGATAAGTTCTAAATGGCAACAACATCTCACAGTAGAAATATGACTTCAAACAGTATGAAAATACGTCTGTTAGTCCATGATAAAGACTTTAAACATAACATTTTAAAAAAATATAGCTTTTCCTCCGTGGTTTTTTCCATTAATCCAAGATACAGCATCATCAATTCAGGAACCATTAATCGCAAGTTTCTCAAACACACTTTACTCTTAGCAGACGAATTACTCAGACAGGAGCCACTTCTACAAGGACCAAGAAATACGAATTTGCTATTGTTTATGAAGGAGAGCTATTACCATCGCTTTTAACATTTCATAGAAGAAAGAATAAACATGAAAGCACAAACACAAATTAAAACGAGCTTGAAACAAGGTTACTAACCCTCAACCAAAATCCCCATTAGAAGTGCTTCGGTCCCAGTATTGGGATATTTAAGCTTCCGCGCTTCCAATTCAGCCATAGCAAACGACTTTATGGCTCTGGCTGACCATCTGAACACCAAAGTACAATTAAGAACTCACTCAAAAGAAAACATATAGCCACACACAAACACACGAAATGCAATGAAACTAAAAACTCACTTCGGGCTTTTCCCAGTAGAATTCCTATCGGGTTTCCTGGAAAATAGAAGTGATCCAAAGCAACTATCATCAGCGAAACCCTTAGATGGACATTAATTAAATACAAAACCAAGAGTTGCATACAATTAGAAACCTTACGCTGTTGGGAGGCTGAACAGGACCGTGGCGACCGCCGTCCTATGCTTTGAAGCCAAGTGATTTAAATTCGGAATTCGAATTGAGAGCTTTTTGCCCATAAAGTGGTGGATAGGTTGTAGGGGGGAAGATGGCAAGGAAGGGACGGAGAAGAAGCGCTAGGGTTTCTGTGGGGTTGAGAGGTAGAGGGTGAGATTGAGAGCGCTGAGAGCGTGATGGAGGTGGAGGCCATGTTTTGCGCCCAATTATGAAAAACCCTAGCGGGGTTTTGGTGGTTGGCTTAGAGTTGTTGTGAGTCTCTCTCTCTCTCTCTTCAGAGTGCTTGAGCTTCAGCCTTCAGGGGAAACTGGGAAAAATGAAAAGATTGGTTGGATCGATCTTAACGGCTCAGAACAATTCGAAGGTCACGTTTTATTACTAAAATGCCCTTCGTATAAATAGAGCCGTAATGACCAACTCTATTCTTGAAAATTTTCATTTTCTGAAAGCAACTTTTCTAATGTTTTCTCGCGCCCTGGAATTCTCCCCCGCTTTTCCTCCCTCCCCCTCCCTCTCCTCTGACCACGTCACTGCAACCCCTCCTCCTCCTCCTCCTCCTCGTCCACCTCTTTTTTTTTCTTTCCATCTCTCTCACTTACACGTCGGCGTGACGGGAGATAGATAACTTTCAGGTTTCCAAATGCTGCGACACACATGCCTCCATCTCCACCTATGGCGACACAAATCGCATCCCTGCTTCTACTTAATGTCCAGCAGCGGCATCTCCCTCAACCACGCCCTCGCTGGTATTTTTTTTCTTTTTTAATTGTTATTATTAATATATATTTTCATTTTTCGTGATTGATCTTCATCGGGCTATAAGATTTGGTGACGGAGGTCTGACATTATAACTGAAAGGTAACTTTGAGTGTTCTAGAAATGAGATACCAAATTGGCATTGAGTGCAAACTTAGAGGAGGGGCTAAAACAAAATTTGCCCAAAATGTTAAAATATTAAAACACAACATGCTAACATGCCATTGGAGTCAAACTAAAATTGACCCCAAAAAAAAGATAATCCTTTTGAGTGTTATCTTCTCCTTCCTCTTCCCATTCCTATCCTCCTTACTGACTTATCCCACGCCAGTGGCTATTGACAACTGATGCGGGGCCCGGGCCACTAAAGGTGACAGTGTTGATCTCGATTTCTCCTTGCCCAGTTGGCTGGTAAGGAGTTTTTTAGAACAATTTTACTGTTGCTTCTGGTTACCTTATTTTCGTACTGATTAAGTTTGATGTTTTTTCCTTTCATGCTTTCTCTGTGTTTCAATTTTGGCTTATTGCTTATGTTTGCTGTTGACTTGCTCTACATCATTTGTTTTATCAGTTGGAGTGTTAAATTTGGCATTTCTATTGTCATGTTTCTATTCAAGTAAAATTAAAAATGTTGTTTGGTGGTTTCTGCAACACACAGAAGAATAATATGGAATCTTAGAAAAAATTGGTGGTTTGGTTTTGATGGAGCGACTTTTTTCTTGACTTGGTGTGATTTGCATGAAGCATTTGTACTCATAGGATTCTCTTCTTAAAAATATGGATGACTTAGATTAAAAAATAATGAGGCCCATAATAATTAGTGCCAAAGAGAGAATCTGAGTCCTAAATTTCACTTGTAGGCTACTGTATGGATAGTGGCTTTTTTATTTTTGCATGAGTTGTTTCTGATATGGGCTTTGATGATTAGGTTTGACATTCACAGTGATGTCTTTGCCTCTGATTAGGATGCTTCCCTCCACTCGGTTCATCACCATCAGGACCTTTGTAAACGCCAAGGTAAAATGGGTTGGAGACCCATACTTGGACTGTGCAGTTTAAAGACAGAAATACCTTAAATGATTTGAATGATCCATTTACTTCAAGAACCAAATCATTTCCAACCCTTCCAAGTCCCTCCCTCTCTCTGCAGCCTCTTAACTCAAGCCCCACCTCAACCTCCCTACAACATCCTCCAAATTCTTCGAAAAATACCCCTTATTCTTCTCCATATTTCAGCCCTCCCCTGGTCTCCCACCTCACGTTAATCTAACCCCACAAACCCTCTCACTCCACAAAGTGGAGTCAACCATTCATACCTCAATGTCTAACAAATACTGTGCCATTGAACAACTTGCTAAGCTTTTGATGCCAGCCGGAGTGACTAAATTATCCATGCACCTGATTAACATGTTGAAATGGGATCCGGGTCCTCCTCATGATATTGTGGGTACCCTTGTTGATGATTTTTTTGATTTTTCTGGGGCTTTTGAAGTTGAGGATGTGGTAACTGGTAAGGTAGGGATTGGTTTTGGGGTCTGTTTGTTGGAGAGAGGAGCTTGCTTTCTCTCTATTTACACCATAATCAATTGAGCATGTCCAGTATCAAAACGACTGGCACCAAGGCAGACACGCCTTGCCCCTACTGAAGTACCCCAAAGGGACGCATAGACAAATCCCTAGAAAGTAAGTGACGTCAGCACCTTCTAACATGCCGAAGGAAGACACTCTTTTGAAGTAGCAGCTACCTGCCGAACCTAATTTCCAGGGACACCTGTCACCTCCACAACGGCTTGCACAAAGTCCCACATCGAAACTTTGTGCAAAACTCTCATTTGCACTTCTCTATAAATAGGGAACAGTGCCCAAGTAAAAATGGTAACTATTTTCACGTATTTATTGTTACTCTGCCACTGGATATAGGCAGGTTGTGGACTCCCTTCAATATCTCATTTTCACTGGACTCGACATCTCCTTGTCTTTCATCATATTGTTCAGTTTATGAGTGCTCCTCGCTCTCCTCACTTGGGTGCTGCTAATCGTATTCTTTGTTATTTGAAGAGCACAATTTGGTTTGGTCTTTCCTTTCGTCAATCTCCAAGCCCCTTTGCTCTTTGTGGTTTCTCTAATTTTGATTGGGCTGGTTATCTTGATACCTGTCGTTCGACTATTGGTTTTTGTGTGTTTCTTGGTTCCAACCTTATTTCTTGGTGTGCTAAGAAACAATCGACAGTTTCTCGCGTCTCTACTAAGGCTGAATATAGTTATGTGGCTCATTTTTGTGCAGGCACTACATGGATCTCTCATCTCCTTCATGAGTTGGAGCTTCCTTCTTCTGGACCTACCATATTGTTGTGTGACAATCTCAGCACTACCTACATGGCTTCTAATCCGGTGTTTCATGCTTGCACTAAACATATTGAACTCGATTACCACTTCATTATAGATCGTAGTATCTCTGACTCTCACCAAGATCAATTTGTTTCCTTTTTCGATTAGCTCGCTAACATCCTCACCAAGGGCCTTTCTACGTATTATTTCCATCCTCCTTCATTCAAATCTCGTCTCTTCCACATCATCGGATTTGTGGGGGAGTGTTAGACAACATCCCTGATTTATAGTTGGCTTATAACTAATTGATGTATATACCGTGATAGTCTCTCAAGTCAATTATATTAATTGTCAATCCCTATAGACTAGGAGTTCCTTTATATATTTTCTATGGGTTTTGTAACGTTAACTTAGCTGTATATCTACTTTCCTCCAACAGTAAGAAGAATAACAATTCAAATTTCACAAATTTACAATTCCCCCCACATGTATATTGTACTAATTAAATTGTCAAAAGCGCATTATACCTATGGCGTTGAACGTGTCCCACATATATCATATTTTTGGCTGTAGAAATCAAAATCTTGGTGATTTGTGGGACCTTATTCCTTGTTTCTGGCTGTAATAATCCTTTTTTCCTTTTCTTTTTGTGGGGTTTCTTGATGTAATGATTGAAACAGGCTTTGTCATCTTCAAAGGATGCATGATACTTAAACGTTAAGATTTTCAATCATTTACCTAATATTGTTCTTTATGACTGAGTCGTCTCTCTTTGGATCTAAACAGATGTTGATTCGAACAAGGAAGCCTGTATATGTTGCCACCCACGAATAAAGTTGTACAGGTAAACAGTGGAAAGCACCTAAACATTTGTGTGTTTTGTATACGTGTGGGTGAGAGGGAAAATAGACCATTAGACCTGGCCACTAAATAATAGTAATTAGTGGGATGCAGCTCTAAAGAGTAAAAGAAAGACATAGCAACTAGAAAGGGAGTATTCTTCCAGTAGGCAAAGAAAAGTAGTTGGTGGGAGCCCACTTTCTGTGGACGACCATTAGTAGGGAAAAGATATTCGCTAAATTCAGAGTTAAGGAGGGAAGTATTGTCCTTAACTTCTTGTTTCAAAGAACTATTTTGCGACTTTGTTGATAGTTATCAACTTATGAGACTCCTCTAGTCCCTTTTATTTTATTTTTATGATCTTGATCTAATCCATAGTTATTTGAACTTTCAATTACCAATATTTTTGTAATTAGAACCAAACAATCGATTGAGTTGCGTATGATGTTGAAAGCTGAACTTTACTTTATAATTTGTATCTGAATCATGACCTCAATATGTGGTCCATGGTCGGTGGTACGTGGCAGCTGCTTATTTAGTCAGCTTTCAAGAACTTAAACCTGCTTCATATTTATATAATATTCTCACCGTCCATAGATTGGAAGTATCCTCCTACTAGACCTGGATTACCAAAAGGAAAATCTTTATGTAAATCTAGCCCCTCTAAGCATCTCTGTGTCGAAATTGACAACAACGTTGATATTACAATTTAAATATACTAAACACTAGCTCTATATAAATCATCTTCGATCACCAAACTTTCCCCCAAAACGAACTAGCTAGCACCCATTATCCCATAGCGAAGCTCCATAATTAGAAAAACCTTTTGAAATTAAGTTCAAAAGTTTCATCCAAGTGTGTCCGCAGTGCAGATAGCTAGCTACAAATTAAACATGAGTGGAGGTTACTATTCTTCTTCTAATTCCCAGCATGATCATCATCATCACCCTACCTTCCCTCTGCACTTATGTTTCTTCCTTCTTGTATTGCTCACGTTTGTTGGGTTTTCATGGTACATTAACTACGAGTCTATGCTGGAGGGCATGTTTGATCGGGTGAAACTGGTGCTCATGGTGTCTCCCTTGCTGTTGTTACTAGTGGTGCACTGGCTTTCCAACAATGACCGGAGGCGGGTGCCCTCTCTCATACCCTTACCTGAAAAAGACTCCCTTCATAGGGCTGGAGGAACTCCATGGGGAGTTGGATTTCTGCTTGTTTTCCTGTTTTTTATGATTTCTTACCAGTCTTACTTTCAAGAACGTTGGTTTCCTCTTCTTAGCAGATAGCACCACTTCTACGTAATCTACTTTTCTGTTGTTATTATATGTGTAAATCAGGTTTCTGCAGCAGCAGGAGAGTTCTGGAACTTCTGAAATGGCATCTTCTTTTCCCATATTGTAGTGAAGTTGAATTATATACAAACGGAGTTGTTATAGTTTTATTAATTTGCTATCTTATATGGTGCAATATTATATGTAAAAATATTCAAATTAAAGGTTGCAACACATAACTATATAATTGGTGGAGAGACCCTGATGGCAACTCCTCATACTAAATAATTGGTTGGCCGCAAGAAAATCAAAGTTCGATTTAGGCTTTAAATAGCTTCAGGCCTCAAACTAGTTAGCATAACCGAGTCAAACCAACCTTTGAAGCGTGTCCTTGGCCAATATCACTACAGTGCAACTACAACACATTATGTTTGCATTATTGTACCAAAATATATCCCTAATAACAACTCTAAATCCCAAATGAACACATAAAACTTCTTAAAACATATTAATTAAGCTATTATTAACCCAAAAAAATATTTTATAAAGAAACAAGTATATGGAGTTTGAACTACAATTACACCATTTATAATTGCAAATTAACGGACACTCTACGGTTATCGGTTGAGAACCTTGCGGAAGTAAAAAAGAAGGGTGGTCATTGGATCATTTAAGTACATGGATGCACACGATTGAAAACGTGAATTATACATATGTATTTTAGAGAATCTCGGTGGTACAAGGGGAATGTGAATTATATTTTAAAACTTACAGAATGGTGATTTTTGTATCCTTCAAAAAGCAAGGCCTAATACATTTCATTGTTCCAAAAAGTTGCCATGGATTACAACATATAGTTACACCATTTACTATCATAGCACCATAATTGGAAATCAATGGACAATCTACGATAATCGGTGGAGAGCCTTACAGAAATCTAGAATCAGAATTACCTTGAACAAATCGAACAGCAATGCTTGTAGGGAAAGGCCTATAAAAGAAATCTAGGCATATGTATTTAACATTATTAAGATTTCAGAGAGACGGATCCTTGGACCGCCACTAGCAACATCAATATTGTCTCCAACTTAACTACTTGTTTAACAGGTGTGGAGTTTTATACAAAACGCTTCGATGTTATTAGGAGTGGAGCCATTCATTATATGAGACTTTCTATTTTGTTAAGTTTCCAATATGGGATTGTGTGTATTCTTCAATAGACATTTGGTCGAGGCTTTAAGTGTACATGGAGGACACGACGTTATGTTGATGGGGTCTGCGCAAAGGGATTTTACCAAAGGTGATATCTCATCAATCTTATACAAATCAAATAGCCAAATCGGTTTTGTTAGCACCAAAGTGGCTCCGATGAGGGTAACTCAAGAGAAAGAAGATCTGCCACGAATGACGTTTTGTTTTTACTTTTTCTGACGGAGAGAAATGGTATAGAGGAGCTAGAGTTTATTTTATGTATTCTTCTTCCTTTAAAAATGGGTGATCTCGATTATAAGATGACATGCCAAACTATGCGCCATTATGTCAGGGGAAAATTTTAGCAATGCCCTTCAACCCTAATTTTGGACTTTGGGCATCTTGTTGAACAGTTGAGGCTAGGGAAATTAGAGTAAGGGATGGGATTAAGGTGTGCCAAAGAAAGTCCAAACTTCATTTATAAAAATTAGCGTTGGAATTGATTTGAACTTGCTAAAATTAGAAATGTTTGGATTGAATCGGCTGGAATCGGAATTTCAGATATGCCGGAAATTATAATAATTTTTCAAGATTTTTTTGGTATGAGTTTTCAATTTTGAACAAATTTTAACCTTTAAAATGGACATGTTTAAGCAAACATGATATTAGCCAAGTTGGCTAGAGCAGATATACTCCCCACTCCGCACCCGTATTCGAATCATCCTATGCATAGTTTCAGATTAGTTTAAAATAGAGTATCACATGTAAAAAAAAACAAAAGACATGTTTAAAATTTTGAACTATTATCCAATCGAAATATTCCAAATATTCAGAGTTTTCCGAATTGAAATAAATGTTGAAATTTAAAAAAAAATTTGGAACGAAATTAGAAGAGAATTTTCATTCCGAAATTTTTTAGATTAGAATTTGAATCCCTTGATTCTGATTCGTTCCATCTGAAAATCAAGCCTAGATAGAATGAATTAGTGGGGTTCAAAAGCAAATTGAAAATTCATAGGAAAAAATGGAGCAGGGCCATGAGATATTGCTAAATTTTTCCCCTTCCATCCATTATTCTATTTTATCTCTCTTTTTTATATTATGAATGAAATGTGTTGGGGTGATTTCAGCAAAATGGTGGAACCATGTCATGATGGCATCAGTTCAGTGCTGAAAATAATCTGAAAGAAAAATAAAAGTCTCATCCAACATCAACGTTATCTTCTCGGCCTTAGTGGGTTGGTGTTGGTGAAGTGACGCACTTAATTTGTTATCGTCCACTTTCATTTGATTTATGATTTCTAAGTTCAGACTCACAACACTTGGAAGCTGTTGTTTCTGTACAAATCATCACCATCCCTTGAACTCTGGCCCGCATGATTTTGTCCATTGTCTATTGTTGTCGAAGAAGCTACTCCCCTCATCATCAACTGCACTTCACTGCAAACTCTATCGATTATGTAATAATCAATAAAAGAAAAGACCTTTCAAAAGAAGCATGCGGTGTAATGTAATCAATGGCGACTCTAATCGCTAATTAATCATAAAAGAAGTGACTACTAACAATTAACAAAGGCATATATCTATATATATATATATGTATGGATGCACCCAAAGGCCACCACACCCCTACCAGTCTACCACCTCAATTTCTCTTGCATATAAATAGCCGAAGCATCTAGTGGATTTGGAACTCCTCCATTCTTGAGATCTAACATCTTGGGTTTGCATTGATTTGCTGCTATATTCATAAATTTGTTGCACAAAATGGCATTGGTGAGACTACCAGTCGTCCTGGTCCTGCTGCTAATTATATCAATAAGCTTGGGAATGGCAGCAGCAGATTCAGCAAAAGATAGAGACGAATGTACGCAGCAGTTAGTAGGGATGGCCACGTGTCTGCCTTACGTTCAAGGCCAAGCTAAGTCCCCAACACCAGACTGTTGCAGTGGTCTCAAGCAAGTCCTCAACAGCAATAAGAAGTGCCTTTGCGTTATCATTAAAGATCGCAATGATCCAGAACTGGGTCTGCAGATAAATGTCACGCTTGCTTTGGGCCTGCCTTCCGTTTGCCAGGTCCCTGCTAATGTCTCCAAGTGTCCCGGTATGTTCTACACTCTACTACACTAAAATTACAAAAATCGTAACCCCGAGGAATTGCAATATAGTCCATGATTTCTAGTTGCCTATGTTGATTTGGGATGGAATGAACCAGTTTTTACTAGTAATTTTGACACTTTCCTTTTGGTTGATGATATTGATAATATATGTATGTATACAGAACTTCTGCATTTGGATCCTAAATCACCAGAAGCTCAAGTTTTCTATCAATTGGAAAGGAACTCTACTCAAACTGCCAACTCGAGTCTTGCTCCAAGTCCTAGTGGTACTATATACAATCATTCACTTCATATTTTCATATTCAGATTTCACAATCGTGAACCGTGATGTTGAAGAATTATTAGACTCTTATTTTCTTCTTAAATAATGAACTGAATATGACAATTTTGGGTTCTTTTCCTACGTAGCAGTTGAGGCTCCCGCCAGTGCCAAAAGCGTGGGGTCAAGTTCTAGCAGCCGAAACAAAGTCGGTGTGTTGCAGTGGAAAGAAAGAGACTCGTCCTGGTGTTTCGCCTTAATGGTTTTCTACTTGTTCATCTAGATACTTGTAGTCGGATTAAACTCTTTTATCAGAACCTCAGATTTTGAGACAGGTTGACATAGTAATTGCCTTGCCTTCATTGTATGACTTATGATTTTCGTTCCAAGAATAAAAAAAACCATAACTCAGCTCTTTCTTCAAGTACTCGTGCAAATTACAATTTATATATGAATAAAAAAAATAGTACGAGCAAAGAATACACAAGCTCTCCCTCCGACTTTCTGTTCAACAATTGTCATCGTTACCTTCTAGGTTATCTTTTAAACAATATTTTTAAATAAAAAATCAATTAAATTGAAAGGCCAGAAGGCAGTAGCACCTCTTTGGGACAAACCATCGAACAGGTGGTGGGCTCCTGGACTAGCGACTAGCAGGGGTCAAATTTTTTTCCCCAGGAAGTGGTTTCCGGCTTGCGGGGGTCCACCCTTGCCCCGCTATAGGTCCGCCCCAACTATACGCATGTGAAGAGAGAATTGAGATCGGGGCGACTTTTCAAAGGCAAACAACCACAATCCGACCTATGGTTGGGCATTTCCACCAAGAAACTGGTCAAACACGCTGAACTGCATCAGTCAGGCAGATTTGCTTAGTACCATTTATAACAATTTCAATTTTAGTTTTTATTTTTGTGATAGTATAGAGGAAAAAGAGAGAGAATGGAAGTGACATCCTCTCTCTGAATCTCATCCTCATTCCAGGGCCCGACTGAATAGAAGCGACATTGGCTAAAAATGTTAAATATGTTAAAGTTGGAGTAAGAAGGTTTCAAACCCCTAACCTCCAACTCACATAACCATTTACCACTGCACCACAACACTTCTTCATTCAATTAAGTGTTCGTAACATATTTAATAGTATCATTCGGATAAAATTTAAAAAATTTATCAATTTATTATAAAATCCTAATATCACCCTAACACTATTGTAGCCCAGAGCATCTTCACCCACAAGGGCTAAGTCTAAGGCAAAGGCAAGCAATGGCTGCCACTATTCACGTGAATAGTGTCAGTTTTTGCATTTGTGGTTCCATCCATGAGGGCAAAGTCTAGGGCAAGTCTAAGGCAATTACTATTCATTGTACTTTATTTCATATTTTTTTATACTTTAAACCATTAATTTTGATAATCTTTTGTAATTAAATTTTCAGATAAGATTTTCACCCTCTAAAATTGTGCAACGTGTCCCATGTCAGATACGATTTTCAGATATTTAAAAAAAAATTATAATCTCAGATTTCAGATAAAATTTTCACCCTATAAAATTGTGCCACGTGTCCAATGTCAGATAAGATTTTAAGATATTTTAAAAAAATTATAATCTCAGATTTCAAATAAGATTTTCACCCTCTAAAATTGTGCCACGTGTCCCATGTCAAATAAGATTTTCATATATTTTAAAAAAAATTATAATCTCAGATTTTAGATAAGATTTTCATCTTCTAAAATTGTGCCACATGTCATCTCTATCTTCTAAATCCCTCCATCTATAAAATTACACCATCAACTCATACCTCTCACACCATCTCTTATTTATTCCTTCATTTCTCAGATTTTAGAAAACACATTCTACTCTCAATGTCAAACTTGTCGAGGGTGTTGGAGAGGCAACAGAAACAAAGGGAAGAAATCCGGCGCAGACGTGCTCAAGAAGATCGGGACGCCGATGAAGAAGAGGAACAAATGCTTGCAGCAGTGGTGTGTATGATGGATCAATCAAGGCAACACCGTCGTCGTCGTGCCCCGAATGTGGACAGACGTAGGGAGTCTCGGGGTAAGAATCTCATGGATGATTATTTTATCCCAAATTCGTTATATCCTGCTTCTAAGTTTCGAGAAAGATATAGAATGCAGCCACATTTGTTCCAAAAAATCATGCATGATATTTGTAATTACGACACATACTTCATTCAAAAGCATGATGCTGTTGGAGCTTTGGGTCTTATCCCGGAGCAAAAACTTACAGCTGCTTTGCGGATGCTTGCTTATGAGGCATCTGCAGAGCAGGTGGATGAGATTCCAAGGATGGGAAAATCTACTATCCTAGAGTGCTTGGTGAGATTCTATGATGCAGTGGAAAATTTGTACACGAGGGAGTACCTTCGCAAACCCACGCCAAGAGACCTGCAACGGCTTCTACAAAAAGGCGAGGCTCGAGGTTTCCCAGGAATGATAAGAAGCATCAATTGCATGCACTGGCAGTGGAAGAACTGTCCTACTGCTTGGCAAGGAGAGTACGGGAATCGGAAGGGCCAAAAAAGTATAATTTTGGAGGCCGTAGCTTCATTCGACTGTTGGGTTTGGCATGCCTTCTTCGGGGTTGCCGGATCTCAGAATGACCTCAATGTCCTTAGTCAATCCCCGGTGTTCGACGAGGTATTGCGAGGTCATTCCCCCCAGGTCACGTACCAAATCAACAATACCGTTTACTCTGGTGCGTACTACCTTGCCGACGGAATTTATCCTAGGTAGACAGCATTAGTGAAAACAATTCTGAATCCCCAATTCGAGAAGGAAAGAAACTTTGCTTCCTTTCAAGAAGGTTACAGGAAAGACGTGGAGAGGTGTTTCGGTATCTTGCAAGCTCGTTGGGCAATTATTAGAGGTGCTGCTCGGATACTAGATGAGGAGGTGCTGCGGAGTATTATGATGAGTTGCATCATCCTCCACAACATGATTGTGGAGGATGAGTATGACTATAATGCTCCAGAGGTGTTTGAACCCGATCCAATGAACACATCGTTGACAAGAATATATGAAAGGCCGATTGGACCAAATGGACTACCACTGGAGCCCGAACCGTTACTTCGGGATGGTCAATTCAACAACCCCATGATTGATCGGTATCAAGAAATGCAATCTTCATATGTTCACGAGATACGTCAAGGTGACTTGGTTGAGCACTTGTGGGAGATGAAAGGCAATCACAATGGATAAAGTCAAGATTAGTGCTTTGTTTGGAATTATGCTTTGTTTTTAATTATGCTTTATTTTGTGTTTGGTGTTTTTTGGAATTATGCTTTTATGTATGGTTTGTTTTGTGTGTTGTTTGCAATAAATGAAGGTTTTTTTTAATTAATATTTGTTTTGATGCTCAAATATTTTTAATAAATAGTCATTTTATTTAATGCTTTTTTTATTGAATAAAAAGGAAACAATACAACAAATTAAAGGATAATACAACAATACAACATATGGCAAAGGTGTTTCAATACAACCTAATGGTTTTCATCATTTAACCAATCCGTATTGCTAGGTCCGTCGTCATGGAAAAGTTTTCTTCTTATCACATCTCTTCGTCGTAGCTTCCAATAGGCCTTTGTTTCGGGAGACATATGGCTCGTATCCATGGCCATGATTTTCATCTCTCTATCCTCTATGTCTTTTTCTTGTGCCTTTTGCTGTTGAATAACAAATGCTTCCTCTCGTGCCACGTCCATTTCATCTCTTTTCAAGTCTCTCTCCATTCTTAGTGAGGTGCTCTTAGCTATTTGCTCCAACAATTGTACACATTCATTGGTCGAAGTGCCCCTTCTCTTGGCCTTTGCCGCCTTTCTCCCAATAGGTCTCGGTGGACGTGGCACAAATGGTGACTCCATTTCCATTGGGGAGTCCAATAGAGAATCGGTTGATGTCGAATCGTGGAGTGGTGTCTCATTCATCACAACCGGCGGACCGGTGGGAATAATTTTGAATCTCAAACAATCCTTCACAATTTCCCAACAATGGAAATGCACGAAACTTTTTTTGCCTTGCCCCATGGCACCGAACCACATTTGTGCTTGTATCATCTATTAAAAATAAATAATTGGAGTGCAAGAAACAAAAATTATTATGCAAGAAAATATAAACTATTTTGAAATGCAAAAATAAAATTGATTATGCAAGAAAATATAGACAAATTAAAGGTGCACCAAGAAAAAAAATATATGCAAGAAAAACAAATAGAATATGCAATAAAAAAAAAGTGACATTGAATTAATTAAAATGGCAATTATAAATATTTTACCTCATCGGTCCAATTTTGACCGCTTTGAATGTTCGCCTTTGCTTTTGTCAAGGCATTTCTCCATTTCCCTAACTCTTTATTCAGAATTTTCCATTTACTAGACAAGGCCATTTCGGTCCGAATAGAACCCGATCTTTGACAAAATTCTCCATGAATTTTGCTCCACATGTGATGAAACTCATCTCATTGCCCGTGATAGGGTCATGACTAATGTTCACCCAAGATTGACACAACGCAATATCTTCATTCGTTGACCACGAGCCTCCGACTTCAACAGAAGATGCCATTCGTTTTTTTATACAAATGGAAAGTAGTAGAAAAATGTGAGTGGAGAGTAAAAAATATTGGAAGGAGAAGAGTTTGTATGGAGAATTGGTGTGGAAGTGAAAAATGTGAGTGGAGATAAAAAAATATTGGAAGGAGAAAAGTTTGTATGAAGAATTGGTGTGGAAAGTGAATAATGTGAGTGGAGAGTAAAAAATATTGGATGGAGAAGAAATTGTATGAAGATTTAGTGTGGAAAGTAAATAAAATGGTTAGGTATTTATAGAGAAAAAATACAGAATTTTTGGGTATTTTTTAAAAAAAATTTCAGAATTTTTTCAATTTTTTTAGCCAAAAAAACAAGGAACATCGGATTTCTGGAAAAAAGCCATCCGAGAGTCCCTGTCGCGTCACGTGGCAAATGCCCGTTGGAGGCTGTCAGGTGGTGACGTCAGCGCTGGCGTCACACTGACGCCAGCGCACGGAAGTCAAATTTTTTATTACACGCGCCAACGATAAAAAAAATTTGAGTTACTGTGCGCTGGCGTCAGCGTGACGCCAGCGCTGACGTCACCAGACTCGGGCTTCAGCCCGGGCAAGACTTGCCCTTGGGCTTCCTCGAGCTCGTGGGACCCACCATGAAACCGAGCTACGGGCCCTGCGCTGGAGCCATCTCGGGCTCACCCTAGCAGCCTTTCACCCAATTTGGGTTGGGCGCTGGACTTGCTCTAAGCCGTTGTTGGTTCAATCGCTGGTTTATGCCTCTTAGTTTGGTTGTTGAATTGAACCCACCCTTATTCTCTCCATGTCCCCACCCATATTCTCTCATATGAGAGTGAGTTTGACTTGTGACGCCGTTTTCTTCAAACTGACGAGTCATGGGCTCAAATCAGAGCTTGGCACCTAAATGTACAGTTTACTTGATTTGCCCTTACGTGTGTGTTGCTCTAATTCTTCCTCAATCGCCTCTGCTAGCCGTTATCTATCTATCTATCTATCTCTCTCTCTTCCGCCAACGACATGGTCAACTTTGCCTTGTCGTCGCATCGCCTCACCACCTTTCTTCTCTTTCTGTTTATGGTCATCATTGGTCAAATCTCACCAAGAAACTGAGTTGATTTCTCAACAAACTGACCAATCAATGGAACCATCAATGTTCGGAAAAGATGAACCGTAGAGCTTGATTCAATGGGTGATTTCCAGCCAACGACATGGGTGGGTTCAGTTGCCTAGGCCTAACCCCACCTCTACCCCAACAACCCCTCCTCACATTAGAATTTTCAGCTGAAATGGGTATGAACATAAAGCTAGTGGCGGATCCAGGATTATGTGGCCAAGGGGGCTTAATGTAAAAGTTTTGAAATTTTTCTACAAAGAAAATAATGCTAAAAAGATAGAAAAATAGTACTTCCATTCATAATTCATATCAAAACCAATAATACAAGTTACAATTGTCTACAAGGAGTTTTCATATTTTGAAAACGTTGCATTATAGTTTCGTTATCAATACAAACAAAAACATCTCTCTCAATGTAAATATGCTTTTCGGATCTCATCCCGAATATTAGGACTATAATCCGTCATTCAAGTTCTTAGTCCAGGGTCTGCTTGAAGATTAGCTAATATCTCATCTACTTCAATTGGTCTTACATTTGAACTACCCAGATTAGATGGAGAAGGACTATCCGTAGATAATTTTCTTTTATAGAATCGTTCCATAAATCTACAAATCAATTAATTCAATCAATCATTAATTTTTATCCAAATTATCATATGAATATGAAAATGTCAATAACCCACTCTCAATATTCAATACTCCCTAAACCCATATCAATCAATATTCAATATACCAAATTATCATATCAAATATCAATCAATATTCAATATACTCAATCAATTCACATTATCAATCAAGCATAAACTCAATCAATCTCCATTATCCATCAATATGATTCATATCCATAAATTTCATTACATTTTTTTTAAAAAAAATAATCAATAACAACAATATATTATCACTAAAATTATTAATATAAATTTTGCCTTACTTCCTTGTAGTTGAAAAAAAGGGCGGCGGACGGCGGCAGATGGCGGCACAAGGTGGTGGTGATCAGCACTGGGCCACCAGCGAAGAGTTGATGGAGGTTGTCGGAGGTTGGGAAAGGTTAGGGTTTGAGAGGGTGGGAAGAGCTATGAAATTGGGAATGAAGGGTTAGGAGGTGCTGTGCAGAGTTGGTAAGTGAAGCTGTGTTCTTTTTTTCTTTTTTCTTTTTAAACCTGGCCCAAAACAACGTTGTTTCGAGGCCAGGTCAATTAAAAATATTTTGACTGAGCCTTGGACCAAACGACGTCATTTGGCAAGGCTCGTTTTAAAAAAAAAGGGACGTGCAGCCCGTGAGCTCAAGGCACAGCCCAGCTGCGTAGCAGAGGAAGCAATGACCTGGGACTTTCGTCGAGCAGTTGGTGTGCATACAAGGGGTCGTCCAGCAGCTGTCCAAGGGGGCGTTCATGGAGTCCCTTGCCAACTTTCTAGCCTTCCAAGGGGTCGTCTGACCCCTATTGTCCCAACGTGCATCCGCCCTTGCATAAAACTGCAACAAATTTATTTTGTTATAAACCTACTATCTCGTATTTGCATAGATGCCTTTCATTTAAATACGCCACCACATACTAATAGTGTCTTAGTAGTGATCACTTGTTTATTTAATCTCTTTCTTTCTCTCTCGACAACCCCTCCTCACTACGCAAATAAATCTATCATTTTTAATGATTTATTTTATCAATTTTCTTTAATTTGTGGTCTTTCTATGGTCACGTCATGGGTCAACAGTAGAGGTGTTGAATAATGTCATTGGTCAAATATAACCTTAAAATAATGCAAAACTCATCTCTAGTCATGGGCCAAAAAAAAAATTCTGCCAAATTTGGAGGGCCACATTTGGCCCTTTAGCCCTCTAACAAGGCTACTTGTAGTTCAGTTTTGGCCTAGGACAAATTGTTTTGTGGGCCCAATACATGTGCTTTCTAAGGAAAGAAAGTATCACGCGTGGGTAAGAACACGAAACATCTCGTGCAACTGCATATCCAATAGCCAATATTAAAGGTTTGCTGATGTCATCGATGACATCAGCTAGCTATTAGGTTTTTTATTTTTTATTTATTTATAAAAAAATAACCTTTTTAAATGTTTTCAAATTCGTTTTGTTTTAATATATATATATATATATAATTGGTTTCTGACCGGTCAGAATCATTGATTGAAAAGTTACTTTTTTAAAAACATTTTAAAAAGTTTTAAATTAAAAAAAAAAAAAAAAATATGGAATATTATCTCTAAATACTAGTTTAATTAAATTAAACAATACATAGTTATGGAATATATGAGTGTTGTACCATAGTTTTTTGGGAGTTTCACTAAAACACCCAAAATGGGGGCTTAAATTATAAAAAAACCCAAGCACTATTTAAACATATAAACACACTCAAAACCCATCATTACACACACTCAAAATCCATTTATAAACACACCCAAAAAATTGACTTTGGGGTTGATTTTGGGTGTGTTTCTATGTTTAAATAGTGCTTGGGTTTTTCTATAAATACATGTCTAGGATTGGGTTTATTTATAAATTTGTATAGTTTTTTCTCAAAATAATAAAATATGAAGGGCTCTAAAAAATAGCTCTGCATGGTTGAAGGTGGAAAAATTTAACTCCACACTATTCTTTAAAAAATTAATATTTTGGAGAACTAAATTTATAGCCGTGGACTACATTTAGCCTTATAACTGGAGATGACTTAAATCTATAAGCTTTTCAATAATCCCTTAATATCTTTCATTGGAGGTTGAGAACCTTGTAACACTTTGATTAAATTTGTGATATGTGACACTTGGTTGTAAGGATGGCAACGGGTCGAGTATAACAATACCATCCCTGTCCTTGAACCCATCTCCCTTTAATAAGTTTCGGGGAATCCCCATCCCCGTCTCCATCGGGGGTATATAATCCAAATCTTCATCATGATCATCTTAAAAATATAAATGTTTATTTATTAAATATAAACATATATATTTTCGGGTTGGGTTTGTGGATAGGGATGCCAATACCATCCCCACTCCATACCTGTCGAGGATTTTTCAAGTTCAGGAATTCCAATAGCTGATACCTGTTTTGCCATGAAATCTCCCCTAATTAGAGGACGGGGACCCGCCCCCTGCAGGGATTTCTATGGGTGCGCCCCTCCTATTTCCATTAGGTATTTACTTTCTGAAGACTTATGTAGGTCTTGACCAAAAAAGAAGAAGACTTATGTAGGTTTTAGTTGGGTAGTCTTGTTGGGTTTCAGCCAATCCCTAATTTGAAAGCATTTTATAATTCAGTAAGAAGAAAAATAAAAATATAAAGAAAAAAACAAACCCACCGGTCATGGTTGGACCATAACTATCTTTATTTGACGGTGATGCCTAGCAGTTGCAAATTGCAGGTTGCAGGTTGCAAGTTGCAAGTTGCAACAACGTACACTCTCCTGTCATTCAAACTTATGGGAAGGAAAGACTGGCTGTTGATGGTTGAAACTTGATGAACAAAGTGGGGCCCTTTCGACAGTAGATTAGGCATATACGATGTGAGGCATTCAACACATCCACTTTACTTTGTTTCCATTTTTCTTATCTTGTGCTCGCTTCAATAAGTCCAACCCTTTTGTTTATAGGCATATGTCAGAGGGGACAATACTGTCTTTTAAAACTTTTCAATTCTAGCGCTTTAAATTTCCGAGATCAGTTATGGGCTTAATGACGGCACACTCTGACCAAAGAAAAAAAAATAAACAATGACAACTTCGTTAAGAAAAGAAAAAAATAACAAGAGGATTTCTTCTTGACGCCAAAGTAGAGAACCTTATTCTGTCCACAAACAATCTAAGATAACACAACAAGACTATAAATTTGTCCGGAGATATCTACAAAGACCCACCGGGGATTTCCTTTTGGCATATGTTTTGATCGTTTTTGTTTTTGTTTTTGCGGGTCTCCTCTGCTCTTTCCTGTTCCTGAGCAGTAACCACCCGAGTCAGCAACCACCCTTGATAGGTATCCTTCGTTCCCTTCCACTTATTACAAGTATCTTTCTGATATTTTAAGCTTTGGTTTTCCATGCCAGCAGCATTTGTCGTCGGTTTTCTACTTGCGTGTTCTTCTTTCGGCATCTGCAATTGCAATTGCAATTGCAATTTCTTGTTTCTTCTTCTTTTACTTGCTTGCTCTGTCTTTAGTATCTGATCCAACACCTTTACTTTATCTTTTGTAGAGCCTATTAATTCATAAGGATGAAGCTCCTGGTTCACTAGTTATTCAATTGTTGGCTTACTAAAAGTTCTTAACTTCATGCTCTGCTCGTGAAATCTTGATATATTGCTTTGACCTTTGTTTTTATTGTTCAATGTCATGTTTATTTATCTTCCTGTTACTTGTTCCTCAGAGTTCCTTCTATTTCTCTTATGCAGCACCTAGAGTTTTTAATAAACTACGGATAAAAAAAGGTCCAAATAAATGTTTCTGTGACATCTCTCTTTTTCTTTCGAGGCCAATGGGGAAATATATCAGATCAATTTACCAAAATTTTAATTTCTTGTGCTGGTAAAACAAGGACCAATTCAATGAATATGTTGATAAATTTTTAGAACCATATATTGCCGAGAAGTGAACAATTAAAGAAAGCTAGTTACAGTATGGTTTACTTAACCTGGATAAAAAGATGAGAATGCAAAATTTCAATAGAATGCAGTTTTGCAATTCCAACTAGAGTTTCCTCTCAGAAGCTTAATAAAACATGCTTTGCAGGTTTCCTTTAGTTTGAAACTACCCTTATGGCTGATTCCACTGAAGAGGATGATTCATTCACCAAGCCTCTTGGAAGATGTACTGTCACTTATTATGGCGTGGGGCATATGCTCAATGACATTACTGCTTCCTGTTGGTTTACATATCTCTTATTGTATCTGACAGATATTGGACTGTCCCCAAGGTACATATCAGTGATATCACTTAGTTTGTATGTATGTGTTTGTGCACACACATTGACATGTGCACTCTTGCTTACGTTGTAATACATACATACATACATGCAGACAGATTATAGTGAATGAGCTTGGATGTCATGTCAGTGAAACTTTCAAGTACTAGAAACACATTATGCTACAAATAGCCCATTTTAATGCAGAGTTTCTGTGGTAGGAAAAGTAGGACTAGATTTGTATATATGAAAAAATATATATATAATCAGGTCGCAAAAATGAAGGTGATTATCCCCTGTTGAGGGTTTGTCTACAATTGTTAGATAGGAGAGAATGCAGATAAGCTTGTCAGGATGATTTAGACTAACTTTTTCCAGGAACACTGTCTCATTATCATACAAAGACCATCTAAATTTGGATGCAAGACTTAAAATTCCCCAACACGGGACTTTATATTCTCAACATGCCCGCTCACGTGTGGCTGAAAATAACTAAGCACATGGATCAATTATATAGGGTGACGTGAAGCACGTGTTATAGTTAGAGCATCCAAACCAAAAACCAATTGACAAATGGGACTGTGATGCAAGGCTTAGAACTCCCGTTGTGGGATTTGCTATTCTCAACATTATTGTATTATCATCTTATTGTTTCAGCATTTTGTATCATCGAGCTCTACAGATCTGTTTCTTTAAGTTGCATTTTCTGTTTCTACTGTATAACTGTTATATATTTTTCTAATTTCTATCTAGGGATGCTGCTGCGGTTATGCTTTCTGGTCAAATAGCTGATGGATTTGCAACGATATTTGCTGGCGAACTGGTATCTTAGTTATAAATTATATCCTACATGCATGATGAGTTATTGTGCAGCGTACAAACTGATATTTCTTATTTGGCCCATTGCTTCTTTGCATACATTCTGACACTCGTTCCTATCCATTTTTCACTATTCTTCAATAAAGCACTTAGTTTTACCATTACTTGTAAAATGTTGTTCTCTCTGTGCAATTTTTTTTTGCCCAAATTTAGGAAGGGGGAGGGGGAAGGGGGGAAACTCACACACACACAAGTACCATGGGAGCTTGAACCCAGGACCACTTGGGAGCACACCAAAGGCCTTGACCAGTCCAACTAACACCCCATTGGTCTCTGTGCATTTAACTTCTACTCTTCTGTAATTTTTGGCTGCACTTCACATGGATTTTTCCTTGCCCAGTCATTTTACATGGCCTAAATTTTGTGCTTTTTCTTCTATCATGATAATGGAATAGGAAATTATAGCATTTGAGCAGCTTTTTTATTTGTTGTTCGAGTCCATATGTATTTATGGACAAGCTGGTGGTATTACATATGGTTATTATATGTTCAAGGATCACGTCCTTTTTGATTGGGGGAGATATAGAGACTATCGAATCGAGATGATTTTTGGACAGTGTTATATAACCACATGAGAAGACAGGAAAATTTGTTCAGAATCTAGTAAAGACTTCATTGATCTCTGTTCTTGCTGCAGATGCAAGAGTAGAATGACAAGGCCTTTGTGATCCGATCCACCTATTCTATTTCCCAAATAATTGAAATCATACCAGGCCAGAAGAAAAAAAAAACCAATTAATTATTGTGAAATTTGCTTATTTCCTTTTCAGTTTTGGCAATTGCAACCACCCCTTTTTTTGGGCAATAATATTCTGTTTCTATTTTTAACTTGATAGATAGACAGGTTTGGACATTTCAAATTGTGGCATGGTGCAGGCTCTGTTTTGGTTGCTATTTCTTTTTCTTCCGTTTTTGGTGGTTGCATGCCCTGTAAAATTTTTGGTACCTCTTCATCAACATTGCGAACTGTTGGTTACAGTATGTTTGCTGCTATATTTAATGTGGGTTGGGCAGCTGCTCAGGTTTCACACATGTAAGTACTTCCTCAAAGTTTACAGTAAAATTTTATAAGTGTAACACCATTTGATAAGATGGTGAACCTAGTGTTGTTGAAGAACAAAACATCTTCATCCTCTGTTATAATTGAAATGACCTACACAGATCCTGTTTTTGTTTTTCTAACAAATTGGAACTTGAAATGGCGGCATTGCCATTTTCAGTTTGCTATGTAGTTCTGAAATTTTTTTCTTGATTCATGTTTGTCGTTCATTCGTTTTAGGACTGATTATTACATAGAGTGAACAGAGCTATTTTCTGAAATGCAATAAGCTTGGAGCATTAGTGAGCCTGCTCCCCCCACCCCCTCATTTTAGGGAAAAAAAAATGAAAGGGCATGTTCTTTTGGGCTTTGGAATATCTGAACACTTATGAAAAATAACTGTTCTATTGCAGGTCTATGTTGAATTGCATTACACTGAATCCAACAAGCAGAGTGATCCTAGCTAGCTGTCGAAATGCTTTTACTATGGTTAGTTTCCCTTTGAATTTTTGAATTGATTAATCAGCTCCATGTTTTTTTTTTGTGTTTGTGTTTATTGAAATTTTTTAAACCTTTTAAAGGTTGCCAACCTCAGCCTGTATGCAGTTGCTTTTATAGTCTTTGGTGTCACTATGGCAAGCACACATGCCGACATTGAAAATCAGGTATTGTCATCTTCTTAGCATTTGTGATCTACCTATTAAGGGCTTCCCTTCAAGCATGCCCATCACATCACTATCGCAAATGAGCAGTACCGGTGGATTGCATATTTGTCAATCTTCATAGGATGCTGCTTTGTGGGTATATTTCATCTCGGAACCAAAGAGCCAAGGTTTGCTGATTTTTCTTTTTCACTTTTGATTCATAATGTTCACCAAATACTGATTTTTATTTATCATTATCATATTATAAGAAGCATTTTTTTATGCGGGCTGCAAGAAGAATATTTGTATTTATTTTACAAAAAGCACCTGTCTATCAGGTCCCCTGCACCCGTGTGGGGATTTGAACAATTGCTCTTCTGTCAACACCTATTTCTTCCTGATTTGCTCATTCTCGGCTTACCTGTTTCTGATTCCCAGGCCCCCTGTTGTTGAAACCCAACAAAATAGCACTTGATTGCTCCCTGATTTTCACTCTCACTGAGTTCTCAAAAAACCATTCTAGCGTCTTACAGGTCAGAGGTCCAGAAGCAGCAAGACTTTCTCCCTGTTCTTGGTTTAACTGTTGGCTGTTGCTGATTCATCAACTGTTTGCTCTCTATTTATTCAATTTTCTCCTCTGTTCTTTCCCTATCTTTATCAGAAAGTCCATCATTAGTATTCTTTATGTTGTTAGCCTTTAGGCATGTATCCACATTAGTGGTTTGTTCTCAGATTTCAAATGTTACTGTGTATGTTTCTAAAAAGTGAAGCATATTTTTTCTGTAATAATCCTTAAAATCTTGTAAGTTGTAACTATCCAACTGTTGATAGTTGATTGTACTAATCAAGTTTATTACATGTGCAGATTAAAAGTAAGCTTACAAGGAAATAATCATTCAAGGATTTCATGGACATACTGGTTCAAGAGAGTTCTGTATTATCAGGTTGCTCTTGTTTATGTGCTTACCAGACTAGTGGTCAATGTTTCACAGGTCAGGACTTTTTTTTTCTCCCTCTTTGTGATGCTTGTTTTTCTTCATGAAAAGAAATAACTCAATTTTTACTGTATCTAATAAGAAAGGGACAGCTGATAGTCCCTACAGAGCATCCAAGTTGAGAACTCCCTTATGATAGTGACTTCCCTAGGAAACCACTTTTGCAATATTATCCCCGCATAATAGAAGTTATTGCTAGGTCTTGGTCTCAACCTTTGCAGTTCTTATATCTAGATGGCTTTCTCTTGTTCAGGCATATCTTGCATTCTATGTTATAGATGATCTGCACATGGCACAATCAGCTAAAGCTCTGGTACTACCACAAAAATATTGTCATTATATTTCTTCTGATGTTAGAGATTATTTAATTTTTGAAGAATGCAAGACTGATTTATCTTTTGTAATTGATGGGAATAGGTTCCTGCAATTATCTACATTAGCAGCTTCCTCGTATCTATAATACTACAGGTCCCCATGAAACTCAGTTTGTTTGTTGAAATTCTTATTCGTATGTACTTTGTTGTGTTGATATCTAACCATTAAGTATTCATATTATAGGAGATCTCATGGACTGGCCAATGCCTGAAGGCCTGCTATTCTGCTGGAGCCATTGTTTGGATATTTTGTGGGGCAGGGATCCTGTTTTTACCTGGAAGCATGAGTGCTTTCATGTACGTTATATCCGTATCTATTGGCATAGCAAATGCTCTAATGATGGTATGATGTCAAATTTGGTGCTTTCATCTTCGCTTCATGAAATTTTGAAGTGCATTTCGTATTGGTTGCATTTTGGAAGGAAGATGATGAAGCATTGTCATGATTTTGAACTTAATTAAATTTAAGTCGTTTGGTTCTTTGGGATTAGGGTTTCAATTGGTTCAAGACAAGAAATATGAAGTATGTTAACATTAATACTTGAAACAAATATTAAGGGACAGGAGCACACCGCCCTTAGAAAGCTGGACCATATCATATGCCTGCCAGCTGATATTTTGTCAACAACGTAAAAGATGATAGATGTTTACTCTGTTGGTTTAAGTGGTACTACGGATTTGAAAACATGAGACAGCTCAGAACTCTGTAAGAACACTGTAGATTGCTTTGAAATGATCTTTAGGGATTGAAATTTCTCACTCTACGTTTAGCTATTTCGAAATCCTAATGGTTTGAAAACATACTGCCATTTTTAATCCATTAACGTAGTAGTTGCTTATAAATTCAGATTTAATCATATTTTGATGTAACAGGTGACTGGAGTAAGTATGCAAAGTGTTCTAATCGACAGAGATCTCAATGGCTGCGCATTTGTATGTGGATCATTAAGCTTCATGGACAAAATCTCGTGTGGGCTTGCCTTATTTGTGCTTCAGTCATATCAAAGTAAGTTACAGCTTTGTGGATCATTTGCTATATTAAATATATATTTATGCTCATCTGTTTCTATTGAATAATATGTGTGCATTTAGGAAGATACATGATTGGTTATTTGCGTTTTTTCTTACTTTTGTTGAACTGGATCTATAAAATTGTTATGTGGTTCTTAGTTCATCAGGTTTAAAGAGTTTGGGTAGTGGGATCTCCCTTTCAGATAAAAAATTGCATTTCGAAGTCTATATTTTGGATGGTTAAGCTTTAAATCAACGTAGGTGTACATGGAAATAGATCCAATCATTACTTAATGGGGTGCACATTGTTGAAGAATGTGAAGTCCCACATCGAAACTTGACAAAATTAAATATAACATATATAATGAGTGATTTCATTACTAGTCGAATAGCATTGAGGCGCACATATGCAGGTTCTTTAGGCCTAATTAAGTTAGACATTGTAGAGTTGTTTTATGTACTTCTTAAATCATGGTTGCCAAAACTCGGGAATGAAAAGTGATGACTTCTAGTATGCCAATAGTTAACTTTTTTACATGCAGGTACGCGAGTCATACAGGAAAACCATTCAAATGATGTCTACTTCTCAGTCACAAGATTTGGTTTGGGTTTTGTTCCGGCAGTTTGTTCACTCATCTCTGTGATAGTTACTTACACCATGAAACTCCAACCTGCTCCCCGTAAACCTTTAATGGAGCCTCTATTGGTATAGCTTCTACGAGAAAGCAAATTTGACACGAAGTTCTATGATGTGTTCAAAAAGAGACCGAAATTAGCTTTGCAGTGCTTTAGGAGATGCTGAATTTTTCAGCAATTGATCATGTAGCCGTGCAATTCTTCACTTGGTTGTATTCTTTTGTTGAATACATTGCTGGCATGACTGCAGGAAGTTCTGTATATAATTATTTCACAAAATATTAATTTGTTTGTGTTATTGAGTTCTAAAATTCCAAGGAACGTTCAGAGATGGCCTTATATCACCTACGGCCTCTGGTTTTGCCGATTATTTAGGCATGCGAATCGATTAATACTAGTATTTTTTACTACACAAAACTGAAAAGAATAACCTCTTAATTGCCCAACATATCTTCACAGTACGCATATATAGAACACATGTAGAGGAGAAGACAAAGCGTTTTAGTAAAGATTTGAAAGCGGACTCAAATATGTAGGTCTTGACCACGGTCAAAACTAATGTTGCATTTGTAATCAGAAGATAACCGGCCTCCGGAAAATATTTCAGCTGGCAGCAAGTGAAGATTATTGCTTTACATAGTTAAACGAAGAACAGCCTGCCTAGGTTCTCTTAGGGTTGGATCGCTCTCGGCTTTGACCAAATGTCTAAAAACTTTGGCACAACGACTCACCAATTTTTTCAGCTTCACTCCTTGCAAACCCACTGCTTTTTGCTGCTTCTTGACCAGTTGAAGGTGATTCTCTTCATCAGTGAAGTGTTGGCCTAGTGAACTTCTTGCTCTGCTCCCTTGGTCACCCGACTTGATGATCAGCTTTGCTTTTTCATCCCCATCGATCAGCTGCTTAAAGCTTTTACGATTATCATTGTCTTGATCACCATCTTCAACTCTCGACTTTGAGGGACAACTCTGATCTCCTCCATTGCCATCCAGAAAGCTCTCAAGAGCAGGAATGATTTCTCCACAAGTAGTTTGATTGGCATCTGGGACTGGGACGCTATAATGAAATGACTTTCTAGTCCTCTTTGACATGCTAATATCATAACAGCGTTTGTTGATGCTGCATTCACTCCCCATTAATTTATCCCTGCTTTGTTTAATTAAGGGGAGTGCGCCGCAGTGTTCCGTTCTCCACGAGGAATATATGACATGATATCATAAATTCTAAGAAACATGTGGTGGTTCTAACTTCTAGGAGATTGCTTAGCGATGGAGCAATTGATGAGTAGTTTGGCATCTCTTCTCAGAAGGTGAAATGTCTCCTGTCTGCAGGTCTCTTCTCTTGTAACTGGTGGAATAAACCTTACATTCCCCCTTTAAAAGTAACTCATGATAAATATTTTAGCGGGGAATTGATTCTTGAGAAAGGGTGATGCGAAGTCGCACCAAATGCATTCATTATTTATTTGTTTATGTCCACCATTTGAGCTAGAGGGCACCTTTCTAGATTTGATCAGTCAATCTCTCTGCTTGTATTTTTCTTAGCCACCTTTTTCTTTTCTCTGGTTAGGTAGGTGACCTTCATGCTTTCAGATCATCCGTTTTAGAAGAACGATGCCATTTAGATTTAGGACACAAGCAGGATACAATCACCAAAACACAAGCAGGATAACATCTGTTTCGCCTTCCTCATTATCGTATTGAAGGAAGAAAATGTAGAAAATAGTATGAAGGATAACAATAAAGAAGATAATCGTGTTGCTTTGGGTAACAATTGCTTTAAACCACTACACTAGGAGTTCAAATCCTCTTTCTTTTTTAATCTGTCCCTTTGCTGTCCGTTCCTTAAATTTTTGACACGTGTCATATAATTTAAGAGTAATGCTATTTAGACACACAAAATTGATCACATTTGCTGACAACTTTATATGACAGCTAATGTGGTCATGTCATGTCAATTAATGAATATTGTCATGTAGAATTTATTTTTATTTATTTCCTCTTTTTAATAATTATTAAAAACAGAAATCAAAAGTAAAATTTAAAAAATTTAAAAAAAAGGTCCCTGGAATTGTCTCCAATGCTCCCATCTTCCTCCATCAAATCTACCCATCCCTTTCCTCCATTGTTGTTGAGATTTGGAGTTTTCTCAATAAAAAAGAAATTAAAAAACCCTGTGTCTCTACATTTCTTCTCCTGCACTCCATTCCTCCGTCAAATCGACCCATTCATCCTCCATTATTGTTCCATTGTGAAAGGAATTAACTACACTAAAAATTGAGTATGTGCTGCCTTCAACCTCTTCGTGAGAGGCTTTTGGAGATTAATTGACAAGTAAACCCATTCTTCAACCCACTCAAATTGTTCTTACTGGCAGTAGCCTAGGGACGCTAATTTCTTTTTTTATTAAAAAAAACTCCAACTCTCAGCAACAACAATGGAGGATGAGGATGATAGATTTGGAGGAGGAAGGGAGGGCATGAGAGAAAGAGTAGAGAACGACGTGAGGCTACAAACGTTAGGGTTTTTGTATTTCGTTTTTATTGAAAAAGATTCAAAACTCAGCAACAATGGAGGATGAGGATGAGTGGATTTGATGGAGGAAGAAGGGAGTGTTGGAGACGAAGAGTCCAGGGACGCTTAGGCCCTGCTTAGTTCACGGAACGAATTTGAGGAGAAATAATTTCCCAAGTCATTTCCTAAAGGATGGGAAATAGAAGATTTCTTTCCCAGGTTTGGTAATGTTGGGAAAGTAACCAGGAAATATTACCTTATTTCCTTTCTCATGTTTGTTTTGAGTAGGAATGGAAAACAAAATTCGTATAAATTTTCAATTATACCCATATTAAATCAAATAAAAAAAGAATGCATTTAATGATATATTGTAATTCTAAATTGTTAATGGGGACAAAATGGTTATGAAAAATGCTTATTTAATATTGGCTCATTTTCCCAAACTTTCCCATGATGAGAGATAACAAAATCCAAGTTGGGAGGATGACTTGACTTTCCGCTTTACTTTCCCATGAGCCAGGCAATAATTTCTCATGTCTGGACTTACCATACATGAGAAATCAATTAATTTCCCACCCCCAAGTCTCATTTCCCATGAACCAAACGGGGCCTTAAGGTTTTTTAATTTTTAATTTCACTTTTAATTTTTGTTTTTAATAATAATTAAAAAAGAAAGAAATAAAAATAAAATCTACATGGCAATATTTATTAAATGACATGACCACGTCAGCTACCATATAAGGTGGTCAACAAAAGTGATCAATCTTGTGTGTCTTAATTTAAAACCAATTAACTAAAACTTGATAGTGTTAACCTTTAAATAACCATGTTATCTCCCTTTTTTTAAAAATAAATAAATAATTATTATAACACGTTTCTTCTTCCATCATTGTTATGTCCCTTCATCTATATATATAAAGCAAAAGGCATAGAATGATAAATCATTCAAAATACCAGAAAATGCTCATTGGTTAATGCAAACATAAAAAATTGAAATTATTAATTAAATGAGGATAATATGGTAAATTCATATTTTTTCATATTAAAAAAATATTAAAATTCAAATTAAAAGAAAAATAAGATAATGGATCTTATTTTCATGGAACACAACTACCCATTATCTTTTTTAATAAATAAATAAAAATAAAAAAAAAAAAAAAAAAAAAAAAAAAAAAAGCAAGCTTGTGCAAGTGAAGTGCTAGTCTTCATTAAATATTATCGAATTCTTCTTCTTCACACCTCACCAGCCAATGCTTCACCCATGGATTCTTTGATTTGTAAGAAATAGATTAATGCAATGACTTTCTTTGTTTATATATATTGTGGGAGCGATTTTTGTCCCACAAAAATATTCGTCTAAGATTCTGTCTTCCTCTTTGCTTCTCTTTCTCCTTACAAAACACTACGGAGTAAAAGACCACACCCAGAGGGTGTTGAGCAAATGCCCTCCGATGCCTAAGTTAAATAGAATGTTTGTAAGAAAACAATAGCTAACAATAGAATGGAGATTTCTCTAGAGTGAGAACAGGATGGCCCGAGCCTTGTGTGTGAGAGAGAAAGAGTATAGCGGCTAGGGTTTGTGAGAGAGAATTTCTACAGAGTTTCATACAGAAGTTTAGACGTACCTCAACCCTTGTGCGTAGCTATGTATTTATAGGAGTCTCGGAGGATAGGGTTTCAGAAGAATAATTCCACAGATGGAGTAGCAATATAAGCAAATATTCTCATGAACTCTCTTGAGTGTTCTTATCATTCTAGCTCTTGTTCTTGTCTTCTTGCTTGGTTCGATCTTATTTTACATGAAGGAAAGCTTACTTAGCTTGTTCGATAGCGTAAAGCTCTGATACCAACTATCATGAGATGATTGATTGAAGTCTTCCTTCTGTGCGGCCTTAGACTTAATCGCCTCTCGAACAAGCTAAGTCAACCTTCCTTCCTGCAAAATAAGATCGTACCAAGTAAGAATACAAGAACAAGAGCTAGAACGATAAGAACAATTAAGAGAGTTTGGGAGAATATTTGCTTGTATTGCTACTCAATGCTTTACAAGTTGAGCGTGGGAGCAAATCAAAGAAGGATCGATCCAGAGATGTAGTAGTAGCAATGGAGTAATGGCTTTCAAGGATGGAGACTGCTGTTCGCGACTTTGATCAAAGACTCGATAAAGATGTCCTCACGAAAATAGGCTTAGAAGGCATGGTTGAAAAACTTCAAGGCCAATTTTAGGGAGCCCTAAACTCCGTGCTTGACACCATTAAGTTGGATGTCCAAACCAAACTGGACCAATTCATGGCCGAACTCACTACACTCAACAATGAAGTGAAAGATGTGAAGGGAGATTAGGCTATGTGTCGAGAAGCTGTCTTGAACAAGGCCCTGACACCAAAGGAACCTAAGGTGTTAGTGTTGTTTTTGGTTTGATCCTGTGAAGGTAGGATGAAGTTCCCTATTGACTCGAAAACCATTGACTGGTCAAAAAGCCAACTCTCTTTTTGTGTATGAACGTGCCACTACTAGCAATAAAAAAACCCTAGCAGACTCTAAAAACAGATAACTTGCGTCCCAAGTTACTGATTCTGAACAAACGATTGTGAATTTGGGTAGGGAATATCTCCCAAGAAAGTTCTTTTTCTGCCTCAGGCTGGTGATGAATTTCACAATTTTCATAGTACAAAAATTGGTAGTTCTGGCTAGAATAAATGATAAGAAAATGAACTATTTTAGGCAGAACTGCCTTTTACAAAGCTTAGAAAGAGAAAGACCATCTAAAAAAGACAAAAGAGCGTTGGACTTCAATTTCTGCCAAGATAACTGCTTTTGAGCCGGACTGGACTGGGTATGTCTGTGCTTGATTGGACCATCAACACCTTCAACTATCAAGTTTCAGCTGTAAATCGATACCAACGTTCGAGTTTGGCAAAGATTTAATCTATTTCAAGCCCTGTAAGGCTTTTTGAACGGGCAAAATTGGAGCCTCTTCAGTTTAAAAGGGGTAGAAGTGGCCTGATTTGATGATTACTGAGCTGGAACTGCACTATAATAACTGTTCTGCTTGATCACAGCTTTCCATAAATTTGTTGAGGTTTTCATATTATGAGAACCCTAAACTCTGCTTGATCTGGCCCATACTGAACCAAATTTATAACGAGAGAAATCTCACTTTGTAAACTGTTTCTCTAAGCTGAACTGAATTCAGAGTTTTTGAGTTCTAGCTAACTTACTTCTTGTGGCTCAATGAGCTTTGGTTGCTTTAGTGTTTGAAGGCTTTTGAGATCAATTGATCATTTTGAGTTTGTCAGTTATGACTTTGAGAGTTTTTGTCTTCATTGATTTTTTGGGTGTGTCTTATCTGTTCACCTTCTCTCTTATTTTATAAGAAATACTGGAGTGGGGTTTTTAATCTTTGAATAATGGGCGGCAAATCTTTTCAAAAGATCTTTTTTTTGATATGCCACAAAAAAGGGGAAGCTATCTATTCTGGTAGAGAAGAACCATCGGCAGTCGGTTCCCATGGAGATTTTTTCCTTACTTTTTCCCAAAAAGAAAATCAACTCCCTTCTTATTCTCTAATTGCCCTTTGTAAGAATGCAATCTACCATGATGGTCAGTTTTCTTTTCCTGATGAATAACTCCCTTGCTCCCTACTTATCTCTCAAAAAATGTAGTTTGCTTATCTCTTGGAAATGACACATGCTTTACTGCAAAATTTCTTTGTATATAGAAAGGGATTTTAATCTTCTTTTTGGCAGTGAAAAATGGAGAGGTCTTCCTGTAAGACCTGTTTTCATTAACTCCAATCACCTCGCCTATGTTTAGTTGAAAGTTTTGACTTTTTCTAAGGTTAGAAAGTCATATGGGGATTTCTTGAGAGAAACCTTTTTTAGAAATTTTTTTGCTGACTTTCTTCCTCCTTGGGTAGAGTGAGTTTTCTAACAAAATGGTTAATGATGTTTATTTAGAATAGGGCTAAATTCACAATCTGATAAAAGTGAAAGGACCCGACCCAAATTCCACTTTGGAATCCGAGTCGAACCTTGTGCGTGTCCGACACCTGGTGGTTATCGGACACAGTTGGCCAAATATCCGTTCTAACCCAAAATTCAAATACGACTTCTGTTGAAATTCGGCAGTCTCCCCTAAAAATTGGACATTTCCCCAAAACTTCCACATGTCAAACAAGCATATACAAATATAACCCAACTGCTAGTATGTATCAAATTATATCAAAAATCAAGCATCGTATTATTTTGGCCTCAGGCCTCAGGCCTCAATAAAACAAATAAATCACTCTGTTAATAACATTCATCTCAGCTTTATCAATAATACACTAACAATCTCAAAGACTCCAACTCTTGGTTGCACCTTGTAACCTCAGGCTGCCTACGTACCCTTACTGAGAGATCAAGCCACACATAGTTCTTTCATCTAGTCCTGATCCGGCAACTCCAATAATACTGTCAATTCCTTCCTCACAAGCCGAGCCGCAATCCTCTTAGGCCTTGGAGATACCGCTTCTATCCAGGCTGCAACCTATAACTAACTATCTATCATCGCAGGTCGATCTACAATCCTCGCAGACCTCGGAGATACCGCTTTTATTCGGGTTGCAACCTATAAATGACTATCTAATTAACCCGTAACATGATTTAGAAAACTCCATTTCGGTCAAGACTCGTTACTATAAACCTAGCCCTATGGTTGGCATTTCTGGAGTGTTCGGGACTTCGTTTTATGATATGTCGAGTCCTGTATGATCATGAAATTACCTAGATCAACATACCTGAAAATGACTACGATCCAACGGCTCAAACATATTGAACTCGAAAATCGCACAGTAGGCGAGATCCATTCGGGGTCCAAAAGTTATACGAATTGAGATCCCCGAATTCCTACGCGCTCGTGAGGACCAAGGGATCATTCTAGGACTGAAAGTGGTCCCCACCCTGCTGCCCATGCGCCAGCACACGCGCTGGCAGCGAGTGGGTGGCTTGATCAATTTCCGGTGGCCGGTAAAACTCTAAACCGCCAGCCCAAAATCCTACCCTAGGTGTAACACCCTGTTTGGAATCACTTTTGTTCTTGGACCTACCCTAAAAACTGGCCGGAATAGCGATCCCAAAAGTCAGCCTAACCCTAACTCAAAAATTGAGCTATCTACGCTTCAAATTGGTGAAAACCTACCCAACCACCTGCTAGAGATTGAAAATTAGATAAGAAACCATACCACAATAGCCGGAAACGGTGGCCGGAGGAGGGAGAATGAGCTCTGTGAAAAACTCATCAAAACTGACTGAATTTTGGGCTTTTCTGGCAACTACAGTGGCGGGCTGCAGCGGAGATCGGGTAGGGCTGGAAGAGGATGGTGGCCCGGTCATTTTGGGACCAGTCCCAGCCCAAATGGTGGCCGGACGTGACAATGCCAATCGAAAAAACAGTTCAGCTGGAGGGAAGAGTGTGACTCTGTCGCTTGCCTAGCCAGAGAGAGAGAGAGAGAGAGAGAGAGAGAGAGAGAGAGAGAGAGAGAGAGAGATTCTGGTTTTAAAAACTAGTTTGGTAAAGTTACGATTTTGCCCTTACTTGAATTTTGATCGTATCTCTCTCGTTACAACTCAGATTTGAGCCCACCATGTGTCTGCGGACTCATCTCGATGTGCTCTACGCAACGGCGTAATCGAAATTCCCAAATCCCTTTTCGGTCAAAAAGTCAACTTTAAACCTAATAAAATATTTGGGGGGTATTCTAGTCATTTCTTTGAATAAAATCATAATTAAGAATGAATTAAGTATCGGGTCGTTATAAAAAGTGTCTTGGCTTATTTCAAGATTTTGGTTTTTGACTCCTGATCCATTTAGAAAAAGCCCAAATGTTTTGTTGTGGGCCACTTGACAGAAATGGACTGGGCGTGCCGAGAATTGGCCCAGACTCAAGGTAAACTTTGGTGGTTCCCAAAAATTGACATGGGCTTCTTTAATTTTGGGCTGGGTGTGCCAAATTAGGCCCAAACAGTTAGATACTTTCAAGTCCAAATCCTTTAATGGGAAGAGGGAGGTGAAGGAGCTGGACACTTTCCTATGGAATATCGAAAGGTATTTCAAGTATCTTAAGATGGTGAGTCCCAAATCTCTACAACGACATTGTTTCTCACCGACAATACTCTCATGTGGCAGCGTCATCGATCCATGGAGATCAACCAAGGTACTTTTAAACTTTAGACTTGGGATGAATTTAAGAAGCATATTATGTTGAATTTCTATCCAAAGAATGCCAAGTATGAGGCAGGAGAAGGTGAGATGGCTAAAGCAAATAGAGAGCGTGAAAGACTATGTCACCACATTCCCCAACCTATTGTTTGATGTGCCTAACATGACAGATGAAGACTGTAGGGGACTTTTTCTTCCTGCAGCTAACGGGCTGGGCTGCTGCAAAAGGTGGACTGAGGAGATTGCCCCTTTTTGTTTAGGTTCGAAAATCAAGCCCTAAAATACCTCGAAAGGGCAGCGAAACCTTAGGAGATATTTTAGATAATCTTCACCAATGAGAATAATAGTGACTTGCAGATAATTTTGGCATGCCTACAGATGGTTTTCAGGCTCAGCATGAGTGGCATGAGGCATGGGGAGCAAAACCAACATGGGTTTAGCACTAAGAGAGAAATTAGGCTTGGTTTATGAGGAATGAAAGTGTTTAAGTAAGGAATGAGGTGTTTTGTGAGGAATTTTGGCTAGAGAAAGAGAAAAAGAGAGGCAGGGTTCTTCCAGCAGCTGCCAGAAGAACAAATTGGAGAAGAAGATGAACAGTGCACGAATCTAAGTTTTGCAAGATAGAGAGAAAAGCTTGCTCTCTGCAGGTTGTGAGTTGTGTTTGTTGGGTAGGGGAAGGCTCAATTTATAGCTGCCGGAAATCACCATTTTTCAAGAAACCCTAATGGCTTCTTCTTACTTTGGCTGAGCTTTTCTTCCTTTCTCCTCCCCTTCTCTGACTTCCCTTTCTTGGCAAAGATTGCTTCTGTCTGTCTTTATGAATTTAGGAGATTTGGGGGCTCAACATCCTCCTTTCCCGCGGCTGTGCAATGAGGGCTTCCACTCTTGGTTTGCTGTTTTTCTTCTTTTCTTTCCTCTTCCTTGGCTGAATCTGATGAAGGAAAGGAGGTGCAAATGTATGCTGGTCCAAGGGATGCTTCTGACAGCATGCAGGATGGTATTCATCGGTTCTTTGGATGTCTCTGGCTTGGGACTGGTTTCCAGCAGCTTTGCTTAAGGAACCTGCCATCTACTCCTTCACGTGTTCTCTGTTTTTCAAAAGGGCTGAAGCTATTGTGGGCCCTTTTTTGGGCTTTTCTAAGGGCCAAGATGGCTTTCTAACCAAATGGGCTTGTTGGGCTTCTTGATTTGGGCTTATTATTATTTTTGGTTGGGTTATCTCTTGGCTAGGTTATTTTGCTTGGGCTTTTGGGCTATTTTTTCTCTCTTGTGCTTACCCACATGTTTGGGCCTAAGAAATGGGCTTGAGTCTCGAGGCTCCCAAGCAACCCGAGACTTTCCATTTCTTGGTCCATCAATGGGCCTCATGTTGATTTATTACCATCCATGCCACAACCCACTCAAGCAAGCCCCGTGTCTTTTTTGAGTGGCTTGGGCCCACCTAGGCTTGTAGCGCGGTTAGATGCGAGATAACGGCATGGCATGTTGCTCGGCATATTTTACCTTATCGCCCTTGGGAAGGATTGTTTTAATTTTTAGCATGAGTTAATTATTTTATCGCGAGTCATAGCATGATAATTTGTTTGTTTAGCGTGGCATGTGGATTACAACTCGCATGCAATAGATCCTTTTTCCTTTTCCCTCATGGAAATATTGTATTGGGCTGATAGTTGCTTGGGCCCGATCCATAGATTTTTTTGGGCCTCAACAAAGACAAACTCATGTACTTCATGATTAGCCTACAGAATTGGGCCAAGCTGGAGTTACAAATGAGACATGTCCAAACCTTGTCAGAGGCAATTGCTGCAGCTGAGTCCCTTGTCTAGTTCAAGAAGAATGATCAAAGCGACTCCAAGTTCAAAGGAAAGAAAGACAACAATGAATTCGGTGGGGGAGACAACAAGCCAAAGGAGAGTGGCAAGTCCGACAGTCACAAGTCATCTAGAAAGAAGAATGACAAAGGTGACAAGTATGCATAGAAGTGGAGTTCCTTTTACTCTTATCCATTCCGATGTTTGAGGTCATGCTAAAGTTCCTACTCTTGTTGGGGCTCCATAATTTGTTACATTTATAGATGATTGCAACAGTATGACTTGCATTTCCCTCCTTAAATCTAAATGGGTGGTTTGTTCAGTATTTCAACCGTTCAAAAAAAATTGGTGGAGACCCAATTTACTGCCAAAATGTTTGATTCTCCATTCTAATAATGACGATGAATATGTCAACCGTAATCTACAACATATTTTCACGGCCATGTCATCGAATAGCAACGGTCATGTCCTTAGAGCATCTGCAGCGCTCACCCAAAATCGGGGGAAAGGGCCCCTAGGCGAGCCCAGAAGCGCTCCAGCGCGAGAGAACGAGCCCGGGCAACTGCTGGGTCCCACCAGCCCGGGCAGGCCCAAGGGCAAGTTCTGCCTGGGCTTTAGCCCGAGTTTCGTGACGTCAGCACACGGAAAATCAATTTTTTTCACCGTTGGCGGGTGAATTTCACGCTCCAACAGTAAAAAAAAAATTTGATTTTCGCTCGTTGACGTCACTTCTGACAGGCTCCAACGAGAATATGCCACGTGGTGCTTCCTAGACACTCTGATGCAATTTTTTCCAGAAATCTGACGGCTTTGCTTTTTTTGGCTTAAAAAATTGCAAAAAAAATCGAAAAAAATTCAAATTTTTTTATAAAAAACCAAAAAATTATGGATTTTTTCCCTATAAATACCTAACAATTTTATTTACTTTCCACACCAAATTTTCATACAAACTCATCTCCTTCCAATATTTTTCACTTTCCACACCAAATTTTCTACTACAAAATTTCATTTGTGCAAAAATACAAATGTCATTTTCCATCGAAGTCGGAGGGTCTTGGACAAATGTTCGAAGAGGTCAAAATCTTGGCAACGAGGTAAAAAAAAATAATATAAAAAAATTCCGTTTTATTCAATTTAATGTCTTTATATATATATATATATATATTTCTTGCATTTCCAATTTCTTTTTTTTTAATAGATTAGTCAAGGCAAAACAAAAAAGAGGAAAACCATTACACGTGGCACCTCAAGTGAACAATGCTCGTAGTCAGTTCCAGTGGTGCGTTCCGTATCAGAAATAATAGCACTATTACGTCCTCCGAAGGAAAATACTCCCCCACGTCGTGATCCGGTGGAACCGCCTCCTCCAATGATGGAATTGTCCTTGTATTCCATTGTGTCGGACTATGAGAACCAAGAATATTTCAATTGTATGATGAGTGAGTAGGTATTTCAATTGTATGATGAGTGAGATGTGAATTTTATAATAAATATGGACACGTGGCAACCGAAAATTTTATCCGAAAAATGTTATCTTAAATTTTAAATGAAAATTTTATAATAACTAGTGATACGTGACAACCGAAAATATAATCTAAAAAGCTTATCAAAATTAATGGTTTAAAGTATAAAAAAAATAGGAAATAAAGTACAATGAATAGTAATTGCCTTAGACTTGCCCTAGACTTTGCCCTCATGGGTGGAACCATAAATGCAAAGGCTGACACTATTCACGTGAATAGTGGCAGCCCTTACTTGCCCTTACCTTAGACTTAGCCCTTGTGAGTGGAAGTGCTCTTATACACCCCAGCAAAATGGGGTGACTAAGAGCAACTCCACCCATTTGTCCTTAGTCATGGCAGGGGGAGCTAGGGCAGCCACTATTCACGTGGCTGCCCTTGCAAATAGTATTGTGTGTTTCCACCCATTGCCATGGCAAATGGCAATTACTATTCATTTTTTTGTTTTTTTCACAAATTTGTTTACCTAAACAATTCATTTGGATAATATTTTTGGGTTCGTACGTGTCAATATTTATTATAAAATTCATATCTCAATCGGATAAAATTTTGGTAAAAAAAAAAAAAAAAAAAAAAAACAGTAATTTTTTGTATTTAAAAAAAAATTTTGATTTTTTTTTATTGCACAAAAATTGGCTGCCATTGGATTGGAGAAAAAAATCTGATCGGAGAGCCCAGAGCGCGACATGTGGACTTTAGCGGCACTGTAGCGTCACTATAGAACGCATGACGTCAGCGCCCGCGTTTTGGACCTCGGGCTGAACTTGCCTTCGGGCCAACCCAAGTTCGTGGGACCCGCAGCCAGCCTGGGCTTCAGCTCACCGCTGGAAACGATTTTTTCGAAAAAGCAAGCCCAGCCCGAGGCTAAGGCATACCGCTGGAGTCGCTCTAAGTGCAATAATCGTTATTTGCTAGAGTTCTCCAACTCAAATATTGGCTTTGGTAATACTCAACTTCACTTTCTCTCTCACAGTTGATCATCTGTCATATTTTTCGTCAAATCAAAGAGTAAAATGATCATTTGGGTGCTGACGAAAGTGGAATTAAAGAAGTACAACAACCATTTTTCGAATTCAAAAGAGCAAAAACCGGACACAAGTTCAAGAGCTATTACTCCTAGAAATCCGTTGGTCTAACAAGTAAAGCAGTAGAGTGCGTGATCTCATCTCCCGTGACAACGAGTACGAGACACCTAAAACAATCTCAATTTTCAAAAAAATAAAAATAATCTCAATTTTCAAATATATTAGTTATGCGGGATAAACCTAAAAAGCTGCGTGCGAGAGTACAAATCTCAAGCAAAGTAGACGTCCGTTTGACACGTGTCAGAAATGTTGCAGTAAACGAAGAAAAAGCTGCCTCCCCAATGGCTTCATTGAGATTCGACAGACAGAGAGCGACTTGTCGAATACTCTACTTTCTAGTCTAGTCTAGTATCAACCTATGATCAGACTATGAAGCATATCTATCAGCCTGCCACTGTCAGGTCTGTGTTGCACAACAGCAGTCATAGTGCCGGTGCAGCTGAGACTCTGGACTTTGGACTCGGCAAGGTTCTTGAAGGAGAGCAGGAGGCCAGCTACGTACTAGTTCTATTATACTGAAACACTGATCCATCAAAGTGGTGGAGGAGCAATGGCATCCCTAACGCCTGGCGTGCTATCGAAGCTCCTGGACAATGTGGGCAACAAGGACGTTAAGGTGACCGGAGAGCACCGGTCGGCGGTGCTGCAAGTCATCGAGATCGTGCCCTGGCCGGGAGACGAAGACAATGCCTGGAACTGGAAGAGTAGACCCAGAGGCTTCTTCTTGAAGTTGTCTGACTCACTGCATTCGGCCTACGTGTCCATCACAGGCAACGACGACGACGACGACCTGGATTTAATATACAGCGACAAGATTCAGCTGGGGCAGTTGGTGTACGTGACTCAGCTGGATTCAGCCTCCCCTGTGCCGGTCCTTCGCGGGTTGAAGCCCATCCCCAAGAGCAAGAGGGCTCTCTCGCCCTCACCCCCTCTCTGCCTTGGCAATCCCAATCCCATTCATTTGCTCTCCACCGCGAGACCACCTGTTGCAGCGACTCGTACAAAAACAAAACCCTCTAATGCTAACAGGAAAGAGGGCAATAACAAGGCCAAGCCAAAGCCCAAGTCCAAGTCCACACTCAGTCCACAGACCACTGATAATGAAAGGGCAAGCAGCAATAGGTTGGCGGTGGTGGACTCAACAAGGAGGCTGAGTTTGGATTCAGCCAGGAAGGCTTGGGATGCACGGACTACTACGTCTACCTCGCATTTCAAATCTCAGTCTAAGCAGCTTTCTTCCATTCCTTCACTACTTTCTCCCGCTGTTTGTTCTCTCTCTCTCTCTCTCTCTCTCTCTATATATATATATATATATATATATAGACTACAGAGTATATACTATATGAGTGCTTCCCTTCATTGCTGACTCACATCTTTTTCTGCATTTTTCTAATTGTTTCATTTGCATGGTTTTTCTGTTTTCAACAAATCTCCACTTGAGTCTAGCGCTAAAATTCTCTTACTCTGTCTCAGTGCACTTAGTATTTATGAATGCCTTCTACGGCTTGCTTTCAAATTTCAATGTGTGCCCCCTTTTGTGGCTAAACCAAGTTTTTTTTTTTCTTCTTTTAATTTCCTTTCTTTGCCTTGCCCTGCACTAGTTATGTTCAACCTGTATCAGATGTAAAATTATATTAATTATATCACCTAAGCCCATCTTTACTCATTTTAGATTCAACCACCATCCCTTCTCTTGAGAAATACTGTTTCTCCTCTGCACCCTGCTTTCGAACCACCGTTCTTGGAGTTTGATTACTTAATGGTGGCTGTTTCCACATTTGCACCAAAACATTCATGTTAATCGGTAAAAAGATGAATATGCCAGGGGTTCACATCCCTTCCAGGATAAATGGGACGTGAACCCCTGGCATATGCTGTTAGACCCTGAACTATATGCTAATTTCTACCTGAACTTGAAAGATCTACGCTATCTTTGGATTGGTGATTTGAAAGAACCCCTTCAATTTGAATTTGTAGTGTACTAAATTATCTTATGCAACTTTGCAAGTATCAATTTTCTCTTTAATTGATGAAATGCATAACTGAATTTAATTATTTGAAGTATAACGAATTTTAAATGTTTATGAAATTTTATTTTTAGTCACTTTCTAGATCACTTCAATAAATAGTTTTCTTCTTGTTTTCCTCTCTTTCTCATTTCATGAAGCTGAGGACCAGATGTTGTTGCAGGTGGTTTCTGATAAGAAGGTTTTTAATAAGAACAATTCACATCTTAAGCATCCAAGTATGAGCGTTTCACCACTGAAAAATAAAAATGAGACCATTTCGCCAAAACCAACGAATAAGTCTTCCAAGAAAGAATTGAAGTCCTTGCCTGAGGGAGCTCTTTCGAACCATCTTATTAGGGTGCCCCTAAGTTTCAAAACTTGGTCCGATCAAAAAATTCCTTGGAATGCTCTCCCATCTATCATTAGTGATCTTGGAAAGGTTTGCAATCAATTCCAAATTCATATCGTTTTAGGCTTCTGTTATAATGTGATGCTGTGTTTTCATTATTTTCTGTGCTTATTGTTCTTAACCATTTCAGGGAGCTATTTGTCATAGGAACGTTGCATTTTCTGGTGCTGTACGTGCACTAGAAGAAGCATCAGCTGCTGAGGGTGTCATTCATTGCATGTGGTATGCATTTTATGTTCTACAGACCTATGCTTGCTGTGGTTAAAAAAAATTATAGTTGGTGCATGTATTTATGGTAGAAGTGCTAATCAACACAGTGCTTTTACTCTTATGTGGATTTAGTATGGGAGTAAATGGTATTGCAAATTGTTTTCTTCATATGATTTGAACATCAGAATAGAATTATAGATATGCAGGATGGGAACCATAGACCTTATTCTGGATTAGTGAAATGCATAATTAAATAAAAACAGATATTTGAAAATACTGTGCTATGGTGACTGTTTGGGTTGGGGTAAACCTATACTGTTGTAGAATGTAGGCAGTATGGAGTAGGACAGTTGTGATGCTACAGTGGGTTGCACGCAAGATTCCACTTGTGTATGCAGTTGCTGAGGCTTCCACTGCGGTCCAATTTAGCAACTGTTTAATGACAAAATATATTGGCATGGAACAGGAAACTTCTAAATGTTTGATTGGGTTTTCTTAGCCTGCTCTAAATTAATTCGAGCAACAGTATTTATTCCCTTACTCTTGCATGTGAAGAAATGATGATTAAGTTTGCTTTTCCAGCATGTTTGCAGAACTCAGCGAGTCCTCTCACAAAGTTTCTGCAGGACCAGTGGTTGATAAATTTTTGGAGCTCCATCAGAATATGGTGAGAGCAGCAGAGGTTGTAGACTCCTTGCTCAACACAGGCCACCCAGATGTGAAATCAAGCAGTTCTGGTGGCCTACAGGGTTGGGTGTCACATGCGTGTAAAAGTACCACCAGTAAGAATGCCACTTCATGGGTGGAAGCTGCGTTAGGAGCAAATCTTTCCAAATTCAGTTTGTTCAGAGCACAAGGCAATGGTGGAATTCCAAATTGTGAGAAATATCATTACATTGTCATAGAGAATACTCCAGTGGAATTTAACTTGGAAAATTGCTCACCCCAAAATAAACAAAATCCTCCACGACGTATTCCAGCTGTGAAGAAAATGAGCACTGGGATGGAAGATTGCCCCAAGGAAAGGAGATTAAAAGAGACAGCAAGTGTAATAGAAAAACTACTCTTAGTTTCTTGTCAATGGTTCTTAAAGTACTTGGAGGATTCCTTAAATGTGGGGTTCAGATTGAACAAAGAGGAAGGAAGCTCTGAGATTGCATGTTTGCTGGGGCAGCTTAAAAAGGTGAATCTATGGTTGGATGACTTGGTCAAGGGTGGGATTCCAGTAGATAAGAGAATAACGGACTTGAGGAAGAGGTTATATCAGTTTGTACTGGAACATGTTGAATCCGTTGTCTCAAGTAACTAGATAGATATATACCCCTAGGATGAACAGAAATGTCACTTCCAAATACATTATTTATTACCACTACTCATTCAAATTCAGGTAGAAATTAGTATATAGTTCAGGGTGCAACAGCATATCCCAGGGGTTCACATCCCTCCCAGGATACAATGTGTTTCTCTGTTTTATATTGACAATCTCATTCTTAACTTCAACAAGTTCAGGGATGCAGAAAGTCAGAAAAATAGAACTCCAATGGGGACTCCTTTTGTTGTTCAAGTGCATGATTGAACTCTGTCTAGTACTCTCGTCAAATTATGTTAGATTTTTGTTAGATTACAGTTCTGTTCAATTATTGCAGGCTTTCACAATATGGCTTGCTCTGGAGTCTGTATTACGGGTGAAACATAATCTTGTTAGGTTTCTCATCATATTAGAGGCTCTCTCTCTCTCTCTCTCTCTCTCTCTCTCTCTCTCTCTCAACGCACTTCTGGACCAGCCTTGTGATGGTGAACAGGAAACAATATCATCCTGGATTGTTCCCTTAACCTGGAAGAATGTTAAACAAAGTTGGAATGGGAATAATGTAAGTAATATTTTCCTTTTGCCTTTATCAGCCAGTGCAAATGTGCTATGGTATTTCAATTTACATAAGAGAAAAAAAAAGTAAAAGAAGAAAAGAAAAGAAAGAAAAGGCCCTTCCTTTCATCCTGGCTACGGAACAGTATGTTTGAAATCAAGTGATCAGTCCGTACTGCGCATATTGAGCTGGTCAAGAAAATAGGCGGCAGACGATTGTTCAGAAGTTGAAGTCGTTGATCCCATTTGAGGTATCTTGTCCACAGAAGCTGCAGCAGTCTTGTTTAGAGCTTTCTTTCCTCTGCACGATTTCATGTGTGAGTGCAATTTCTCTGGCTTAAACTGTTTCCTGCACTGCCTGCATTAAGTCATTCAAATTTTAGCCAATTTGATCGGTTTTGCAGTTCCAGCTTTATGAATGCAATGCTAACAGTCATTGTTTTTTTTTCTTTATCTTTTGCGAGTTTGATATGGTCACACATGTTGCTTATACTTTATAAATTTGTACATTTGACTTGAGGACTGTCTCAGGGGAACCTGTATATAGTTATACAACAGAAAAAAAAAAAAAAAAAAAAGAGAGAGAAAAAGTGTCCTTTATAATAAGCCAATTAGACTGAACTAAATTGAATCCTGCGAGACCTGAGAGATTCTGGGTGAGTTAGAAGCAAAACTCTAATTGATAAGTGTCACACTTTGCACCGAGCCGGTCCACCATTACTAGGATTAATTATTGGGTCATGATCTCTCTCTCTCTCTCTCTCTCTCTCTCTCTCTCTCTCTCTCTCTCACACATATACACAACACATTACACTTTAGTTGATCATGAAAATGTCAAGGGGTTTAGTACACAAACGATTGTCATTTCGTTGCGTATCTGGTGAGGTGAGGTTGTAAGACCTAGCCAGATATAATATCTGGTACTAAATTCAGTTTGGTCTAGCAATCCATCCAGCCCGTCCAATTTATAACCACAGGCAACATGCCTATAATTGGATGGTCACTAGTCAAAGAACGCAATACCCTTTGGTTATGATATCAACCTACCTACGGAAATAGCAATTGGCACATCTCTCTCTCTCTCTCTCTCTCTCTCTTAAATAAAAGTAACAAAAAGTGGGTAAAGAAGAAGAGGGAAAAGTTACCATAGTCACTTACGAGCAATGCGGCCCACCGACGGGCCTGTAAGCTGCTGAAGCCACTTTTTGGCTACTAAACTCGGGCTCCTTTTGCTGCTTGTTTGAACCCTTTTCTCCATCGTAGCTTTTCCTGGAGCATCAAATCCAAACACAAGCAAGCCTTAGCCAATACATACATACATGCATATGTATTAATAATCTTCAGTCATCATTATCAAATATATTATAACGTAGACAGAACCCTATATATACTTACCCTTTGTGTTGTGCATGTATTGATTAATTTTGAAATGATTCTTCTTTTATCAAGAATTTAATTGACATACACGTACGCACCTAGTAGCAGTACTAGTATGCTTTTGGGGTTGCTGCGGCTGCCCCTGCGAATTCCAACAAGTCCCAAAAACTCCAGCAGACCCACTCCTCCTCTTGTGATCTGCTTTACAAATACGATCAGCCTTGATAATGTCTTGGCTGCTCCATCTGGTAGACTTGTCGGAAGAAGTTGTTTTATTGGCCCGATTCAACATGACTAATACGGCGTCATTTGTGTCGACAGCACCACAAGTGATCAAATTGCGGAACATGCCTTTTGAATTGCTCTTACTACTGTGTGCGGCAGGTGATTGAAGAGACGATGAATGCGAAGAAGAGGGAGAAGAAGAAAAAGATGGAGCCATTTCTTTGTCCTTGTACTTGTTCTTCTTCTTCTTCAATAAAAACTTGGAATAGAAAGAAGAGTTTTCTGACTTGTTGCTCTGTTGATAGTTGGAGTTGGGGTTGAGTGTGTCAGCTGAGTGGTTCTCATCTGCTTGGGGTTGCATTGCATCAAATTCATAGGTCGAAGTAGACCTCTCTGAGCCCACATGAGGTGATTCGTCGCTGATTTCAGAGGATACTTTTGTTTGGATATCTATATCATTCTTGGAATGTTTGTGTAAATGAAAGGCCTCTTGTTTAGAAAGTGTAGGTGGCTGAACCTCATCCTTAACGGGCTGCTCTTTGAACAAGCAACTTCCCTTTTCGGCATATGATTTCGGAGGACTATCTGTTACAGTCAGTGGTCATCATAAGTTGACCAAAAACGATTCCAAATATGAATATATACGAAATTAATGGAAATTAAAAATTTAACCTTATATACAGGGTCGATATAAATGGTTTTGATTATTAATGGAAATCAATCAAATTGATTACATTCAATATTTGTGTGTAAACAGTTATACCAAAAGCGGAATAGATGATCTCGGATCCCTTGAGGACATATTCATTGTCAGAGATTGGTGTGATGAGGTCGTCGTCCAGCAAGTCTTGCCAAACATAACCCGTCTTGTACCTCCTGCCATTCCATATTCACTTATTTTAATGGCTTACCATGAAAATGAAAATGAAATCATTATAACTAACTAGCTCATGGCGGTCTCATCAAAATGGTATGTATTTCTCTTTTTCAAGGTTGGAAAATGTCCCAAGTTTGATGAAGCGATACCTCTTGTAAGACCAAGCGAAGGCCTCTGGCATGTCCTTTCCTCGCAAATCCGAAAGCCACCTCTTAACGTCTTTTTAATCATAATTAGAGACAAAAAACAACAATACTAACCATCGTCATGAATTGATTGAGTAATTCATTAATCAACAGGCATACATCATCTCAAATATTACAAAGTACAGTATCAAATACTTGAACAAAGGAAGAGGCATATATATACTATAGATATTGATTGCTACCTCGCAGATAGACGCCGGTGCGGGTAAGATGGTGTACTCGAATGAGATGGGGATGATCGACGCGACCCATTCGATGACTGAGGAAGTAGATAATTTGAAGTCGCCTCACTTCACCTCCTAATGCAAATGCACCTTTCACTTCCATTGAAGATATCACTCTTCTTTCTTTTCTTCTACTACTATTTGTGCTGCCCAAAGCAACAACATTAATTATTAATATGCCAACAAACATACATACATAGTACATACATATACATACATACATCAACAAGTGAAGAAATAGAACAAGACACTTCTCTTCTTTTCAAAAAATTAAAAATAAAGCTATTACTAGCTATAGTTGTCTCAGGAAACCCCAAGAGAGATCTTTGTCTCTCGGCCGGCCTGCGCTACAAAAAGACGAAAAAGACAAGAAGTTTGCTTTCATGTACTTGTTCGATCCCTATAGTAATATTAATATTCAAATTTCAATTTTAATATGCAGGCCTAGCATGCATGTTGCTACACAACTACATATATAAAACAATTTATCTGGAAAATTAAAGCTACACTTTCTCGCGGAAACGAAAAGGAATCATCGGTAGTCGAGAGATTACCAGTTTTTTTTTGTCCAAAAGATTACCCAGTTTTTGCTTCTACCTATTTGGTGCTGTTTTCTTTCCTCTTTCTGTCTCTGGTACGTACGTGTGGAGAGAGAGAGGGAAAAAGAGAGAGAGACGCGCAAAATTGGTATTGAGCTTAGTATTACTATACCTGTTTGCAGGATATGTGGAAGATAACCAGAAGATTTGGTCGCACACAGCTAACTAGCTACACGTGCCCGATCGAGCTTTATCAGATTTCCCCGCGATTTAGTAAACATAATTGTTACCCAGCTTTTGACCAGAATAATTCATCAAAACAATTCTTCTTTCCCTGTATGAGGTTGATGATTATTACCTATGATAATCCAATCAGTGTGATTTATTCCTTTTTATGGTAACTACTATTTTGAAATTTTCCCTTCTTTGGTAAAATATAAAGTATTGATATATACCCTACTTTGTCACGTTTAATGATGATATCAAAGACTCCTAAATGGTGAAGATTCTGCTATGTGTCTTAAGAAAGATTTCTGACACGATAAGACTTGAATGACATTGACATCTACAAACCATTTGGTACGGGTCCGGGTGGTGAGCTATGTTTCTAAACCATGATGTATACGGATATACAAGTAGGGGTCTTTTAATATAGACCCATTCCATGTCAAAAATGTTGAAAAAACCCTAAAGAAACAAGAAACCAAACCCATCCCTTTCTGGCATCCGCGTTGTCACACCTCCACCAATCTAGCCAACTCTGATATGCTCCTAAGACTCCCTTTGCCATATTTGCTATGGATGTCTCGCTCAAAAGTAATTAGGATTTAAACTAATATGTTTATTCTTCTCTTTATAAATGACATATATACTACATATAGAGTGCGTACAAATAAGAAATATATACAAAATCTCATAATTCTACTCAAATTAGAGAATTACAATAAAATATAAATTCTCCTAATAGGAAAGTTGACTTTGACTCATGTCAATACTCCTCCTCTAGTTGGAGAAATTATAGAATAAGACTGTACCACCATGTTAGCTTGTGATACTCTCATTCAAAATTTGCCACTTGTCATTTTTAAAAATAAGTTTTTTTTTTTTTTTTTTTTTTTTTTTTTTTTTCTATCAACTATAGAGAACCCATTATTATCTTTTGAAATAAAATGAAGAAAATAAAAAATCAGGAAAGAGACATAACCACCCACTCCGACCAATTCTCTTACCCTACGCAACCTCCCCTTGGCCACTGCCCCTCCCTCTCTCTCTCTCTCTCTCTCTCTCTCTCTCTCTCTCTCTCATTGTGGCCTTCTCACGCAATTCAATAAATTAACCATAGCCCAATCCTTGTTTCTCACCCTTTTGATGGCTACCAAAGACCCATCTATATTTCTTCTTTTTGAAGGTCTGCTCATTTGTTGACAGATGCTATCAGATTTGAAAAAGGTTGAGGTGAGAGATGGGTGTTAATGGTAATTGAATAAAACTGGACCCATTTTCAAGGCTTATATTATCTTGCAGGTGGTATTCAATGGGTTCAAGACACCCTACAGTTTTAGAGAGACTGATAGGAGAGGGAGGGGCTGCAGTGCTGGGTAAGGGGTTGGGTTGGGTGTGAGGTGGTTTCCGGTGTCTTCTTTGTCCTTTTCTGTCTTTTTCAATTTATTTTTTCTTTAGTTTTATTATGAATATAAAAAAGAAGTTTTAAATCCAGCTGTAAAAACTTATATTTTTTAATATAAAAAATGACACATGGCAAATTTTGAATGGGAGTATCACAAGCTGACATGGTGATATAGTCCTATTCTATAATTTCTCCTCTAGTTGGTGCATAGATATTGGTAATGCCCAACTTGTCAAATGAGTCTTCAAATCGGCGTTTTGACATGGTATGGGTCAACATATCTGCAAGCTGCTCCGAATAAGGCACAAAATGTACAGAAATTAACTTATGCTCCAGCTTTTCCTCAATGAAATGCTGATCAACTTCTACACGCTTAGTTCGATCATGTTGCACTGGATTGTTAGCAATTCAAATGCAAACTGACTATCACAGTGGAGCTTTGTAGCAGCATCTGGTCCAAACACAATTGCAGCAAGTAATCAGACTCTGCAGCTGCAGAGGACCGAGATACAACATTTTGCTTCATGCTACGACTCGTAACTAGGTTACCGTCAACAAAAGTGAAGTAACATGATGTAGAAAGTCTATGTGTAATATTCCCTGCATAATGTGCGTCAGTATAACCTTCTAGATCGAAGTCACCATTTTTCTTAAATAATAAACCTTGCTCAGGAGCAAATTTTAAGTAACTCAGAATACGCATCACAACAGCTATATGATCCTCTTTGAGGCCTAAAAAATCCAAGGCTGGGCCCAAAAATATTTCTAGCCCAATACAACACCTAAATTGGGAAGAAACCCAACTTGGTACGCAAGAGTTCGTCATATGAGCTTGTACACGTGTCACACCAAGCAAATAAGCAACGCCCCACACTACAAGCTTAAGTGAGCCCAAGCCACGCAAATGCTCGTGGCTTGCTGAGTGGGTTGTGGTATGGATGATAACAAGCATTCATGAGGCCCATTAATGAGCCGATAAATGGAAGTTTTGGGCTGCTTGGAAGCTCCAAAACTCGAGCCCATTTCTTGAGCCCAACTATGTGGGTAAGCATAAAGGAGAGAAAAATGGAGCCCACCACTTTAGAAAATTGACCAACCACCTTAATAAAAATAGTCCATCACTTTGTGAAGTTGGCCTATTCCATATTAGACAAACCCATTACTTTAGCAAGGCCCAAATGACCAAGAAAAATATCTGAAAGTCTCCAACACATGGCTAGAGACAAAACCACGACAAAAAGCCAAGGAATGACTCACATATGCAAACCTCAAGACAAACCATTCAAAAGACCAAAGGGTATTAGTGCGAGTAGGTTACTAGGAAAAAAAATGGTCTGTCCTTGCAAGTGCACAAGATTGATATAGTATAGCGTTTGACAAATCCAAGTATCGTTCTCATGAGGATTCCAAATTAATCTAATATTCGAATACCTGAATTAAATCTAACTGATACACAAGTGAATTTGTAGAGATTGTTGTTGTGAAAGTTTATGAAACAAACAAGAAATTAATAAAAACAATTGAGAATAAAAAGGTTGAATTTTAAGGTTGAAAAACAATGATAAAAGTCTAGGGTTTCGGAATCAACCACAAGCAATCCAAGTTAGATTTCAATGCATTCAACAGATTCTTTCGATTCTTTAGATGATAAATCTCGTATCTAAGTCCTTTTCAGGCACTCAGACCATAGTTTTCCTTAAGTGTAAGATTCTTTTCTAGTTCAGACAAAGATCATATATCCAATCCTGCAATCTATCTTGGTTAAGGCATAAATTTAACAAGTTGAATTAATTACGTTATAGAAAACGAGAGAACCAAGAAAACCATTATTCTTCATAAAAAAAGTAATGTAATTCACCACACTTAATCACAAGAAGCTAATTGAATTATATTGCAAGTTCTGCCTCAAATTCATCTTCCGATTTACTAGATGCAAAGCCCTAAGGTGATCAATCAAAGAACTTAAACAAATAGCAACAATTAAAATAGTGATTAAACATTCATCTAAAAGAAACTTAGAATCCATTAAATAGCATTAAGAATCATAACTATCCATGCTCTTGCCCTAGAGAATAATTTAGTTACTCGTGTTCAAAGAAAACATAATTGAAAACTAGAAAACATAAAGTAAAACTTACGGATTATGACGATGCTCGAGAACTTGACAATGGCAGCGACTCTTTGACTCTCCTTCAAACTCCAGCATCAGATAACCGTATTTCTGGTCTATTTTAAATAAGGAACAAATCCTCTTTTGACTTGGTAACTATACTTTCCTAGTTTAGCTTCAATTGTCTTTGAAGAGTTGGCATTCAAAATCCTACTAAATATAGGATCAGACTTCAGAAAATAACTCCACATCCTTGTAGACATTTCCCAAATGTAATTGACACAAATTAAACTCCAAGGATTGGACTTCAAATGGATTATTTTGCAAAACCAGCATAACACATTCTGCCTGAACTGTCTGTACTAAAACGGCCACAACTCTCTTCACACTCATCCGAATCATGAACTGTAAAATTATACAGAAAGCTAACATCTGTATCTTTCCAACGATACAAGGCTCAACATCTGGTTCACTCTGAGGAAGTACAGTACATTCTGTCAAGTTGACTGTTCTGCACAGCACATTTTGCTCCTAGGATTTCACATTATATTTCAATTCCAAAATTGCCCCTTTTGCTTGCTTTTCCATCTTTACTCTTCAAACCTAGTAAAACACAAAACTAAGTAAAAATTGACTAAACTCACTCAAGAACATAGCAAGAATCTAAGAGAAAGATAATGAAAATGTACGAAATAATGGTTATATCAAAAGGCATCCTTCAAACCAACGCTGCTATGAAATAGGGGAGGAAAGAAGGAGAAGTGATAACCAAAGGTGGGAGGTTACCACTAGAACAGTTGCGCGAAGACTTTTGAGCTCCCAAAAATCTTGTCTTTGTGTGTTTGGACAGAGGGGGATTTCACAAATTAGGATGAATCAAAGGAAGGGAAGAGAAATGAAAGGGAAGACTTGGCAAAATTGGAGAGAACCCATTAGGGTTTCTTGGTAAGAATGAGCTTCCAGCGGCTATAAACGAGGGGTATCCTTTACCTATTATCTCAACACACATCCAGAGAAAGCAAGCATCACCTCTCATCCTTAGAACCCTTCAATTTCGAGCCTTATTCCTCCATCTCTTCCCATTTTCCCTTCTGGCAAGCCATTCTAGGGCCTGACAAAGCTTTCGTCAAGCTATCAAAAATTACTCAAAGCACCCATTCTTCCACCCTAATCTCTGTCTCTCTCTCTCCTTAGCAAATTCTCACGAAATCCTTTGCTTTAAACCTCTGTTTCTCGTAGAAAATATGGTCACTCTCTCTCTCTCTCTCTCTCTCTCTCTCTCTCTCTCTCTCTCATGCTAAACTCATGAATCCTTAGCTTCCATGCCACAAGCTTCTCAAGCCAAGCCAAGTATTTATCTATAAGCAACTGTTGGTTTCATTGGTGAAGAAGACCAAGGTGCTCCCTAAGGCTCAGCTACCCTTTCGAAACACTATTGGGGTCTGATTCTTGAACTCAGACCCAGGGGCAATTTCACACATTTGGCTCTTTACAGCAGCCCAAGCCCATCTATAGCCGCTGGAACAAAAAAGCCCCTGCAATCCTCATTAGGCGAATGCATAAATTGGCTACTGCATAGGCAATATCAAGACGTGTGAGTGATAAATATATCAATCTCCCAACCAACTTTGGTATCTTTCTTTGTTAGTTGGTACCTAATCCATATAAACCTCAAGTTTATGATTCTCAATAATAGGTGTATCAGCTAGTTTACAGGCAAGCATCCCAGTATCTGCTAGCAGGTCAATGACATCCTTTTTGAAAGAAATAGGCCATGTTTAGATTGACTTCCACTCCTAGAAAAATATTGGTTTGTGAATGTACTTGTTTCATTTGTGACGAAAGTTCGAAGCTAGATAATGCGCATCAAAGGTTTTATTTTTAACTTGTTCTTTTTTGTTATGTAACCAAAAATAATAATATCATATTGTTTGAACTCTCATATGGCCCTTTAGATAGTAAGTTTTTTCTTTTTTCTTTTTCTTTTCTTTTTCTTTTAAGTCTTGGGATTTTTTTTTCTTTCTTAAAGTGATTATATAGAGAAGTGATTTTCCAAAAAAGTGCTTGTTGGCCTATCCAGAATCACTCCTAAACGAGCCCTTAGTTGCCTAGCAAACTTCTTTTCTTCATTTGTTGTATATATGAATAATCTAACAAAGGAGAGAGGGGACTTACGAAATATTTGTACAAAATTGTTATAGCAAATCCCATTGTAAAGGTGATCCCCAATATGTGGTGTGTGTTTTGTTTGTTTACTTCAATTTTATACTCGTTAGGGAAAGTTCAATGGTAGGCTCTAAATGAAGCTCTAAAAATGGTGGATGTAGCCTCATTTAGAGCTCCAGTGGAATCTTTCGCGCTTTAAAAGAATCTTTCTCACAATGAAGGTTCTATATTTTTCATGTTGTAATTTACGTGTTAAATTTTTTTATTGTGAACCTTTTTTTTTTGGTTAATGTATATTTATGTTATATTAGTTTTATTTATTTATGAACATTTCTAGACCTGGCATTTGTATCGTGTTTGCAGTGTTCGTGTCGTGTTCGTGTCAACTCGTTTTTCTTAATGGGCTGGCACGACACGACACAATAAGAAAACGGGTTGGAAATGTCAAACACGAACACGACCCGTTACAATTCGCGAATCACATGACACAGCACAATAACCCGTTAAGAATTAAAAAAATAAATAACAATAATAATAAATTTATAAAAAGACAAAAGAGAAGGAAGAGAAGAAAAAAGACAAAGAAAAAAAGGTATAAATTTACAAAAATGCCCTTGAGCTTAATGGGTTAATGGGTATTCGCGGATTGACACGACACGACACGATAGGTTAACAGGTCAACACGATATCAACACGACACGATAACTCAAACCCGAATACTGATTTTTTCGTGCAAATTCGTGTCGTGTTAACGGGTCATGACAAAATATTGCCACCTCTAAACATTTCAAGTAAAAGAAATTAAAATTTGGATGAGATTATGAAAACAACAATTTATTTCATAAAAGTAGCCGTTGTTAACATAAAAGTTGCCATTGTTACTTATTAAACAAATAATCGGACGGTTGAAAAAAATAAATAAATAAACCGAATAGTATTGACATTGTTTGTGACTATTGCAGCTTCTTATTGCATTCAAATTGAACCATTGATCGGCAATGGTAACAACAAGATGCGGTGCGATCTGGAGAGTAAGAATTACCAGTGCGCTGGGCAAGTGGCTTCCTAGTTGCATGTGGGCTGGGCCTTTTCCTCACGTGGGGCTCAATTGAGTTTCAGTGGCTTCAATCATGGCGCTCAGATAAGGTGAGAACAACTATATGGGAACATTAAGTGCGAACTTGTATCTAGACCGTTGAATAAACTTGGACAGTTGAAATTAAAATATGGTTTTAAAAGGTTTCACATAGAAACGGGTCAAACAAAACCCATATATCTAACCGAGACCTCATCCTCTCCAACTTCTCTATCAAGACCCCATTGGAACAACTATTTTTTCTCAAACAAACAAGAGACTATGAATCAGGAGTTAATCAACACCCACCAACCCCATCCTACCATCATCCCTCTGTTTCTTCTCCCCCCCATCCATCCTCCTCTTTCTCTTTTCCCATTCTCTTTTCGACATCCACCAAACCCAAGTTCCATATATGAATTTCTTTCTTAAGCTGATACTCATTAAACAAAAACAAAAAAAAAAGAAAAAAAAAAAAAAAAAAAGGATGGTGGTGGTTGGGATTCTTAGGAGGAGATATGAGAGGTGAGAGAGTAGAGGATGAGGGTTGGGTTTCAGGTGGGTGTTGGGTGGGAAGGGGTGAACCATGTGGGGCTGTGATGGCTGGGAGGGGAATAAGGAGGGCATCAGGTCTAGATCGATGCCCTTTGTTTTCATTTTACATACTGGAATGATTTATATAACATCGGCTAATCAACTTCATTTTTGCTTTTTTCTGATATGGATTTCTTGGATTTTGGTATCTTATTTTGTATTTTGGGTTGTTGATTTGTATGCTGTCTTTCTCAACTCCCTTAACAAGTTGGGCATGCGTGACATCTTTGTTCCAACTTGAGGGGGAGTGTTGGTGATATCCTAACTCTATTAGGAGATTTATTTCCTACTCTATTAAGTGTAATTTTATTTCTCCCTCCTTTGTACAAATTAAGTGTAATTTGTTTTCTTGTATAACTCTACTAGAGTTTACACACTTGTATTATAAATACCTCTGTTGGGGTCTTTTCCTTAATAAGGCTCGTCCGAGCTTGTTGATTCTTGGATCGCCTAGAGTGATGAATCAAGCCTTTGTTGCCCCTTTTTTTGAGTTAGCGAGAACTAGGCCTAAAGCATCCCGAGAGAGAAGCAAGTCCAAGGAGAGTACTCTTGTCTTCTTATAACGGCTGCATGTTTTGTGCTGATGTTTCCTGCAGCTAGATGAAGAGTTGGAGATGGTTCATTGATGTTGAACCGAGATTATATGAGCTTAGCATGAGATCTTGGAGTGTGGGAGCTAAAGACCCATATAAGTGTAGCAAATGAGAATGCTTGTGCTTGGCTTGGTGTTGGATGTGTTTGAGGTTGGGTGTTCATAATTTGTTGTTTGTGGCTATGGCTATGGCTATAGGAATTTAAGAGTTTCAAGAGAAGAGGGATGGAAGGAAAAACTTGATATTTGAAGGCTATGGTGTTTACAGCTTGGAAGGAAGGAAAAGTTTGGAGTTATGCTTGGTGAGCCTTTATGGGTTTAAGAGTTTCAAGAGAATGAGGATGGGAAGAAAAACTTGAGGCTTGAAGGCTATGGTGTTTATATCTTGGAAGGGTGTGAGGAGGAAAGAAAAGCTTGGAGTGCTTGGTGAGGCTTTATAGGGAGAATGGTTTCAAGGATAAGAGGTTATGGCTAGGGTGCTTGCAACAGCTAAGAATGAGGTGTGATGATTGAAGAATGGGGTTGATGGCTGCTGGGATGCTTGTAGCACCCAAAGCAAGAAGTTGTTATACTGCTCCATCAGCTAAAGGAAGGGCCTAATAGCTGAAGAAGGGGGTTGATGGCTACTGCGTTGCTTGCAATAGCCGAATGAAAGGGCTTGATAGCTGAAGAAAAAATGGTCCATTTGCTTGAGCCATGAATGCCAATCTATAGAGAGTGAGGGTTTTTCTTTATTTCCAATAAGTAAAGGGATGTGATAGAACCAGCCTATTTCCAATTATTAAAAGGGAGCACTAGGACATGCTATTTTTTAACAGGTGAAGCTAAGTACCATAAACTGATTATTTCCTATGGGTAAAAGGAAGCACTGGAAATAGCTTGTTTGCAGCCGGTAATAGGAGTTCTGGAAAATGCTTGTTTCCAACGGGTAAAGCTATGCATTTGGAAAATGACTATTTCCTATAGGTAAAAGGAAGTGCTTGAAAAATATCTCATTTGCTCACCCACATTGGAGAACTCTAAATAGTGGGCTTGGACTTTGGTGCTCCCAAGTAGCTAGCCCAAAGTCTCCATTAAGGGAAATTTGTATAAATACCACCTAAACTTTCAGGCATGTGCGTCATTACCACCTGAACTTTTAATTTTTATTTTTAATCACCTGAACTTTGTAAAGTGTTACAATCCACCACCTACGTCTAACTCCGTTAAAGTTTCAGTTAAATTTAAGGGTATTTTCGTCAATTAACTATAACTAAGAATAATTACATAAAAAACAGAATTAAAAAAATTAAAAAAAATAAAGCTAACCTCCATATCTTTCTCTCCTCTCTACTCCATCATCTTTATTCCACCAAATATCATATTAGATTGCAATGGTCCATTGATTTTGTTGCCTTCTTGTATTTCCTTTTATTTTTTTGCCAAACCCTTCCTGCATTCATTTCATGGCTTGCACTGTTTGTTCGCAAGCTTGTCCTTCATTTCAATGGAAGTTTGCATATCGAAAAAAAAATTCAAACTACAATTACTCTCTCTCACCCTCAATCCAGCAAATTCAAAAATTAACATCAAAGCTAGAATTTAAATTTTGTAACTCATCATGGGTTTTGGGAAGGAATCAATTGCATTCCTAGTATATATAAATATCCCAAAAAGGTCCTAAACACCTGTAATTGACAAACAAGTTCTAGGAATGCCTAAATTCAAGTACCAAAACACCAGTGCAGTCCTTATACAGGACATGCCTATAATAAACTCCAAATTAATTAGAAAACAGAAATATAACCAAGCAAATAAGTCCTCTATGATCTCTAAATCTTTGTCTTCTTAGCAGGAGACTTGAGCCTGAATTTCCTTGTTGTGTTGGTTGTCATAGAAGAAACAGGTTGTGATTCCATTGGCAAGCTAGAGCTTGGTTGGTATGTTGATGTATTTGCTAAATTTGGTTGAATTGTTTGTTCACTGATAGTGCTTGGTTGGCCTCTTGATGCCCTTGGTCTTTTTACCTACAAATGAATTCAGTAATTATAAACATATGTCATGTGCTTGCAAATGATATGTTTGAATACCAATCAAGCTAAATACCTTATTGATATTGTTGGCACCACCTTTTTTATCGCACTTTCTCTTGTTGTGGCCATGCTCCCCACAAATGGAGCATTTTATTTTGACATGGAAGGATCTTGATAGCTTAGATCCAGTAGATGCTGCTGGTTTCTCATCTTTTTCTCTTGCCCTCACTTTTTTGGGTCTCCCAGGTTGCTTATGATACACAGGGGGCAAAATGAGAGGAAAGTTAGTGTGTTCCCACAACTCTTCATTGGCTATAGGGTGAATAAAAGGTCCAGAAGCCCTTTTCCATGATGCCTTCTTATAACGTGAATGTATATACTTGACAGGATCTTCATGCCTTCTACAAATGCAAGCTATTGCATGTCCACAAGGAATTTCAGTCAAATTCCACCCTCTACATGTGCAAGTGTGCTTAGCCAGATCAATTGCAAATTGAACCCTACTCATATGCACCACTTGATACATTTTTTGTCCTGCCAAATGAGCAATGCACTTACTGCTTCTCTACCTTATTCTTCTCAAGGATCGTATGGATCCTTGGCCCAATATCACCATGCCATTTGTCACATGCTTCCCTTTGTTTAGCCATCCTCAACATCATATACATTCTCAGAGTTTCGAACATAGTCAAAATAGGTTTATCCCTTGAATCCAGTATGGCACTACTGAATGCCTCACACAAGTTATTTAGCAAAATGTCACATTTTAGGTGCTCAGAGAAATGCGATATTCTCCAATAGTGTGCATTTTCCTTTTTAAGCCACTTATATGCTTCATTATCCAGCTTTCGTAAACTACTCATCTCAACATTAAACCAAGGCACTGTTGTTGCCCTTGCTACTGCCCACAACCTTTGCTTCAATTCTAAACCCTTGTGTAGTAATTTGAAGTTGTTATAAAGGTGTCTAACACAATGGCATCTTCATTTTTCTCAAATGATATGATATCATCTTCATTTTGCTCAAATGATACACCAATCCCTTCTTCATCTTGCTCATAATCAGAATCAATAAATTCATCATCAGATTCAGTGGTTGCTTCTTCTTCTTGTACATCCACATCCACCCAATTAAATTCTAGCACATCTAATTGAGGAGACTTCTCTGGTTGAAGTGTGTTACTTTGCAACCTCTCAGTTTAAAATATATCTATTTGCTGCACATAATTATTATTAATAGATGCCTGACTCTCTAGAAGCCCACAAGAAATTCCATGAGAGAAATAAATGACAACAACTCTACTGTGCAGCAAGTTATCAAACATGTTATTAAACACCTCATCATTTGTAATACAAACCAACTTACTTTCTAGCCCATTTACTCCCTCTGGCACTCTATAGTAGTATCCAACACGTTCTTGATTCCCCAATTTCTTTGCAAAATCATCAAAATCGAAAGGTGACATGTAGTCTCGATTTAAGTTGTCTACCCAAACCACACTACCACCAAAATAAAAGTTGTATCCATTACCTATGTCTTGAAGTTGACCACCATGGTGTATTTTAGCAGTCCACAATGCTGGATCTAACCCTCTGCGTATAGAACATTGAACAAACAAAAGTTACCACTATTTTTAAAATTTCGAAAATTTAACCTATATATCCATAGTAATACACTATACATTATCGTAATTTTCATGTGAAATTAGTTTTATACATGCAAATAACAAACGAAACATATAATTTTTCAGAATTATCTTCATAAACCAATAACAACTATTAGGAGCTGCTCCTTTTTGTTGAACTAACAAGGCAACGTTTTTTAATTTTATTTTGTTGGCTTTGTGCCCTACAAATAACCACTTAAAGAAGTTGGCATGTGAGAGTGTACCATAAAAAAAAAAATGCGAGTTAACTTATTAAAATTTGCAATTAATGACAAAGTGGCTTAATTGTCTACTTAGGTGTTAAAAAGTCGAGGAGATATGGTAGATTTCAACCATATCAGAATAGGCTTCCAAAGATTGGTAATGCAGTTCCCATGAAGTACATATATATGTTATGTGTAAGTCACAACATAAAATATAAACGTGGAAATTTGACATATTTGACATAGCCCCAAAGACACTCGATGCAAATCTAGTTGTTAAGCAAAATATCATAATGGACAAAGAAAACTACAAGATTAAATAGCAATAAAAAATTTAAAGTTATAGTAAAGTTGAACAATCAAGAAATTCAGAAAAAAAAAACATAAATTTAGAATCACAATTGACCATAAAATGTTAAAAAACACAAATGTATCAATCACCACACCGCTTACCAAACACTTACTCACAATCTAAAAAGTATAAATACGTAATTGTCGAAGCTTACTGTAATTTGGTGGCTCCCAGCATATATGAAGTTATTATCCATATCAGTTGTTTCAGTCCTCAGTTTGCTACTCAATTTCAATAACCCACACAAGAGATGCCAAGAGACAAAGATGAATATAGAGTATGGTGTGTGCAAAGGGTGGGTTTTTTTGCGGTGGAGCGAATTGACATTGGAAAAGTTGGAAAAGTTAGAGTAGGGTGAAAAGTAGGAGTAGCGGCGGATCCAGGAATTTTTCAGCAGAGGTGCAATTTTCAAAAAGCTAAGAGCAAAAAAAAAAAAAAAAAAAAAAAAAAAAAAAAAATCCTTATAATTTAAACAATACTAATATTATTCATAATACATTAAAAATAATATCATTACAATTACCCTACAATTGTTGCCGACGAGATTTCATATCTTGAAAACGTCGCATTATATTTATATTACTAATACAAGAAAAAACATCTTTCTCAATGTAAACAACCAAGCTATCACTCAACCATTGATTCCCTATTTTGTTACGCAATGGTGTTTTCACAATATTCATAGCTGAAAAAGCTCTCTCAACTGAAGCTGTTGCAACGGGTAAAACTAAAGCCAATGTAAGAAGTAAATATACATAGTTGTATATTCTACTCCTTCCTGTATTCACCAATTTTTCTGCCAGATCAGTAATTCCTTTCAATGATGAAAACTCAGTGCTGCTCTGCATATCAACAATATAAAGCCCAAGTTGATCTTCAAGCTTCATGAGGTCTCGGTCATTAAATTCTTGAGGGTAAAATTGAGCAAAACGAAGTATTTTTTGTTTGTCAAAAGCTGCAAAATTATAAGCCGGACTCAAACATGCCATACAAAGAAGCAATTCAGTATTTACCTCAGTGAAGCGATTATTCAATTCCACTAGTTGCTTATCAATGATAGTAAGAAATAGGTCCACACGATAATAATGGCGGTTTGTGATTTTCTGAGCTTTACGACGTGATCTCCCTTGTGGTACAAATAAATCATCCATGTTAGGAACATCAATATCATTGTTGCCACAAAATATTGATACTTTGCCAAGCAGATCATCAAAGTCATCATCCCTCATGGATTTGTAGCTTTTGCTTACATCTTTGGACCAACATCATTGCATTCACAATATCTTGATCTTTCTTTTGTAATGCCTTTGACAAATCATTTGTGATTCCCAATATAAATCTCATCAAATATAGGTGAAACACAAAGTCAAAAGTTTGTATTTCTTTCAATAACCTATTTGCTTCACCTAAATTATCTTGGTTGACATCATCAACAATCCATTCAAGCACCTTCACCACGGGATGAAACATAGTATTAATACTCAGTAAAGTATCATAATGTGAGTTCCAACGTGTATCACAAGGACGTTTGAGAGTAGTCTCTTGATTTAACCCTTGCCCTGTTTCAAGATCATCAATTTCAAGAGCTTTCATAATATCTTTTTGTTGTTGCTCTCTAAGTGCATCACGACGCTTACACGATGCTCCAATAATGTTAACAACACTACTAGCCGTTGTGAAGAAAGTAGCAATATTTTCATTACCCTTTGCCACGGCTACAAGAGCTAGTTGTAGTTGATGTGCAAAACAATGGACATAATATGCTTGAGGATATTCTCTCAAAATCTGTGTTTTAAGACCATTGAGCTCACCTCTCATATTACTAGCACCATCATACCCCTGTCCTCGTAGCCTGGACATGCTCAAATTTGTTGAAGAAATCAATTGCTCAATTGCCTCTTTCAATTTGCTACTAGTCGTATCAGAGACATATTGGACACCCACAAACCTTTCAATAACTTGCCCTTTTTTGTTCACATAACGCAACACCACCGTCATTTGCTCTCTTATTGAAACATCACGTGATTCATCTACCAATATAGAAAAGAATGCATCGTCTATATCCCTAATAATTGCATCAATGGTTTCAACAGCACAAGAATTGACAAGTTCTTTTTGAATGTTAGGAGCAATATACTTGAGATTCCCTGGAGCATTCTCAAACACAACGGCACGAACTTTCTCATCATGATCGGCAAGAAATTGCAAAAGCTCCACATAATTACCCTTATTGCTAGATGTTTCACTTTCATCATGGCCACGAAAAGGAAGACCTTGTCGTAATAAATATCTAGTGCAATCAAGTGCGGCAGTTAATAGAATGCGATAATTAACACGAGCTTGGTCTGTCTGCTTGATCACAATGGTTTCAACGTGTTGCTTCTGATTCATTAAATCTGTACAATGTTGTGTAGCTTTATTGTGAAGGCTTCCAACTTGTCCAACATGGTCCCTAAAATTCTCAGGTCCCTTCCTCCAATTTTTAAACCCTTTCTCAGTGAAGACATCGCTTCCAGCCTTTCCTTGTTTATCAAAGTCGCATTTAAAAAGATAACAATGAAGACAAAATGCAGCATCTTTCTCTTTACTATACTCTAACCAAACAAATGAATCAAACCATTTCACAAGAAAACGTCGATTACTCTCCCCCATAAGTGTTTGAGGCATATCGTTTTGGCTTTTAGGTTGACAAGGACCCCTTTGCAGATAGGCTCTTTGGATTTGTTCTCGAAAATTGGGATTATAATAAGTCATTGGAGGTCTAAGGCCAGGGTCTGCAGGAAGATTAGCTAATATTTCATCCAACTCAGTAGGCGGATTATTTGAAGGTTGATTTGAACTAGCCGGATTATTTGAAGGAGGGTTGGAACTAGCCGGATTATTTGAAGGAGGGTTGGAACTAGACAGATGATTCGAAGGAGGATTTGAACTACCCAGATTATTTGAAGGAAGATTTAAACTCTTTCTCTGAAAGTACCGTTCCATAACTGTACAATTGAAACAAAATAAGGGTTTTATATCTATTATTATGACTAATTGACTATAATTTATCAAATAAATAAATAAATAATTATCAAATTATCAATTAAATAAATAAATAAAAATTAATTATACCTCGAATAACGTGTCATGTAGCCTATTTCTCCTCGAGTTTGCTATTGATCTTACTAATATAGAGAGAGCTAAATAAGAAAAAAAAATTATTAAAAAAAGAATAAACAAAATTGGTGTTTGGTCAAGAAAAAAAAAGCATTCGACTTACTTTGGATTGGCGTACTCAAGAAGAAAAAAAAATGCAGGATTCTTGTGATGCACACACACTTTGATGAAATTGGGTGATGTTATTGGTCTTTTATAAAGAGAATTCCCAATTCTACTTAATTAAGGAATTCTCAACTCTATTTAATTAAGGAATTCTCAAAACCCAATTGTATAAAGAGAACTTTTAATTAAAACCCAATTAAGTAAGGAAATAGAAGCCCTTTTTCAAAAGCCCACAAAAAGCCCACGTCAGTTTCCCTTTGTTTCCTTTTTTTTTAATTTCAAAACCCTGGTCCAAAACGACGTCGTTTTGGCCAGGTTTTTCAACAACAAAAAAAGGCAGTGCATATTAAACAGCCTGGTCCAAAACGACGTTGTTTTGGCCAGGCTTCGTTAAAAAAAAAAGAACCCTCGCGCGCTCTGAGCTACGCGCAGCACCAGCAGCTCCCCAGCAGTGGTTTGCGCATTTCATCGAGCACGTTGTGTGCATCGCTGGTCTGAAGCAGAGGTGCAACTCCATCGTCTGTAATGGCTATTTCCTGCGACCGGAGGTGCAGGCGCACCTCCTTGCGCCTGCACCGATCCGCCACTGAGTAGGAGTATTGTGGGTCTTTTAGGTCAACTTTTTTTATTATTTTAAAAATCTGTTTTTTTATATAATTATTCTTTATTATAGTTAATTGAAGAAAATATCCTTAAACCTAACAGAAATTTTAACGGAGTTAGATGTAGGTGGTGGATTACAACACTTTACAAACTTCAGGTGGTTAAAAATAAAAATTAAAAGTTCAAGTACTAATTACACACATACTTGAAAGTTTATGTGGTATTTATGCAAATTTCCCTTATCCAAGAGCTTTTCATAACCTTCCACACCACAATCCCTCGTGCAAGCTCCGTAAACCAAATAACTTGAGTTCATATGAGCTTAGTAGGTGATTGTCATATGAAAAATGTATTATTGGTTTGGCATGGCATGTACACTATTTCTATATTTATTTAATAAATTAATTCCCAAAATACAGCTTGGATTAACGCATGACCAACATTATATGTTATATTGGGCTTTAAATGTCTTTGGGCTTCTCGTGACTTTTCTGGGTCTCAACAACCTCCTTTTGGAGAATGAAAATATATCAAAAATTATTTTACCCCATATTGTTTGACTGTTTGCACTCTGACTCACCCTTTTATTTATTTTGTATGTTATTTTTTAAATTGAGGTGGGAATGCATGCTAAACTGGCAAAAGCGGATGAAATTGATATTGCCGAAATAATCTTACATAAACATAAAGGAAAGTGTGTGTGAGTCATACTTCATCTCCAGTCCAGCTGTTCTTCATCTTGGGACCTGTAGGCCCTTCTTCCCCTAATACTTCATTTGGTAGACTCTTTGCGAATTTATCAAAAGCAGATTTGAGCTTTCCAGGCAAAAGTTTCTCCACCGTTTTGATTTCGTCCGCAATGTCATAACTAATGTTTGGACCCCATTTCCTAGAGTAGTTAAGCCATGGTGGCTCAGTCACAGTCGACCCCAAATACTCAGCCGAGACTAATAAAAGGCTTCGTCCAATGTCCAATACCTTCTTACTCTTGGCTGTATCATTCCTTATTCCTATTCCGCCACTCCCTTGCAAAACAAGCCCTGCCTTCGGATACAAGGCATGCCCATGCAATGACGCATAGCCCACTGCTTTGTTTCCATTTTCAAACTCAAGCTGGGAAGCGTCCACCCACGTGCCCCCACTGTGTTGCGAGAAGAAGACCCTCCACAGTTCCCCTGTGAAATTGCTGACTCGTAAGGTCAAATGCTCCCAATCACCAACATGCTCGCCTATCTTCCCTAATGAGATGTTGAAAAACTCAACTTTGGCCATCGCCGGCCCATTGAAAGGGTAGAAGATCCATATGGCTATGTCCGTAAATGTTGATCCCAGCATGGGCTTTATGTGTAAATACACCTGACAGTCGAGTAGATCTCCCTTTTTCACTCTTTCACTGGAGCCTTTATCCACGGGTAGGTCCAGCCAATAAGAGCTATCATTTGAGCCACCTTGGGGAAGGTTGGAGCCCGTTGGTTCGATGGCAACTGCATCACCTTGTTTCTTGTATAGAAGGGCCCCATTGCTAAAAAACCAGCCTACCGAAGAAGGGAGGTATACTTCGTCAGGATGCAAGTATATGAGTGGCGAGTAAACTTCAAGTAATGCCTCAATTTGAGTCAGGTTGGGCATGTAAATATGAGAATTAGATAGAGATAGCGTGTTCTTCAAACAAGCCATCGCAATAGTAGATGAAGGAGTTCCATTTAGGGCTACGAATGTGCCAGCGGGTACGCCCATAGCTTGGGTCCCCCTATTGCTTGGTCTGAGGCTAAACACATTAAAACCATTGGCATCACCAGCGGTACCTGGTCCCCAAATCCACGAGTCAGCCTCGCAGTGGTCAGTGAGGTCAGATCGAACGCACCTGATTTGATCAAGAGATGGCTTCTCCGGAGAGCTGGTGACCGCATGGCCGATGGCTTCATAACCAAGTGGGGGAGTGGGTAACCAGACGTAGCCATCACCATCTTTCTTTAGATTCTTCAAGGACTCGCTATTCCACACGAGAGTGTAATCAAGTGGTTTCTTGAGTAAAGGGTGGTCATCTTCATCTTCGTCTTTATCTTTTGTTGACTTTGCAGCAAGGGCCCATCCCGAAAGAGGTTTGTTGTTGGGTTGGCTATAGCAACCAAGCATATAGAAACCTTGGGGTAAGGGTGAAGGTTCGAAGAAGCTTGCCCCAAGGTTGTCTGGTCCCCCCTCATGGGTAGCCCAGACTTTGCTGAAAGATGATATCTGGCATACTTGTAATCCACCTAGATCGATGCTTTCACTTGCAAACCCATCACCTGAAACGTGGATAAATCATATGATTAAGTTAATTAGCACATATAAACTATGAATCCAAAGAGAGTAGATCATCGTCAAACACACACACACACACACACACATATATGGCTAGTGTGTGTCTAAATTAGAGATGGTAGTGCGTACCAGGTGGCCAGCTGGGTAATGGAGCCGGAAGCTTGAATGTGGTTTCGATAGGTAAAGCCTTGCTTTTCTTGAAAACACCCCTTGCTGAAGATGAGAGGGCAGCGCAATTTCCCATTGTTGATGTCTTCAAAGATTGAATTTCTATACAGAAATGATATGTAAAATCTATAAGGAAGTTAGAAGCAGAATAAAGCAGACGGAACAAGAAGCATATTCTGTTTCAATTGAAGGGCTTGAAAAAACGATTGGCATAAAAAGGACTGGCCCTTGGATGTGTCGTGCAAGCAAGCCAATTTTGGCTATTTAATGCTTCCAAACATTGTTCAACTTGTCCTGAAAACCCAAATTGCTTTCTTAGGGAGAAATTGTGTGTTGTCCAACTTCCCATGTCCGTTGGCTTTTATATTTTGTCGAACATGTCTGTTGGCATTATAAGTGGCAATATATATACATATACCCAAAAAAATAAGAAGATAAACTATGTGGTAAGGAAAGAATAGTGGCCATTGGCAAAATATAAAGCTTTAAACATTATGATTACTGAAGACCTTGATCATTGGTTTTAGTACTCTCTTCCTTTTTTTCTACCCCTTTTTTTTATTTTCTTTTCAAATGAAAGTGTTTTTTTTTTTTTGGAAATAAATAGATAGTATTAATAAGTTAACAAAATACAAAAATATCACATAAATCAAATTACATCATAAATAGAGCCCCGAATATAGAGCATCCCATTATGAGAGATGCCTTTAGAGCTACAAAAATTTCATCGGAGCTCTAAATAAGGCTCTATCAATCTCTTTTAGATCCCCAACCATTGGGGATGACCTTAAAATAGTGAATAAAGCCCAATTTGGAGCCCATGAGAAATCTTCCCAGCTCTATGTCTCATACAATGGGGGCTCTAAATTTAGAGTTCTAAATTGTTTTATGATGTCATATAGGTAAGAGTTAATCTCAACTGGTTTGATTTAGGTGAAGTGATAGTTTGGCTTCTCAAACTGTGAACCGTCAACAGCATTTCAATCCAATTTGTAATATGAAAAAATTATAAATAAATAATAAAAAATGACCAATCGGTCAAGTTCGGTCAGTTTGGCTAGTTTTTGGTCTCATTTGAGAAGCTATACCTGTAGTTACCCTTAAGGCATGTTTGTCTTTAGTACACTTTCAATCTTAACAATAAAGTACCCTATGTTTGTAAATTTTTTGCAATATGACTTCTTCGTTAGACTAACTGAGAATCTCTGTTAAGTGATGAAGTGGCATATATGAGACCCATTTTTAAAAACATATATTAATAAAAACCCAATTTAAAAATAACTCGGTTTCTTAAATATAGATCCATTTTCGTCAGTGAACATTCAATGCAGTCCACATCCTTCCTTTGATTAATTTTGAGATTTTATATTTAAACCTCACACTTCTTTAAGTTCATCCCAACTTTTAATTTAAATTTTCATAATTTCTAAGAAAATCTCACTATTTTCCCAAACTACCTTTAAATACACTCCAAACTGAAAAAAAATATATATATATATATATATATATATATAACTAAAAGAGATTTCTATTTACACCCCACAATTTTCTTTGTTCCAAAAAAAAAACACAAACAAATGAGACCCAAAATCTGAAATTTAATAATTTCTAAAGAAAGAGAACAACTTTACCTCTCTCCAAAAACTGTAGCTGAAATTCTAACACTTAGATATTGTTGAGAGAGAGAGAGAGAGAGAGAGAGAGAGAGAGTTTGTCAACAGGAAGTTGGAAGAATATTTTTAAAACTTAATATGAAGAGTGGTGGAGTGTGTGAGATGTGTGTATAAATGTACTAGGGTTAAATTATAATGCATGACAACACAAAAAAGTGAAATGATTCTGAGGGCGGCTACCTTATAGACAGAACCAAATCCACTTGTTCTGGAAAGAGAAATTGTTCGTCGTGGCTGCGATGTTTATAAGATCAAAGAAACCATATGACGGTGATGGAATCCATATTGCAGTCCTGAAAACCACTTTAGATCCAGATCTAGAGATTTTGTTCAAGAGAGACAGAGAGGGGGGGAAGATGAAGAGAGGGAGAGAGAAACCAGAGAGAAAGGGAAGAGAGAGAGGGAGAGCGCGAGAAAGAGAGAGAAGATGAGAGAATCACAGAGACAGAGAGAGACAGAGAGAGGGGAAAAAGTAGAAAAGTAGAAAAAAGAGGGAGTTGTCCTCTAGATTTGCGACTCGTAGGTAGTTGCATTGATGGATGGTTGTTATCGGCATACATCTCCTTGGCTTTAGTTGGGTACACTATATTATATTACTTTTTAATTTTATATTTATTATATTTAATTTGAATGTCACCAATAATGATGAGGAGTTCATTGCCAACTTTCCCATGTCAGGTTGACCAAAAAAGAAACCTTCCCATGTCACCAATCCGTATTGTTTTTTCTACGTTTTATATTGCAAAATTACTGTTTAAGTTTCAGATGCTTTTATATTTACTATATTTAAATCAATAGTCACTAATTTTTTAAAGTGTGAGATAACTAGTCATAATTAACAGTGACCACTCATTCAAATGTCACCAAAATCTATTTGTTGCTTTAAAATGGTGACTATTGTCTTCTTTTTTTGTAGCGACTCTATTTATGTTTTATGAAGAAAATCTTGGCTAAATATACGTGTCATTCATCCAAAAATTTTGAACGCTGAAAGAGTTTGCAGGCTAAATATATTATATTATTCTTATTTTACCTTGTTCATAGGTTTTTAGTGTTTTGTCTTTTTGGGTAGAATTATTGTTGTTGTTAAGATATATTAGTGTGTGGTTTGTTTGTCTATCATGATTGCGGTTGATCATTCGGTTTGCAGGTGTGTATAAAAGCATTTTTCTGGGTAAACTAATATAGCTTACGTGGGAAAATTAGTTTCTTTAATCAACTGAAAAAATAACTATTCACAAGGAAAGTGGTCCTCCATCGTGATTAATGGGATGAACAATCCGATGTGGTCTAGTTACTCCTAGTTGTGAAAGAGGTCAGCAAAAGACTCTAAGAGCATTTTCAGCAAGGGGCCTAGGGGGAGGGCTGGGGGGGGCTGGGGGAAAATGGTGTTTCCAGCAACATAAATCTGCCAGGGCAAGGTGTGGGCCCCAGCAAAAAAAATTTGTCTGAGCTAGCCCTTGGGGAGGTCCAGCCCGAGCAACAAAACTCGTTTTGGGCTGACGTCAGCGCAGCTGTTTAAATTTTTTTAACGTTGGCGCATGCAACGCACGCGCCAACCTTAAAAAAAAATTGACGCGCCCGCTACAGTGACCCCCCAACGGGTCTATTCCACGTGGTGCCCACTGAAGCTGTCCGATCAACTTTATTCCAAATCCAACGGCAGCCATTTTTCGCGAATAAAAAAATGAAAAAAAAAATCGAAAGTCGCACCCAACGGCTCTCTTCCACGTGGCGATGCTCTGGGCGCTCCGATGAAGTTCTTCCAGCAATTCAACGGCAGCTGTTCATTCTGGCCAAAAAATAATGAAAAAAATTTGAAAAAATACCCAAAAAAATACTGATGTTTTTTCCTATAAATACCAACAAATACTCTTCACTTTTAACACCAACTCTTCATACATTTTCTTCTCATTCTACCATTATTCACTTTGTAGTCTATATTTTTTTCACTTTGAAGTTGAATTTTTCTAGAAAAATTTATGGGTTCTTCTAGTGAAACCGGAGGGGCATGGAGTGTCATGGAAGATGTTAGCTTGTGTGAGTCTTGGCTCCACATTAGTCATTGTCCCGTAACGGGCAATGAGATGAAATTTTGTCATATGTGGAAAAAAATTCATCAGGATTTTTGTGAAAGGGTAATTGGTTCGACCCGTACAGATCAGGCACTATCTAGTAGGTGGAAAATTCTTAACAAAGAGTTGGCGAAATGGAGGAATGCCTTGGCAAAGGCGATGGACAACCATAGAAGCGGGGAAAACCTTACCAGTGAGGTAAATTATTTGTAATTTTTGTTTTATTAATTTCTATGTCATATTAAAGTTTATTTAAATATTTCTTGCAATTTATATATTTTGTTAATATTTCTTGTATTTCCAATATTAATATGAATGTTTGTTGCAATATTTAAATTTTGTTTTTCATTTCTAATAAATTGTTAAGGTTTCTTGTATTTCCATTATTATTTTTTTATACTTGTTGAATTGCCAATAATTTTTAAAGTTTCTTGCATTCTCATTTTTTTTATAGACTATACAAGCACAAATGTTTTTTGGTGCTACTGGGCAAGGAAAAAAAAGCTTCAACCATACCCATTGTTGGGAGGTGGTGAAGAATTGTAAGAAATTCCAAATTATTCCAACGGGTCCGACGGTAGTCTTGAACGAGACGCCACTCCATGAGACACCGGCATCGGATTCACCTATGGATTCCCCGATGAGTCAAGACTCACCTATCGAAAAGGAGCCGAGGCCTATTGGGAGGAAGGCGGCGAAGGCGAAGAGAGGGAGTAATTCTACCAAGTCATCATCTAAATTTTTGGAGGAACTTTCAAGGATGCAAGCCATGAGAATTGAAATGGACATGAAACAACAAGAGCACGATAGGGCAATTGATGTAGAAAATGCAAAAGAAAGGGAGTATGTACGCCAACAAAGGGAGTATGCACGCCAAGAAAGGGAGTATGCACGCCAAGAAAAGATTGAAATTAAGGATCGGGAAACAATGGCCATGGATACAACCCATATGTCCCCTGAAACAAAACAATATTGGAAGCTAGAACGAAGGGATGTTATGAGACGAAGACTTTTTCGTGACGATGGACCTAGCAACACGGATTGGTTAAATGATCAAAACAATTAAGTTAGTTTGCTTGCCTTTCATTTCATTGTACCATTAAATTAGTTTGCTTGCCTTTCATTTCATTGTATTTTTTTTTATTTAAAAAATTAGTGGTAATTCATGTATTTTATTTTATGAGTTGTATTGATTTTCTTGTAGTGAATGAAGAAAATATTCAACAAAATTCCTTTTTATTCAAAACATTCCATACATAAAAAGCAAACCACAACCAAAGCATAAAAAATAAACAAACCACAACAAAGCATAAAAAAAAACAACAAAGCATAACTAAAAATACAACATAAACATAATGCACTAAAATAACATCTTCACTTGACTTCATTGACCTTCATTGCCTTTCACCGCCCACAAATGCTCCATCAAATCAACTTGACGGTGTTCATGAATATACGACGATTGCATCTCCGTGTAGCGCTCAATCATACGATGCATGAAAGTACCGTCTCTAACTAACGGATCATGCTGCACTGGTTCTCCATTTGGCCCCATAGGTTTTTCATAAATTCGTGTTAAGGTCGTGTTCATGGGATCTGGTTCATACACTTCATCAACATCATAATCATACTCATCTTCCACAATCATGTTGTGGAGGATGATACAAGTCATCATTATACTTCTGAGCACCTCCTCGTCAAATAGACGCGCCGCGCCCCTGATAATAGCCCACCGAGCTTGAAGGATACCAAAGCACCTCTCCACATCTTTTTTGTACCCCTCTTGATAGGCAGCAAAAAAATTTTCCTTCTCGGATCGGGGATGTGGAATTGATTTCACAAATGTTGTCCACCTCGGGTAGATACCATCAGCTAGATAATACCCGTTCTGATACACGGTATTATTGACTTGATATGTGATATTTGGGCATTCACCTCTCAAAATATCATTGAACACCGGGGATTGACCGAGGACGTTCAAATCATTTTGAGAGCCGGCAACTCCAAAGAAGGCGTGCCAAACCCAGGTATCAAAACCAGCAACTGCTTTGAGGATGATGCTTTTCTGCCCTTTCCGATTACCATAATCCCTTGCCAAGCAGATGGACAATTTTTCCATTGCCAGTGCATGCAGTCAATGCTACCAATCATTCCAGGAAATCCACGAGACTCAGCTTTTTGTAGAAGCCGTTGCAGGTCCCTGGGCGTAGGTCTGCGCAGGTAGTCCATGGTGTACAGATTTTCCACTGCATCACAAAATCGCACCAAGCTCTCCAAAATAGTGGACTTCCCCATCCGGGCAATCTCATCCACCTTATCAGCAGATGACCCATACGCCAACATTCGTATCACAGCTGTGAACTTTTGCTCGGGAAGCAGCCCCAAATCTCCAGCACAATTTTTCTTTTGAACAAAGTAGTCATCATAATTGCAAATATCATGCATGACTTTATTGAACAAATGGGGTTGCATTCTATATCTTGCTCGAAAATGAACATCAGAGTACAGAGATTGTGGGATAAAATAATCTTCCAGAAGATTCTTACCCCGAGAATGTCTATGTCTGTCCACATTCGATGCCCGGCCTTCTCGTGAACCACGACGGCTCTGGTTTTCTTCCTCCATCAAAGCAACGGCCACACCAAGTTGCTCATCTAGTTCTCTCTGCGCCCTTTTGCTTGCAGCCCTTCTGCGCATTCTTGCTCGCCTTTCTCGCTCTTGCCTATCCAAAACATCTTCCATGTCTGACATTGAGAATGGAGAATGAAATCTAAAATCTGAGAAATGAAATCTAAAATATGAGAAATGAAGATGCAGAGAAGATATGGTGTGTGAGGTATGAGCTGAGCCTCTGGTTTTATAGAAAAATTTAGACAGATAGAGATGACACGTGGCGCAATTTTAGAGGATGAAAATCTTATCTGAAATTTGAAATTCAAATGAAATTTGAAATTGGTAATTTATCTGGAATTTGAATTTCGAAATGTATCTGAAATTCAAATTTTGAATTTATCTCAATTTTGAATTTTGAAATGTATCTGAAATTTGAAATTTATCTGAAATTTGAAACCGAAAATCTTATCCGATATGAATAGTATTGACACGTACGAACCCAAAAATCTTATCCGAAAATATTATCCAAATTAATTGTTTAAATAAACAAAGTTGTAAAAAAAACAAAAAAAATGAATAGTATTTGCCATGGCAAGGGGCTAACTGCTGGAAACACACATTTGCTGGGGGGAGCTAGGGCAGCCACTATTCACGTGAATAGTAACTGCCCTAGGGCTCCTCTTGCCATGGCAAGGGGCTAACTGGTGGAAGTGCTCTAATCAGGAGTTAATCAACACCCACCCACCCCATCCTAGTATCATCCCTCTGTTTCTTCTCCCCCCACCCACCCTCATCTTTCTATCTCACTCTTCCTCTTTTCCCATTCTCTTTTCGACATCCACCAAACCCAAGTTCCATATCTGAATTTTTTTTTTAAAGCATACTGATTTTACCAAAAAAATTGGATTTGAGATGGTTGTGGGATTCTTAGGAGATATATGAGAGGTGAGGAGTGGAGGATGAGATCTGGGTTGGGTTTCGGGTGAGTGTTGGGTGGGTCTAGGTATGGTTTTGTGTGGCAAGGGGTGGACCATGTGGGGCTGTGATGGCTGGGAGGGGGATGGGGAGGGCATCGGGTCTAGATCGATACCCTTTGTTTTGATTTTACTTACTGGAATGATTTATATAGCATCGGCTGCTCAACTCCATTTTTACTCTTTTCTGATATTGATTTCTTGGATTTTGGTATCTTATTATGTATTTTGGATTATTGATTTGTATGCCGTCCAATAATTTAGGTTGTTGATATATGCAGCCTAATGCCAAAAAGGCATCCCGAATGTGAAAGATCTTGGGCTCTAAATGCTAAAGACCTGTCGGAGCTGTCCTCAAATATGTGGATGCGGATGTAGCCCCTTGAGCCCAAATGGTCCCAACATGATTCACTTTCTTCTCTCCTCAATCGTCTAGGACGCGCAACTAGCTACATACTTGCTTACCAAAACCACATGCATGGGGCCCGTCATCATATAAAATGAATAAACAAACTTTATTCTTGTACTTCTCTTTTTTTCTTTTTTTTTTTTTTTTTTTTTTTTTTTTTTTTTTTTTTTTATTATTATTATTTTTTGGAAATAAATAGCTAGTAATAATAAGTAGTAGTATAAAATACAAAAATATTACATAAAAAAAAAAATTACATCATAACATAGAATCATAAATAGAATATAGAGCCATCTCATTGTGGAAAAGATGTTTTTAGAGCCCCAAAAATTTCATTGGGAGCTCTAAATGGGGCTCTATCAATCTCTTTTAGAGTTTCAACCATTGGATATGCCCTGAAAATAGTGGATAGAACCCAATTTGGAGCCCATGAGAAATCTTTAGGGCTCTATGTTTCATACAATGGGAGCTCTAAATTTAGAGTTTTAAATTGTTTTATGATGTCATATAGGGTAAGAGTTAATCTCAACTGGTTCGATTTAGGTGAAGTGATAGTTTGGCTTCTCAAACTGTGTACCGTCAACGGCATTTTAGTCCAGTTTATAATATGGAAAAATTAATTTTTATTTTATTTTAAAAAAGCATGACCAATCGATCAAGTTTGGTTAGTTTGGATGATTTTCGGTCTCATTTGCCCAGCTATACCTGCAGTTACCATAGAGGCATGTTTATCTTTAGTACACTTTCTGTTTTAACAATACAGTACCATATGTTTGTAAATTTTTTGCAATATAACTCTGTCGTTAGGCTAACTGCTAGAATCTTTGTTAAGTGATGATGTGACATATATGAGACCCATTTTTTCTTCTCCATTTTAGTCGGTGAACATTCAATGCAGTCTACATCCTTCCTTTGATTAATTTTGGTCCAGTTGTGAGTCAGTTGCCTAGCCATATAGGCAAATATAGAACCCATCCCTTTAAAAAGATTTACAGTTCATGCCATTATCATAAAAGGCAAATAAACCAAGAATTCACTCTATTTATGTTTCTATCAAGAAAATCTTGGCTAAATATACGTGTCATTCATCCAAAAATTTTGAACGCTGAAAGAGTTTGCAGGCCAAATATGTTATGTTATTCTTATTTTACCTTGTTCATAGGTTTTTAGGGTTTTGTCTTTTTTGGGTTGCATTATTATTGTTGGTTAGTGTGTGGGTTGTTTGTCTATCATGATTGTGGTTGATCATTCGGTTTGCAGGTGTGTATAAAAGCATGTTTTTTGGGTGAACTAATATAGCTCAATGGGATGAACAATCCCATGTCGTCTAGTTACTCCTAGTTGTGAAAGAGGTCAGCAAAAGCACTTTACTATTCGTTTCTAAGTAATGCAACTACTTCTTTTCCTCATTCATAAGGATTAAAAATGGTGGCGATCAACATCGTTTTAAAAGAGAATAGTTAGGGGGAGTAAATAATACGTTGTGCTGCACATTCGTTGAATACAAATACAATACAATATACGGACGGCAAGTTGACTATTACAAGACACATTGGATTTAGAATATAATTTTGTCAAGCCCTGTCTGTAGACTGTAGGAAAGGAAGGAACTTTTCTGACCACATATACAAAGAGCAGAGAACATAGAACATAGAACATAACGTTAAACAGGAAGCTCCAAATCATTACCCAACAAATTATAAGTAATTAACAAGCAAAGAAGAGGACTGCAGTCGGCAGACTCGACTCCCTCGTATTTAAAGCGCTCCGGTCTTCCTCAGCTTACTGTGCCTGCCCGCCAACTGTGCGGCTCCAAACATAAATACTGGTGGTTGATACCTAAATTTAAATTAGCTATGTTTTCTGTCTTCAATACCTCCAATGCTAGTGCCTTGCAAATTCTCACCATCCTAAGCTTGCTCTTGGCCTCTGCTGCGCAAATCTCATTCTTATCCTCCCAATCTAATTCCAATTCCGGAGTCAATGTGTGGCCAAAGCCAAGAAACTTTTCGTGGCCTCAGCCGCAGCAGGCCAACCTGCTCTCCCCTAACTTCACCATCACTTTTCCAGACCACCACAAATACCTATCATCCTCCGTAAAACGGTACCTGCAGCTTATTCTAAGCGAGCACCACCGCCCCCTCGTCAACCCGTCCTCCTTCATCCACATCAACACCTCCGCCCCACCCTTGCTCACCCTCTCCGTCACCGTTGCTGATCTCAGCGCCCCTCTTCACCACGGTGTCGATGAGTCGTACACACTTTCAATCCCCATCGCCGGAGGAGCCGCCGATCTGGCTGCCCAGACGGCGTGGGGCGCCATGAGGGGCCTCGAGACATTTTCACAGCTGGTGTGGGGCGATCCCTCGCTCGTGGCTGTGGGCGTCTACGTGTGGGACTCTCCACTCTTTGGACACAGAGGAGTGTTGTTGGACACCTCTAGAAACTTCTACGGAGTGCAGGACATGCTCAGGACCATTGAGGCAATGAGCGCCAATAAGCTCAATGTCTTCCATTGGCACATCACTGACTCTCATTCTTTCCCACTGATGGTGCCTTCCGAGCCTGAGTTGGCATCTAAGGGATCTTATGGGTCGAATATGCACTACTCTCCGGCTGATGTCACCAAGATTGTTGAGTTTGGTTTGGAGCATGGTGTCAGGGTTCTCCCGGAAATCGATTCGCCTGGTCAGTCTTTCCTTTTCTTCTCAATTAATTAACTGCATCATTCATTACTACTATAATAGTGGCGGCTCTGCATACCCTGGCATCAAATTTACGCTATTGTCTCCTAGCTTTGTTGATGCTTTCCTTATGAGCCGACGGCAAAAACTGTTTGATAAAATGCCTCAAAGAGCCTGATAAGCAAAGGAAATGGATGCACCCGCACAAAGCAATTTGATTTGGTCACTATTTAAAAGCTTCTAATCACGCCCCCACGAACACAAATTCTTAGGTCTACCACTCAAGATATCAATTCAAAATATGCCCAATATGTAAACTGTTTGATTCTTTCCACTAAGTTTTAAGGGAAACAACGAAACTAGCTCCTCTGCTCTGTATATGAATCGCTTAAATTACTCTCAGCCTCCTCTTCTATTCTTGAAATTGGCATTTTTTTAAATAAAAACTGAAAAGGGACAATAAAAAGCTTTCTGGCCACAAGCCTTTTCCTTTTTTCTTGATACACATGAGGATCTCGGGTGCCTTAGCTCAAGTCCTTGCACCAAAAGCCTTCTTACAGCTTACTAGATCAGTCAAAATTTCTCACCCAAAAGATCACTCCAAATTGGACCTATTTTTAATTTTATGTTTCTATAAGCTACTGCCAATTTGATTATTTAGGAGTTTTGGTCTTTGACTGATGTACTTCAAAAACTCCCTAAGTACCGACTCATTAGAGGCTCTGTCGTTGTTTTTATCAGAAAAGAGGCTTTGTTTTTGTCCAGCCACCTAGTGTTACAAATTCATTCTACTAACGATTCATTAGAGCCACTGTCTCAGTCAAGTTGGGACTTTTAGAAAACAAAATGCAACCTTTCTGGCTCTATTTGGCATGTGAGATTTCAAATTAGAAATTTAAGTTAATGTTAGTTATGAATAAAACTTGTATTCTGTTTTACAATAACATAAAAGCTTATACTTCTTTGGAAGAAATAGGAAAGTCGAAGGGTTTTCAAATGAGTCGGAGTCTGCCCGCCTTACTTTTTTCGCTGTTCACATGATGATAAAGTTTGATAGATACTCAAAAGACATTAGACTATTTTATTTCTGTTTTTACACTTATCAATATCATAATTCTTACGCTCCTTCCTAATCTATATAACCTTCCACATTTTTTTGGGTCTACTAGCCTACTGTGATACACTATAGAATGTGAGCATCAAAACCAAAACCAATTGACAATCCAATATCATTTAAACTGTACTTACATCTCTGACCTACTCAATGAAAGAAACATGTTTTGTTCTTCCAATAGAAAACCTCGGGAAATGGTATATCAATGATAGAAATAATATTGGGACAGGAATGGTTTTGGCCCAGATTGACAAACAAAACAAATATGAATACTGCATCAAACTATTCTGGTTCTCAAACGCAAATTGCACCTCCTAATAAGAACAGAAATCGAAGAAAGCACATCCACTTTCGGTTTCAGGGAAAACTAGTTGTCTACATGCTATGGGTTCACATGTAAAATTGTCTGGATTATGGGAATTTCAGAAGTGTGATGATATTGTCCCATATTATGGGAATAGGGATTATGATATTTGAAGAAAAGTGTGGTTGATTATAATGTGGAATAAATTAGAAAGGAGCCTTCTCAGTGAGACTTAAGTTATAATGGTATAATGAAGGAGAGAGTGTGAGCCACCATCACATGGGCTACTGCAGCAGCTAGAAATTCTATGTAGTTTATTTTATTTTACGCTCTTGCTACATACAAGATGACCCTAATACCTTATTCAATTTTATAAGACATTCCTATTCCTAATCTCAATTGTGGTTGTATAATTACATCCTCTTTTATTTTAAATGTTTGTGCAGGCCACACAGGATCGTGGGCCGCAGCCTACCCAGATATTGTGACATGTGCAAATATGTTCTGGTGGCCAGATGGAGTTGATTGGGCTGACCGGCTTGCTTCTGAACCAGGAACCGGTCATCTGAATCCATTGAACCCCAAGACCTACCAAGTCCTCAAAAACATCATCCGTGATGTGGCAACGCTATTCCCTGAACCATTTTACCACGCTGGAGCTGATGAGATCATACCTGGGTGCTGGAAAGCTGATCCGACCATTCAATCATTCCTATCTGAGGGTGGAACTCTCAGTCAGCTCCTTGAGCTTTTTGTCAACTCCACTTTCCCTTACATTGTATCACTTAATAGGACAGTGGTGTATTGGGAAGACGTTTTACTGGATGATAATATCAAGGTGCAATCAACAGTTCTTCCCCAAGAGCATACCATCTTACAAACGTGGAACAATGGTCACAACAACACTAAACGAATTGTGTCTTCTGGATACCGTGTCATCGTGTCATCTTCGGAATTCTATTACTTGGATTGTGGTCACGGTGACTTTCTAGGGAACGATAGCATCTATGATCAACAAACAGGCAGTGTCGCAAAAGATGGGGGATCCTGGTGCGGTCCTTTCAAAACATGGCAAACCGTGTATAATTATGATATAACGTATGGATTGACTGAAGAGGAGGTGAAGTTGGTGCTAGGTGGAGAGGTTGCATTGTGGTCTGAGCAAGCTGACCCGACAGTTTTGGATGCACGAATTTGGCCGCGAGCTTCAGCAGTGGCAGAGTCATTATGGTCAGGGAATAGGGACGAGAAAGGTATGAAGAGGTATGCAGAGGCAACTGATAGGTTGAATGAATGGAGGAGCAGAATTGTGGCTAGAGGTGTTGGGGCTGAACCCATTCAGCCACTTTGGTGTGTCAGGAACCCAGGGATGTGCAACACATTTAACTCATTTGGTTAAAATGCTCTGATTATTTTGTGTCTGAATGTGTGAATCTATTTTTTAAGGGAATAAAAGTGCATCAGTCAACTCAAAACCACCTATATAACAACCACCAGTGCCTAATGAAATACTCAAACTCGGCAAACTCTATCAATTATACTTAATGTGAAACAATTATGGCCAGATCAAAGCAGACTTGCCCGCTATCAATTTCTAACTTAGAATCCCCTCTTAATTTTGAACTTCTGCTACGAATAATTGAAATTCATTAAGGCTGCTAGCATAGAATTCACATATAGAGAAAAAAATTTACCCCTGGATTTCTCTCTTTTGGTTAATATTTATTTTCTAAGCGCAAGTAAATTCATACTTTATTATTGGTATATGAATATTTATTAAACAAAAAAAGGGCAGAGCGCAGAACAAGAGAACAATGTACAAAGCAATACATATGGTTGATGATATACGCTCAACAGTTAATTAGCCAATAAAATATGCATGCTGGTTGCGGTATCCATTTGTGGGACCCGACATATGTTTTAACTTGTGCTCATATATATTTCTTTGAAGAAGCAATCCTTCCTTTTGTTGATTGGGCCAGCTTGTCCAAACTTTTGCTTCATGTTCGGTTATTTATGTTCCATGAATTATCAACTAGTGAAGTAATTTTTGTGTGGTGTTGGAGTACGGTTATGTTAACGTAATATAATTCGTACACATTTTATAATATAAATAGATATTTATTAATATTATATTTTATAAGTGAAATTTTTTAACAATGTCATCCACCCACATTCAAATACATGAAAAAGTTATACTATGTTGTTATATTCTAATATTATACAATAATTTACCTCAAAGAGTTGAGACATGTATGTCGTTGTTTTGTTATTGCTCAAAAGATAATGGAAAATAGAGCATGGAAACAAGAACAAGTGCACCCACACCGTTGCGATTAACGAATCTAATGGATGATAAAGCAACTGATAGCTAATGGATATATAGTCTCTAGACTGTATAAAATTAAAGAAAATTAAAGAGAGAGAAAAGGCATCCATGTGGCACAAATTTGGCATTCACCTTAGGGGAAAAAAAAGAGAAAAAAAAAGACATGCATAGTCGGCATGTATAGTCTCTCGAGATAGCTAATGGATGATGAAACAACTGAATTTGTGTTCGGAATAGCAATATAGAAAATTCATGAAAGTTAAAAACGTGTGAAATGAAATTAACCCAATATCTTTTCACCTAACCTAGATTTTTTGACAACTTGAGTAAGAAGAAGAAGAGAAGAAATCAAAATGAATCAATTCCCTCTTTCTTGCACTCAATGACACAACCGACATGTCCAAAATATTTTTATAATATTTCTTGCGAAAATGAGCTTCCTAACAAATGTCCTTTAAGTAAGGAGCAAAGACGAGGCAAACGCAAGGAAGCCTTATTGTCTCTCTAAACACCATGAAACTTTCCAGTGTAGCATGCCCAATTCCAACCACGGCTGCTCTCATTGGCTGCCTTTTCTTACTCGCAACAGTTTCAGAGGCCGTAATATCTTGCAGCGATGTAACCAAGGACCTTAGACCTTGCCTGAGCTACCTAGTAAATGGCTCAGGGATGCCACCTGCTGCATGTTGTGCTGGAGCCTCAGCCCTCGCATCTGCTGCATCAACCTCTGCCGACAAGAAAGCTGCATGCGGCTGTATTAAGTCAGCAGCCCAGAAAATAAATCTCAAAGTTCAATTGGCCCAGGCTCTTCCAGGGAACTGTGGAATCAACTTGCCTTTCACTATTTCACCAAATACTGACTGTTCAAAGTAATTATACCCTTTGATCCAGATATATTCATTTTTCTCTCTCCCGATCCAACTACCTTTCGTTATGATTACCAATGTTTTACCATCAAAGTAATTTCCTACTGATTAAAGCTTTTTTCTGTTGTTGCTCCATCGGATGCAGGGTTGGTTGAAGCTGTAGCAGCTTGAAGATCTACACCATTTGCATGGATATAGTACTATAATAATACCCAGTTCTGCACGTATCCTGAATATCTGTTGATGCACCTTTCGGATTCCTCTACCAAATTAAGTTAATATCGCCTACGTGTTTTAATTTATTCTTCCAATAGTTTGTTACTAGTGTTGTTCTGGATCAAATAAAGAGTTGTGCCCATTTGCATCTATGCCGTAGCAGAACGACTTTTTTATGTGATTGTGATACAATAGCACTAATTAGTTACAAAATTAAGACGGAATCACTAGTAAAGTCTATCTCACAAATAGAGCTGTCAAGAGTCGGATCTTGATCCGAATCTGATTTGAATCCGATATAATTAATAGAAGATGAATCTAATTGTAGGATCGGATGATCCGATTATGTGCTGAATCCGTTAACCCGATAAGTTAACGGGACAGATCTAAATCTTGCCTAATCCAATTCGATAATGATATGATCCGATTTTATATAATATATTTTATTTTATTTTATTAATTTATTATTATTGTTTATTAGAAATGTTGCCAACAACATAAAACTAAGGGGAGCTCTATTCCCTTCCATGTGAATCCTGCCACCTCTCTCTCTCTCTCTCTCTCTCTCTCCACTGGCAGAGTAGCCTTCCTATCCGGTATGGATGCAGTCTTATCTTGATGGGATGGGATCTTGTCAACAGTGTGGGTGGTTCCTCATATTGTGGCTTTTTGGTAGGGTAGTGTTAGGAGCCGAGGCCGAGTTTACTAGGTGTTTTAATGTTTTGTACAAAGTCCACGTGTTGTCTTTTTATTGGGCAGTTTGGCTCGGCGTATGCCGAGCATCAACAAAGCCAATTTTGGCAATTTAATGCTTCCAAACATTGTTCAACTTGTCTTGAAAACCCAAATTGCGTTCTTTGGCGGAAATTGTTTTGTATTGTTCAACTTCTCATATCCGTTGGTATTATAAGTGGCAATATGCATATTCATACTCCAAACAGAATAAACTATCCTTGGGGACAAATACATGAATTTTCCTTGCAGGGTTTAAAATGGTAAAAATTTCGATGCAAAAATAAACCCATAAAAATTAAATGATAATTTATAATTAGTAATTAATAGAAATAAATCACATTACAATTGTTCACGATGAGAAAAAACCACATCATAGTTAAAGAATTTGTAAATGTTTCAAACAATGTATATGTGAATACGAATTCAATTTTTACTTCTAGGGAGTTAGTAAGTATTCTGGACAAGTTAATCTGTATTTGTGCATGAGTTGCTACATATGGATAGTGGCACGAGTTTTTATCAAAATAGCCAAAATTTACCCTCCACTTTCATAAATGTCAATTTTTATAAAACCTTTCAAAAATAGCCAAAAACTCACTTAAATAGACTTAAATGCCATCCAAATTAAAATCCACATAAATAAATAAAAGAAAGTCAGTGAAGAAAATAGGAGAGTGATATCCTATAGGCACTGTAAAGCGGGATTGCCGATAAGGAAGTGACCTTTGAATTGATCCATCAGCCAATTCAGTAACCTGTTTCGACTTTCCTTGTAATGTGCAATTATATGCACCGGAACCACTAATGCCTTTTCAATTGACTTTCTGGTCAAAATCCTGAGGCAATCCATCGGAAAACTCGATGCCTGCTGAATAAGCATTGGATATCTTCTTGAGTCATGTTTTCTATCTATACTTGTTTGTATTGAATTCCTCTTTCCTTTTATTTTACTGCCACTCTGAACTACCTTTCTTTATACTTTGGCCGATATCATGTAAGGCTGCTGAACTCGTAAAATTGGATTCATTAATTCTCAACGTCTCTCAAAGATCGATACAGCTTTAGCTTGGATTATAGGGGGAAGAACTTGGTAGATAAAGATGAGAAATCATCTTAAGGAAAACCAGACCAATTTTTGTCAAGTCCACATCAGGCACAAAAGAAAGACATGCTAATTAATTTGCTGCAATTAGCAAGAAAAAGGAGGGAGTGACAGAAGAGGTGTAGTTAGCTAGCAGAAGTAATACAACAGCAGTAAACAAGCAAATCTCAAATTGAAATGTAAAAATCAATAGTCACAGAACAAACTCATTGGTTGTTTCAAACAAAGAATCATCAGAATCAGACAATATAAATCTACATCAAATGGAAAATCCCAAGTTTCAATATTCACATATCCAATGTCTAAATCCATTTGGTAAAAACCCATATAGATGAGCATGAAGATTCAAACCACATAACCCAGAGCAATCAAAATAAAACTAATTTCAAAGAAACCTACAGACATTAATAAATGACCATCAAGACTACCTATTGGAGGTCAGTGATGGAGTTGAGCCTTGAGGTTGTAAGCAGCTGCGACCTTAGGCGATTCAAAAGACAGACCTAGATGATGGGGTCGGGGGGTTCGCGATTCGAGAGAGAGAGAGAGAGAGAGAGAGAGAGAGAGAAAACAAAAGGTGAGAAAAAGTGTTATGTGGGCAATAAGTAGGTATTTATAGGTTGTATTTGTAAAATATGTGGGAAAAGGCGGTATTTGCAAATTAAGTTTGGATTGCAGTGGCATTGAGCTGTATTTCCCTAAATTTTTTACCCATTCTTTTATTATGCCTTCGGCCCATTCCTATTGTACCCAAACTATTTGTGTAGAGCCCATTAGGTCCTTTCTACTGGGCAATGGCCGAACTCGGATCCAACCCACCACATGGGCTTCTTAAACCCTAATTGGCCTGCATATATAAAACCTAGTTAGAAAACCTGAACTGAACCTGAACTTGGGGCAGAGGAAACCATTTGCGGCTCGTCTCAGGGAACCTAAGGACAGAGGCAACCTCCACGTCCTTCTCTCACATCATGGGTCGTATGCACAGTCATGGAAAGGGCATGTCCGCCTCAGCTTTGCCTTACAAGAGAAGTTCGCCTAGCTGGTTAAAGGTCACTGCTCCAGATGTAAGTAAACGAAAAGCCCGAGATTTAATATTGAAGTATGTAATTGTCGATGTTAATTTGAGTTGGTTATATCTGTGATTAAGGTTGAAGAGAACATCTGCAAGTTTGCAAAGAAGGGTATGACTCCATCTCAGATCGGTGTGATTCTTCGTGACTCTCATGGTATTGCTCAGGTCAAGAGCGTTACTGGAAGCAAGATCTTGCGTGTTCTTAAAGCTCACGGTATGCCTTTTAACTTGTAATTTTAATATTTTTCTGTATGAGTTTTGTTGCACTGTTACTCTGAATTAGAAGGTTTGGATGTGTAATGGAACTTGTGGAATTGAAACCCATTTCTCCACTGAGCCCGATTACATAGGTGAAGATAAACGAATAAGCACTAATTGATTGCTTACACTATTTTTCTGGATTTTAACATGGGGTTTGGTCGTATGATTAGGCTAGCTCGAAAAGATGACCTTTCTGTCTTCATTTTGTATGTTTCATGTTCTCTCAAAACGTAAAGGAGTGTGTTTTTGTTCTCAAACAAGTCTGTGGAGGTGTCCTTTCTAGTTTCTTTCGTTCTACCCAAATGACAGCCTACTTTTTTGTATTTTTTTTAAATAAATAAAATATTTATATATTTAAAAAAAAACATAATTTCCTTTTGTTGTTGGCGGGTAGGTCTTGCTCCTGAAATTCCTGAGGATCTATACCATCTTATCAAGAAGGCAGTGTCAATTAGGAAGCATTTGGAGAGGAATAGGAAGGATAAGGATTCAAAGTTTCGGTTGATTTTGGTTGAGAGCAGGATTCACAGGCTTTCTCGTTACTACAAGAAAACGAAAAAGCTTCCTCCTGTCTGGAAATAGTAAGCATTCTTTATCTTCTTTTTTTCCATCTTCATTTTTATGGTTCTGGAAATACTAAGCATTCTTTATCTGGTTACTATATTGCTTGCCTTCGTCCTTTTCAAAAAAATAAAAAATAAAAAATTATTGCTTGCCTTGTTGCTTTGCATACGTAAGGAAGTAGAACAAATAGGGTTCTTTGCAATATACCCTTCTAACTTGTTTTGGGACCTAGTTTGTAAAATGCGGAATGGGAAAAGTACATGTTTTATTCGACAAAATTTTGGCAAGATACAATTGAAAAGTTCGGCTGCTATATAATATTTTTAAATTTTTTAATATATATTATTTTTATTTAATAATATGTGAAAAATAAGTGAAGTTTGTCTGTATTATTTAAAATTTTGTAAAAAAAAGTGAAAAATATGTATGTACGTGTATAATAGTAGATTGTACGTTTGTTTAAAAAAAAACATGTATTTTACTGATTCTTTAAAGACTGGCACAGATTATAGAAATATTATTGAAATATATGTACTTACGTGTATATTATAATTAGAGTATTAAACGGAAAAATGCTAGCTGAAATCGGTATATCACACAACAGCATAAGCTTGAGTATTCTCAGTTTGTATATTTGGTCAGAACATATGTGAGAGACCCACAATTGAAAAAGGGCTTCGTCTTAATGTTGTAGAGCATCTTATTAAGCAGATGTTTTGTCTCATTTATGTGTATGTGCCGCCGATGTTTAGATTCATTGCTGACATATTTGTTCTCCGTTTCTGTACGATAATGCTGTGAACCCTGTTTTGTTTTACAGCGAGTCAACCACTGCCAGCACTCTGGTTGCTTAGGTTGGGAAAGCGAGACGGAAGGTTTTGGTATTCTTTACATAGACAGAGAAACCTAGATATTGTAGTTTGCTTCTGTGCCCTTCGGATTTTATATCAACTTTTGCATTTTTATCCTACATTTCTATACTACATGATGCGTTTGGTTGTTGTGTTCCCAAAAAATAGGACTACTTATTTTGGTTTGAGTAATGCTACACTTT